GGCCAGGAATTTCCGGAAACTTGCCCCAACCAATGAGAAGAAAAGGAGCCAAGATAGAGGCGCGTGCAAGCAACGGCTGATTTTTGGTGAATTTTTGAAAAAATTATTCGTTTTTGGGGATTTGTGTCTTCCCCATGGGGAATTTTGGGGATCCGACTTTTGATTCGTCAATCTAAAATCAGGCTCTATTATGGGCCAAAATTTCATCTTCGTAGCAGGGCTGGAAGTACGAAAGTGGGTCTAAAAGTGTCGATTTCACGTAGGTACCAATACGGCGAGGACAAGGACGTAAAGTCAAAATCAAAATCTGAATGCGGATCTGAATCTAAGTGTTTCTTCGAAATTCTTTCGGGGTCCCTGCGCCATTAACGAGAATAAAAACCTCGCGTTAGTGGGGAATGCACGGGTGAACATTTCATTGCTTAGAAGCCAGATTTTGATTTAAATGATACTAAACTGGTATGAGAAATTTAAAAGACGAGTTGTTCTTTCCATTAATCCATTAAATTGATCTCATGCATCATTGCATTGTGCGGCTAAATTGCCAGAGGGAAACACAATGATCCAGTTCTGTGTGAGTGAATATTTTGTGCAAAATTTTAGAGGCAGTCCATTGCAAATTTATAAGCGATCATTTATATAAGTAAACCTTATAAACTAATGGGTATTCTTATAAACCTAGAAGAAATTAATTCAAGAAATCAGTAAATTAAATATAGCAGTGAGTGCATAAAGAAATTACAAGCAATAATTCAATAAACGAGGAAATGAAATCTAGTAGTGCGTCAAAAAATTACAAGCAATTGCGTTCACTGAATCACATGAAACCGCCCCGCTGATTATGTAGGCATGATTAGCACCGTACAGGAGCGCCATCGCCAGCTCTGTATCATGGATATGTGATAAAAAAAATGGCCATGCACGTAGAGGCTATAAAAAATAAACTGGGGGAAAATGTAAATCGAATCAATTTTTATTTTCAGAGTGACTTTTCTGATTCAAAATATTACTGTAGTCTCCTATTTACGTATATTATGTACACCTATTTCCACAAAAATTTCAATATTTAATGTTTCTTGTAACTTAAAAATTAATGTTTGTTGCATTCGAAACGTCGTTAATAAACTAGGAGTACTTCCTGAAATATGCCTTTCGATCTACCAACGTCATCGGAAGAATTGCTATACTCTCTTGATAATTTAAATCAACGAATTCTCTGGTCTAATCGCACGCGTATATAAATCAGCAAATTCTGCCATCTAAGACTAGAAAATAAAATTTGCACAAATTAACAAAATAAGTCCCACCAATAAACGCACAAACGGACTGATTAACGAAAGAACTTGAAAAAATATAACTCAGTACTCACTGCAGTGAGTGACAGAGAGCGCATTTTCTCGTCGACGAAAACGTGAAGTCACGGACGGACAGACGGATATAGCGAGCACAATAGTGCATTTTTTCCATAAATGAGAAAATGCGCTAAAAATAATACTCTATTATCTTGCCTCAACAATTAGGGCCACAACATTTTGATTCGCTTACTTAGGGTAAATTATTTTGGGCAAAACCAGCAAAATCTTGGAACAGTCCTCAGTAAATTTCGACCTGTGTTTTATGCAAACAAATTTTAAATAAGAACATATTTCGCAGGTAACCATTTCTTCAGCTAACAGTTGGACAATATTACCGTACTGTGGTAAAGTTCCCGACGCTTGAGCGTTTGTCAACAAACTTGCTATTTCCCGGGAGCTGTCACAAGGCAAACTTTTTTCTCCGTCTTCATCGCCCGAGGGGAAGCCATTTTGAGGAAATTCGCTGTGAGCGTCACAAGATTTGACATCTGCTTTGATCGATCCTGCTTCGTTCATAAATCCTGAGGACGATACTTCATCATTAGTGAGTCCTGAAGATGATACTGCATCGCTGGTACGTCTCAAAAACGATCCTACATCACTAGTAAGTCCTGTATCATTGGCAAGTCCTGTGGACGATCCTGCATCATTGGTAGGTCCTGGGCACGAACTTAAATCTTTGGTACGTTTTACGGCTTCTTTTTCTTTTGATGGGGAACGATCTCTGTGAGGAGATCCATGTTCCCTATCAATCTCTTCTGCTTTTGAACGAGGTCGTGAAGGTGAACGGTGTTTCCTCTCCATCTCATCTGATGTTGGACGCATGTGACTTGAAGAAGAACGGTCTTTTCTCTTATTATCTGACGTTGATCGAGTTTGTGAAGGAGAGCGGTTCCTACTCGGCATCTCAAGCTGTTGCTCGGGCTTTTGCTGTCCTGCCGCCGTTGAAACTTTTTCGTTCCCATGAGTGTAGCTGCAAGAGGCTCTCATTGCACGACTACTCTCACCTTGATCACCAAAAGCACTACCTCCCGTCAAGCTGTCTCTCTTATTGTTGATATAATTCAACGCGACATCATTTCTAGTCGCAACACCTGCGTTATTATGACGCTGTGGCTCGCCGCCCAAGTTAGGTCTGTTATCACCAACAGATTCACGGCCTTCTGAGGCTCTACCTGACGACAGGGTGGCCATTTTGCGCTGCTGATCAGGCTTATTTGAAACAAGTGCTGCTCCTAAATTTTCCGCTTCTTGCAGTGACTTTTTACGCTCCACTTCACATAAGCGTTCAATCAGAACTTTTTTGGTTTCAAGTTCCTGAATCTTCCACGAAATCTCATACGCTGGTGGAGATTCAGAACTATCATTCCACTCTACGATTCTTTTCACCCCGTTCTCGATCGACTTGAATTTCTTAAGTGCCTCTGAGCCAACACGGAACAGGTGCTCTGAGTCCAATAGAAATTTCTGAACTTCGATGCAAAGAGAATCCAACTTGACTTCGACATCGACGCGCTGGTTCTCAAGTTCAGTGTCCTTCTTGAATCGATTCTCTTCACTAACCCAATTATCGTAGAGATATTTGGGGCAAGTATGGAACATCTTTAATTCGTCATGAAAATTTGTATGGCCTATTGCGCAAGTAAAAATACCAGAAGTATCTAAAATGAGAGTGATTTCAAGGAAGGATTTGCTCCAAGACGAACACTTTGAGCGTACATGAAGCAAAGCTAGTGAAGAATCGGTTTTTCGACCGTATTCAGAGTAAGTTCGCTCGAGAAAGTTAAGTCTCTGAGAATTAACAACAAATCTTTCAATGGAGCATCTCCATTCGTGAGGAAGAGGAGTATACTTTGAAACTTGGAGACATTCTTCCTCTAGGCCGGTGCAAACGATGTCGTAAGAAGAGACATCACGAACTGTAATGGCGCCCACAGCTCTACGCCCGTCAAGGGCAGCAGCCCGTAAGGCGGCGCCCTGGGCCACAGCCTCGTCTTGGTTCACCGTTTGGTCCAACTTCCCCGGGCCGAAATATTCCTCGAGGACGGCCCGCACCAGCGGCACGCGCGCTGAACCTCCGACCAGCACAACCTTGCTGATTACATCCTTGGTTAAAGATTTGTGACAGAGAAGTTTGTCAAAAGTGAGTGTCAATACACGGCGGATTTCTGATTCAACGAATGATTCAAAGTCTTTCCTCTTGATCGTGAGGTTCACAGAAGTGTTGTTGAAGAGACCATCGAGACTCAACTGAGCCTCCGGGAGTAAAGTCAGAGTTTTCTTAGCTTTCTCACACGCAATGCGCAATCGTTCAAGTTGCTTCTTCTCCTTCACTCTGTAACTATGTCTGCCCTGAATGACTCCCACACAATGGCTAACCAAAGCATCGTCCAAGTTGCAGCCACCAAGGTTTGTGTTTCCAGTAGCAGCCATGACATTCACCGATCCATCCCTCACCTCCATGATGGACACATCCAGCTTACCCGCCCCGAAATCCACCACCGCGATAACCGCAGGGGGTTTTGACGGTGCGGTTGTCCGCGAAGGCGACTCCCGCCGCGGTTGTTTCGTTAATCAGCTCAAGAACTTCAAGTCCTGCGACTTGCGCGGCGTATTTTACCGCGAGTCGCTGCGCGTTGCCGAACGAAGCCGGTACCGAGATGACCGCGCGGTCCACGGGACAACCCAGAGAGGATTCCGCGATGTCCTTCATCTTCCCGAGCAGCATGGCGGCCACCTGCTCTGGTCTCAACCATCGAATTTGATTTTTGTACTGGACGACGTACTCGAATTTACTATCGATGTAAGTTTGTTGAATTCTGCAGAGAGAAGACATATCCTTCACTTCGTTGTAGGTCCTGCCCAGGAAGCTCTTGACGGCGTGCACGGTGTTGGCGCAGTTCACAACGGCCTGGTCCAGGGCATCGCTGCCCACTAGTCGCTGCTGGGAGTTGAAGGCAACACAGGAAGGCGTCGTCCTTTGCCCCAACTCGTTCTCCAGGACGTCCACCCGACCGTCGTGCACCGCAGCCACGCAGCATTTGCTCGTCCCGAAGTCGATGCCGATCGCCGCAGGTCTCGGCCGGCCGCCCCCCTCCGGCGGTGGCGCGAGGTTCATCGAAGCCATAATGGTCGATCTATCGCCTGCACACGCAATTGAAATATAAAAACGCTCAATACCAAATCTATTATAGCGATATTCGTGATTCCAGACTTAAATAATCAGGGAATAAAACTCCAACATCGATATTCACTGGCCTGCACCGACACTCACACGGAAGAGAATTGGGAAATTGGCTGTTTGCAATCGCGATGAATGCACCTACCTATAGGAGATAGCCTACTACCCTTACAGGACGATTTCATCACAAATGAGATGATAATATAAATGCGGCAAATAGAATAAATTACTCTAGTGCCCGGAGTTCATCCATATGAACTCTTATGCATGCAGCCAAAAATTTCAGGTACGTATATGACCGAGCACCGTTGTATTTAATGTCTGGCAATTCACAAATGTTTAGAAGAATTAGCTTAATAATGATTATTATTTTAAATAATGCTGGTGAATATATACCGAGTATTTTTCAAATTCTCGATTCAATATCAGTAGAATTCATGTCGATTAATTATCGATGAAAACTTAACATCCACATCCTAGAACAATAAACAGAGTTTGAAACAAGTAAGTGACAGGTTAGGCTTCAGTCTTTTATGCCACATTGACAACGCCGTAATGCAGGATAATATTCAACCGTTGTAATCTTACTCTTCAATTAATGTTAATCAGGGCCTTGAGAGTAATAAATTAGAACTATAAATCAATTTTAATAAATGATTAGAAAATAAGAATTTAAAAACGGATTTTATGCATTTTCAAGTTTTAAAATAAAGTGGTCACGACTAAACAGGAATATAGGATCAGTTATTGGCGTCGACATTTAAAAAACTTTAGAGCCTAATATATAAGGGAGAGCTATTTTCTTATCCGTATTAAGATAATTAAGTAGCTAGCATGATAAGGTTTCATCTCGTCATAAATCAATCAAGTGCCCCCGCTGAGACTTTTTCATATGCATATAATGTAATACATACTATATTGCATTATTTTATATTTTATTTTATTTTAAACAATAATATTGTTATTTTATAATGAATCGTATTCTGTTTAATAATAGACCATACACATTTGCGAATATTTCTTCCCATTTCATCAGACATCTGGGAAGCGCTGATTTAAAAACATGAGCTACGTCATCCAACGTCTCTGCGGGAATTGATAATTTTTTAAGAGATAAATCACGACTTAGAAACACGACTGAGTGATAGTTGAGTATCATCTTCCATCCAAAATGAAATGTACGCAATCTATGATAACTCTTGAAGTCTAAACTCACTATACATAAAAAATTAATCCTGGAAATTGAAAGTTTACATGTATTCTACAGAAAAAAACTCAACAATAATATAAAATAGTGCAACCTACCTATTGGAACTTTGTGAATAACAGGAACAGTGGACACGACGATGAGGCAGCCAACAGAACTTTGCACTCAGTACCTATTCGACCGCGCCTACCTGATAAGCACTCTTCATTAACTGTTGTTTCGAACATGGTTGAAAAGAATACTAGATCATAATGATAAATAATTGAAAGCCTCTAGGTGCCATTGAATGATAGCAAATAGTACAAATCAGTTAATAAGACATAAAAAGCATAAATTTACGTACCGTTTCAGTATAACGCGACAACTATTCCACTGTAGTCTGTACCCGTTGATATGGCGAAGTGAAGTTAGGGAACCGCAACAGCACAAATCATGCGTTGCCAAGTGTCGCCACCCAAAAATATGCCTATTTATTTATCCGAAGATATTGTGAAGAAAATTAGTCTCTCATGATTTATTAACAATTAAATATTATATCTAGGTTTTTCTTGAAGCCTAATTGAGAACAATGTGTAATTGTGACTTTATTTAAGGGTAATTCAACAACAGTTTAAAACACGGCTAAGGACAGGCTACTCACGCGCTCTGTTGTAACGCGTTCGTAACGACATTGAACGAGCGAGTTTCCAGATACCGCCATGCGTGGCGCTTGCCCAGTGCCATGAAAGGGAAAAATAGTAATGTCAAAGACTCAAAGATAGTTAATTTAGAGTTCCTAACTCCACCTGTTTATCACTCATGCCTTTCTAGCTGAACCCACCTATCACAGACGAGAACTAAGCCGCTAGGTGCACTCAGAGCGCTACGCATACATGAAGAAAAGTTGATGTTAGTGTTCCTGACAAGAAATCACTCCAACAAATTTTGAAGTAAATTTTTGGGTCTAAATTCTATGAGACGTGAACGCAAAACCTTTTCTACGCACACATTGATCAAATCAAAATCAATCTTGACCTTATTAACGACAATAACTTCTATTTGCAATACGCTCATGCGAACGCTTACGCCACTTCGTTTTAAATTAAAACGAAAAAAAAACGCATCTTCGAGTAACCGAACAGCTCAAAAGTTCTCTAATTCTGAAGGTAAATGCCTGCAGTTCACATCATGAATAATTTTTAGCAATGCGCCGTGATAGGAACTATTGAAGATTTTTATGTCATTTTGTTTGTTACTAAAACGAAAAACGCGACTTTTTGAGCTACCGAATAGCTCACCAATCCCTCAAATTCTGAACGGATCTGCTTGACATACAGAATATGCCTGAACATCAACTGACCAGGCAATAAGTCCAGCAGCTATCTCAATCAATCGTCAGCTATGGAAAGATCGGGTTCCAAAGGCCGGATCCCTTGTGAATCAAGTCACGAAAAGTTCAAGAATCGGCAACAGGCCATGGGCCTATTTCTTCAGCGCCGACACTTCTATTCTATGAACAATGCGCCGCGGTAAAAACTATTGCGGATTTTTTAAATTTTCGCTGGTTTTTGTTTTGTTCTCAATTAAAACGATAAGACTTTATTCTCGCACAACCAGTCAGCACACACCCAAAAGTAAGCACAAAAGTTCCGAACGGATTCGCAGCTCAGTAAAATTAGAGTGAGCTGCGTGTTCAAGACCCGCAACAAGCTGTGAATATTCTTCAATGTTCAGAATCGGCGACAAGTCTCACGGCCTAGTGAACGCCAACACCGCTTTACTAAATTTGTACCCATCGTTATGGTGAATGAACTATAATGAAATTCCAGCTCCTGATGAATGGATACTTAGAATGGCAAATATTTTATATTTAAATTCGATTCCATTGGCCTTATTTTTTCAGTAATAACTTTTGTGACTATTAACTATTATTTTTTCTGTAATAACTATCTGTTCTACTGCGTTCATTTATCAACGATCAGTCATTACGGAGATGCAGGATATCATCGAGTTTTCCTCAACTGATTCCTAACGGAGCGCCAAAATTTGAGCAACACACTCGACAAACTAGCGTGATGTTGGCGCGATGCTGAGGTGATGTACAGTGTGATGATGATAAAAAATTTACAAGCAAAAAAAAATAGGCAGAAAATTCACCATTTCTTAAAAATGAAAACGTTTCGGAACTGATGATGGAGCTGGTCTCCGAAACGTTTTCCTTTTAAGAAATGATGAATTTTCTGGTTATTTTTTGTGAATTTTTTTATGAGATGTGTAGAGCGATGATGTTAAGATGATGGACTAAGTCTGTCAAGACAAATAAAAAAAATAGGCAGCAATAAAAAGCAGCAAGACAGCATTCAACGTTTATTCGATAACTTCAACATTCACTGATTTTACAAACAAATTCTATCTATTTCCTTGTATAAAGTTGAGGGGTGAGATTAAATATTATTTTCTAAAAAGAACACAGACGAAATCTGAATTGAAATCGCGTTTCAATGTAACTCCCAACAATTAAAGAACATAATTAAAATATGTAAAATGAGTTAACTTCGGCGAAATTAAAATTTTTCACAATTATTGCTTGTTAAATCAGTGCGGTTTCGTAAGTAGAAAGATTTATTCGAGGTTAAGTAGCTAGTGAAATAAATTACGTTGTTTATGACATAATTAATGAGCATGGATATAACAAGTTAGTTCAATGAAAATTCTAAAAATTTGACTTAATTATTGATTACAAACAGCAAAGAAATGTAGAATTGGTTTATATAATTTAAATTTATGAATTTAAGTATAGGTACAAGCTAGATAAATTTAGCTGCGTAAATGGACGATTCTTACAACTTTTGTATGCCAAGCTTAATTAGGAATTCAAGTCTAAGAATCAGCGACTCTAAACTCGTACGTGATTTACCCCGCAGTCTAGAACGTAAACAAGGCAGAAGTGCAAGTTGTCGCTGCATTACAAATGCATTGTTATGAAATTATCTGAATTTTGATAAAATTATCTGCTTAGAAGAAACACGATATAATTTAATACATACTGCAACAGATTGTTTATTTGGCAACAGAACCGCTCATTTTGACGTTATATGACATTAGATAAAACCGTACCAGCTGTAACCCACACCCTTCAATTTATTCTTTAAAAAAACTATCGTATAAGCATTTCCATTAAAATTGTCACGTACCAGCTGTAACCAACACAACCTAAATTTATTCTTCAAAAACAAATTATCGTACAAACATTTTTATTGCAAATTTTCACGATCTTGTAGCAAGATAACCAAGACTGAGGACGAATAGTTTAGTTCAGTGGCGGCATGTTTACTAGCGCTTGAGCTATTTAGCACCGAAAGTAAAGATGAACATCACTATCGAGGTGGAAGGTCTATGTTATCGAAAGTTTCTTAAAAACCGAAAGTCAAGATAACTTTCGCTATGTTCATTTAGCACTGAAACTAAAGATGAACATCACCAACGAGGTGGAAGGTCTCAGTTATCTAAAGTTTTTCAAATCAACAAAATCATTACAGCTTGGCTGTAGCTGCTACGCCGCTAAAGCTTAACGTAAAACTGGCCTGTGGTGAGCACAACACACGACGACTCCCACGGATATCTTAGAACATTTGAACAAATATTATATTGCAGCGTCACAGCACCCATACAAAAGATAGTTATTTAAATTTCGAATAGATTTATACCGCAGTGACACTTTGATAATTTAGCTTAAATATCTGCCGATTTTTTCCACTGTACCATAAATATTGAGAACACTTTAGAGTCATTTTAAGAACCAATTCTTCAAGAGAGAAGAAATCAAGAATTAAAAACACACTTGGAACGAACAAGCGCACACACCACACAGAAAATACACGCCCACAGAGGAAATACACGACCACACAGAATAATTCATAACCACACAGTTAATACATGGACGGCGACACACAAGAAGAACATTGTGTTCGTTATAACAACACACGACAGTTCCCACGTACAAAGACGAGTTCACCCACTGCACATCCCACGAACAAGTCGCTGTATAAACAAAACAGCTTACATTACTATCTAATTTAACTCTATAATTGTAAACAACTATAAATGAATATAAAAAGACAAGGCTTGACCATTTTACATCCGATGTCGTGGTTGATGAACTTTTTAACGTTACCGAATTTAATATGCAACAAGTAACCTCCCACAAATAGCGGTAAAATTCAAATACATTCAATTCAATTCGGTCATATTTGAATTTTCCCCAAAATTTGATAAATTTCACAGAGGAAAAAAACTTTTCTCATGTGAAAATGAATTTGGTTTCACTGAAGAGGTTCGTTGTCGTCGACCTTGTCGATGAGCGGGCTCGTGCTGGTGTAAAATCTACAGTAATTCGGTCGACTGACGCCTACGGTAAGTAAACAATTCACTCAGTAAATGAGTGAGATATTGTCCATTGAGCGATAAATTTTTGCGCTACAGCGTTTTTAGCTATCCTGACCCAGTTTGGACTAACCTTGCTTAGTAGTGTGTCAATATTTGGACAGTTTGACCCAATAATTTTTGAACAACACGCCCGCCTTCCTAGCAACAGTAAATTTCAACTCCGGTCTTAAAGTTACATCGCTTTCAAGGAAGCACATTTGGCAAGGCACAAAGTTCAAGAAAACACAGGTACTTTAAAAGCTCGTTAGGTTCATGAAAATTACTATAGTAATTTAAAAAATAAGTTGCATTTTGGGCCTAATTTGGTGGAAAAAAATTCCCAAAGTCAAATAGGAAAAAAATTTCATTCAACACCAAAATTGCTGCCTGAAATTGACTCGCCTCTCGCCTGATTTCGGTTTGTACAATTTCAGTTTATAGAACATGTTCAAATAGCTTTCATTTGAATATAAAAACGCGCACACAGGCTTATAAAAATACTTAGCAAGTTTAGATTTTCACAAGAAAATAGTGTCTTAAAGGAAGCTTTTTGGGAAGTTTTTGTTGCGACATCAAAGTGAAGAGGGAATAAGAGGTAAGAACTAAATGCCTTTCTAAAGATAATTGCATTTGAAACGCGAAACTGAGCTGCTGGAAAAAAAGTTTCGATAAGAAAGTGAAAAACTAAAGTAAAGTTTCATACAAATTAAGTAGTTCAGTCAAACTTCCTTGTCTCGATTGTGCACAGCTTCTTGGAGAATATATTGGAATGTTACAAAAACCTCTAGAAGAGATAAAACAACAAAACTTAATAACCTAAGGAAATAACACAACAAAATTAACCTAAAACCAGCCGCGCATACTAGTGAGCTAGTTTCAACGCCACGTGTGGAAGTTAAAATCATTGATGGTTTTAGATTTTCGAGAAAAAATTCCGATGGCCTGAATATATTAGACTGCATAACTGCGATGTTGCAATCTTTACGTTGAATTTGTAATTCATTATTAGCGCCGAGATAGAAATTAAAAATTGACTTGGTCCCCGAAATTGTATGGATTATTTTTGAAGTCACCATTGAAGTCTCATGAATCTATAAAAAAATATCTACAAAATCTGTAACTGACAACCGACGTCTTATTTCTGGCTAACATGTGATTGTTTTCAAACAACAGATTTCAACAACAGGAACAGACACGTTAAGAGGTACAAACAACCCAACAAATGTTTACACACAGCACCTCATATTGAGACATGAGCGACAGCAATGCAGAACAACGGAATGAACAGTTCTTTGATTACACGGCTAGCAGGAAATGTGAGGCGGAGAATTAAGCTGAATTTGCGAATTTGGAAGCGTCAATAAAAATCTGTATGCGATTGTTCGTTTTTTTCTGCAGGTTTAGCGCTCGCAGGTGAGAAGCACGCGTTATGTGGCATCTGTCTGAGTCATTATGATCCGAAGACTTTATACCCTCAATGCACATTCCTATATGGCCTTCAGATCACGATCTGAAATCAATTGAGTATAAAAGAAATAGTTTGTAATAGGTAAGTTTTTCTCGACGCGGTTTTGATCGGAACCGACCTCAGACGATTAAAAAAAATTAGGTGTCCGGGAAATATTTCCCAGTAAATGTTCCTAGAGCCTGCACGGTCTTGAGCATCGCTGTATTGTGAATAAAGAGGTTCTGGAGTTAGTATAACGAGCGGGAATATCTTCAAGTAAAATTTTGCACCTCTATGGTGTGATACCTGAAGAAAATTTTACGTTTAGACCAATTCGCACGACAATGTTTTCTGCTAAGCTCATCGCCAACTCCATCATTCATTGAAATCTGGTTAGTAAACGAGTACCTGAATTGTCCAGGGTACAGTGCAATGAAATGGTTCTGGCGGGTCAAGTTAGTGATGGTCCTGTAACTACCTGTGGCTAGTGCCCCGAAAAAACTGACCTATCACCCCTTCCTTGCCTAGTCGCCACATCAACTAAAACGGAAAACAAACGATTGAAAAACTGAAGGCGTGATAGTGGGGAAAAACACTAGGATAGGTGATAATTTGTGCCCTGAACAACTGACTTATCACTCGTTTTTACTTTGGTACTTTGGTAGGGGTGATATTATTACCCCATTCTCGCTCCAATTGCCATTAATTAATTACCACCCTCGTCACAACCAGCGTGGACAAATACGACAAAATTAAATACATTTTTCAAGCCATTCTATGAAAGGGGGAACTTGATTTAGAAATTTCTATTGGAAATGTGGCAAAAAAAAACTCTTTCAAGTCAATCTGCCGTAAGGGAAGACGCTAGCATGGAATTGGCTAGTAAATTTCGAGTTGCTGGGTATGCTAGCAATAAATTGGCTTGCAAGTACAACAAAATACAATAATTTTTCAAGCCATTCTGTCAAAGGGGAAACTTGGTTGGATATAGCACGTTTGTCGTGCACTAGAGCCGGCACTTCTTGTGCAGGATGTCCTGGAGGAGCTGGGACGTGAGCGGGACGTACTGCTGGCACGTCTGGTCCAGGAAGAACAAGCAGTGCCCGTCCTCCTCAGGAGACTTCAGGAGACTGGGCAGGTTGTAGCCTTCCTTCTGCAGGTCCACCTTGCGCAGCTTGAACGTGCCTGTAGGAGGGGGAGCTTTTAGCAAATTTTCTCATTTATGGAAAAATAGGCGCTATTATGCTCGCCATATCCGTCCGTCCGTCCGTCCGTTTGTCTATCCATCCGTCAGTTAGGTACGAATAACATAGATGACGGTCACCTTTCCTTCAGGTGCGAATAACATTGAAGACGGACAGTAGGCTTTCCCGGCAGCAGCGCGCCTGCCAAGGCAGCAGCACGCCTGTCAAGGCAGCAGCACGCCTGCCAAGGCAGCAGCACGCCTGCCAAGGCAGCAGCACGCCTGTCAAGGCAGCAGCACGCCTGCCAAGGCAGCAGCACGCCTGCCAAGGCAGCAGCACGCCTGCCAAGGCAGCAGCACGCTTGTCAAGGCAGTAGCACGTCTGTCAACTGACACGCCCATTTGCCAGGCCATACTGAGTCAGGATGACCCACACAACTCACCAGGGCAAAGAGTACATCGCTGCCTGGACAACATCTCACTTATTTCTCTGAGTTAATGAATGGAACATATGACGACCTGTTGTGTCGACTTTTGGGAGGGCGCATGCCATTATTTGGTCAATATGATTCATCAATTTCTATGAAGTACAATTCATTCACAGTCATGCAGAACGTCAATATTCAGACATTGACTCATTCACAGTTATGCAGTGATTTAATATTTAGACATTGAATCATTCATTTCTATGAAGTGCGTCAATATTTAGACAATGCGACTCATTCACAGTTATTATGACGCATTCACAGCTATGCAGTGCGTCAATATTAGGACATTGACCCGTAGTGTCGATGTCTGCCACAGCGCGCAGGAAGAGAGGCACGGCGTAGGCGGGCAGGTCGCGCCTCAGGGAGGCCAGGAGCTGAGGGAGGCGCTGCTGGAGGGAGGCTGCTGAGGCCACCACCACACCCATGCCCGCCTTGCCCTCACACCCCGGCACCTGGGGCGGTCAAATGTCTTAGTATTTTACTTATATTAAGTATTATTACTTAAAAAGAACCAATTGAACAGACAGTTATAAGCTGTGGAGGTCTGCCTTACCCTCACACTCCGCCATTTGGGGGGCGAGTGTTAATTACAATCTCACTTAATATTATATTAATGTTAATAGCAAAGACAAATATCCTGGAGGGCAGGGAACTGAAAATGAACAGACTTCCCGAGATTCTTTTATTGGGATTCCATTCATTTATTACAAATAATATTTTGTATATTATTATTTATTGGGATTAATTTATTTCTTCAGAAAACAAACCACCACCGCACCGATCAAGTGTCAATTAAAACTTTCACACAAACTTTCGCTCATTTACTTTCAGTTAAAAACATTCATTAATTGGTAAAACTTGGGCTGCTTTAAATCGAATATTATGAATGAATATTACTTATACTTGTAAATATTACTTATACTTATTAATGTAACTTATACTAATTTAATAATATTATTAATTATACATTAGGCGATCAGACTTCCTCCCGCTGGGAAGGACGGAAGATTATGAATAAAAAATGAGTAAAATGGGGTATATGAGGTAGAAATATAAAAATTTAAACCTCATTCAAAGAGAAAAATAGAGGGTAAAGCTCTACGGCGTTACCTCGTCAGCTGACAGCCAGCGTTACCTCGTCAGCTGACAGGCAGCGTTACCTCGTCAGCTGACAGCCAGCGTTACCTAGTCAGCTGACAGCCAGCGTTACCCCGTCAGCTGACAGCCAGCATTACCTCGTCAGCTGACAGCCAGCGTTACCTCGTCAGCTGACAGCCAGCGTTACCTCGTCAGCTGACAGCCAGCGTTACTACGTCACCTGACAGGACGTTACCTCAACACCGAAGACGACGGCGTCAGCATCGTCAGCAGCATGGGAGAGCCTGTCCTCCACCTCAGCGGTGCTGACGTTCTCGCCGCGCCACCTGAAGGTGTCCCCCGTGCGGTCCTTGAAGTACACGTAGCCCACCTCGTCCATCACAAGGATGTCGCCTGCACGCAATATATGTGTGTTAGATATATGACTTACACTAGTTCATATTACTGTTATTAACCTAATCTAACTAATGAATATTAGTTAGACTAATTAATTTTATCTCTAACGTTGGCCAGCTAATGATAAGAACCCCACATTCAAAATGTTTGGCACGGATGGATGGATGGACATCACAAGGATGTCTCCTGCACGCAATATGTACGTTAGATATACGAGTTTTGCTCAATAATATTACATATACTAAGTAATATAACTTAATATATTTATATTAAGTATATATTTATACTTAATATACCAGTATTTGACCCGTAGTGTCAATAATAATATTTGACCCGTAGTGTTGACCCTGACTTGATATGAAAATTGATATATTTATACTATTTATATTACATCCAAGAATTCTAATTGCTGAAATTAATTAAAATTACTTAAGTTTGGACCTGGCAACGAAATCCGGGAGGAACGACAATACAAATCGTGAGAGACCAGCTACTCCGAGCAACGCTGGCGGAACCTGCGAGTGTTTAATGAATGCACCACCTGACAAGGAATGTCATGTCCCCCTCTTGACCCACCTGACAAGAAGGCCATGTCGCCCCGCCTGAACACGTCGCGCACGATCTTCTTGCTGGAGGCCTCAGTGTCGGCGTAGCCGTCAAACCTGCGCAGCGGATCTGACGGCAGGATCTTGCCCACGAACTCCCCGGGCTCTCCTGCGGGGGAGGTGGGGTGAGAGACCGCGGCACAGCACGCCACACTGCAGCCCACAGACCGCGGCACAGCGCGCCACACAGCGCGCCACACAGCGGACCACAAACCGCGCTGAGCTCAGTCACGAGTGGCAAGTTTGGGGCGTAACGCTAGACTCGATCACCTCAACACCACTCCCACCTGCCACTCACCACTCCCTCCTGCCACTCACCAGGCTTGCACACAACACATAAGCTGTCCTCGCCCCTCACGGGCAGGCCCGAGTGCTCGTCCACTCGTATGAGTGTCACGGGGTAGGCCTTGGGGAACAGTAGCGGCAGGAAGCCGCAGGCGCCGGGCTTGCCTTCGTAGTTCACTGCAACACAAACTTTAGTTACAGGCATGTACCTAAATTAGAATATAGCTTCGTTTAAATATTATTATTATTATATAGTGAACATTGAACATCGTTCACTAATACTTATTGCTCAATTAATCCTATCGCTCGTTCTCATGTGCATTTTTATGATGAAATTATTCTGTAGCGTCTAGCGTAGCTGCCTTAGTAACATTGATGCTTCGGACCTTACTTTGGCGGTAGCGACGTAGTGCAAGGTCAGGTCTGAGTGTCTGTGAGTCAGGTAGTCAGTCGTGTCCCGCCAGCCCTACAGGGAGGTTCTAGCCTGAACTAACCTTGCTCCGTTGCTCCACTAGCGATCTTGTGCCCCAACGCTAGTTCTTGTGGCTGTGCTATAATAGTTTCGTCTAGCAGTGTGATGTCTCTCGTGCTTGCTGTACTATTTTATTTAACGTATTACTTCTAAGTGCTCTTTACTGAAATAAAAGTCGAATTTTATCCGTGTTAACCGAAGTTTTAATCAATGGAATCCCAGTGTAATAAAGTGCAATTTGACTTTCATCAAAGTCATCGTATTTTAACAAGATAGTTGCTGGCATTTAACCGTAGGCTCGAGACATTCTGACAAGATTAAAGGTAGCGGCAAACGTCCGGTGATAATATTATTATTAATAGTTAGGACATCACCAGCTCTCCAATATTAATAACTTTAATTATTTCAACTGTCTCAAGATAATCTACATCTTCCGTTCACCGGAGACACCCGAGCATAACTTTGATGTACTTTCTTTAGATGCACAGGAAATGAAGTGCAAGAAAGTCAACAAATATACTAAAACTCTGTGAAAAATATTTACACCATATACTCCCCACAACACCCATAATCCCCCACACCCCCCACAACACCCATAATCCCCATACACTCCCCACAACACCCATAATCCCCCAACACTCCCCACANTAACCCCCCCATTACACTCCCCACAACACCCATAACCCCCCCGCACATCACCCCCCGGCTCACTGATGTTGGCGTTGCTCTCCGTGGCGCCGTAGAACTCAGCGATGACGGGCATGTTGAAGCGGGACGTGAACGCCTCCCAGATCTGCGGCCGCACCCCGTTGCCGAACATCACCCGCACCTGCCGGGGTGTGTGGGGTGAGTGTGGGGAGAGTGGGGGTTAAAGGGGAGAAAGTGGGAGGCAGGATGCAAAAGCGTCCAACGTTACATCCGGGACCCGAGGGCGGGGTGACCTGCCTAGCGACGACTCGGAGACGGAGGACGACGAAGGCGGCGCATCAGCGTGACCGGGGACTCGGAAGTCCCAAACTCATTATAAGGTCATACGGTCAGTGAGGGGAAGAGGAGGGTAGTGGGGTGAGAGGGGTGAATAAGGTTAGAAAGAGTGAAAGACAGCGGGAAGAGAGTGGGACAGATATGAGTGATGAGAGGAGGGAGAGTTGATTAAATGGGGAGTCATTGGGAGGAGGCAATAGGGGATGGGAGATGGGGTAGGGAGTGGTTACATTAATGTGCTCTGGTCGTGAAATAATCTATATAATATAGATATAAATGCATATATACAGCATGCAAATGTCTACATTGAAAAATAGTTTATGCAACTACCATATTTGCACTTAAATACATAGATATTGACGGTAAAAATTATAAATAATTATTGTCTACATACAAATGATGCAATAATGATGTAATAATAACTGCCATGACACTCTCGGCGACTGTGATGGAACATATATATTGATATTGAATCTCATATTACATTATACCTACATTAAATCAAAATTACTGTCATCATTATGGAATGAATATGATCATAATATCACTATAACTATCACCAAAATAATCAATATTTTACTGAAATATGATAACAACATTAGGGCCTGTCTGTCGCCTAAACAAAATAAAAAACTAATAAAATATAAACTAAAAATAATATTAATACAAAATAAAAATAAATAATTTCAATATTATGAGCCCACCTTGTGTTGTGTGTCGGTGGGCTGAGGGGGCGAGTTAAGCAGGTAGCGGCACACCTCCCCCACATACTGGGCTACCTGCACCACAACCAGGGGTTACTTGTTGTTAACTAGTCTCACTAACATGACTAGCACATCTCCTGCACTAGTCTCACTAACATGACTAGCACATCTCCTGCACTACCATCTCACTAACATGACTAGCACATCTCCTGCACTAGTCTCACTAACATGACAAGCACATCTCCTGCACTAGTCTCACTAACATGACTAGCACATCTCCTGCACTAGTCTCACTAACATGACTAGCACATCTCCTGCACTAGTCTCACTAACATGACTAGCACATCTCCTGCACTAGTCTCACTACCATGACTAGCACATCTCCTGCACTACCATCTCACTAACATGACTAGCACATCTAGTAACACATCACAAACTGCATGTCCGGAGACACGCAACATTGTACGGCGGACGCGAACTTTATCCAGCGTTTTACTTGATGGTGATAATGTTATGTGTAGGGCGGGCACAATCCCTTACCCCTACACAACACACAATCCCCTACACAACACACTATCCCCTACACAACACACTATCCCCTACACAACACACTATCCCCTACACAACACACTATCCCCTACCCCTGCCCCAACGAGAAGCAAGCAACAGCATCGTGCATCAGGTGGCCCAAATGAGGGCGGACAAGCGATAATTAGAGGCGGCGATCCATCGTGGCCTGGGACTGCTACGTCCCAAACAAATACTAAGGATACTGCGGTTTACTGTGATCAACTGATTAGCACAGCTGCCGATGGCTACGATATCATTGTTCTTTACTGGCAGCAACTACGTGGGGTTGTAGACGTTCAGACTGAGAAGACAACAGACAACAAGATCATAGATCATCTATATCATACCGTCGATTAGTGCTGGAAGCGACCTTTGTAATTGGGAACAAGCCTAGGCATACAATGCAAGAGGGACTGGCAAGGCTAAATTTCTACCGTCAAATGCGAGTTCCACATCAATTTCCACAGGAAAGCCACGCGAGTTCCTTATCAATAGACTGACAATCCGAGTTCTAGAAGTATGATACCGATGCACTGTATATCAAACTAGGCTAAAATACTATGAATAAAATGTGTTCAAGTAGGTCAATTGGATTAATTCTTGAAGGAAGTTGAATAATATATATTAGCTGCTGTGGCAGCATCACCGTAGCATATTGCAATGGTCCTAACGAAGAAAGGAACATGCGTCGAGGAAATATGCCAGCAACCAGTGAAGGGTTCCGACAGCGTCGACTACTCGGTGATTATTGAAAAAACTAAGGTGTCTAGTGGTCGGATGATGTTAGTTGACAATACATTCTAACTTACAGCGTGCAGGCTGTCGCGGCAGGAGGCTCAAAGTAGTTCCACAGGGTTAGAGTTTGAACTGATACTTTGTCCTGTACCCAACTTAGTCAAGCGACTCAGGGGGTGATGACAATAAATAATAATTATTATAAATGATAATAAATAATAATTCGCTAACAATACAGGAGTGCTGATGGAAACTACGGATGGACTGGACTGTGAAAGGCTGCAGAAAAACATGCGACAGGAGCCACTGATAAATTATAATTCACAGAATCAAGTTCTAGATGCCGTACTATCGAAACTTGCTTAGGTACACGTAGCTGCAAATTTGCCGTCTGTGATTGGTGGGTTTACTTTGTAAAGCCATCAGTAACTGCCTGACGTAGCTACGAACTTTTGATTGAAAGTATAGCCCTTGGTATTCAGACACAGAGACGATGCAGAATTCGGGGTAGAGTAACTTTAAATGGCATCGGACGGCACCAAAAATGAGGAGAATCCACTCGTCCTTGACCCAGGATGTGACAATATGTCCCGAGAATGCTTTTGGTGACCAAAAACAATAGAAAAATGCAGGGAACATATAAGATTGATTTAACTAACGTTTCGAACATAAGAAGTTTAACGGCAAAAAGGTTCACGGTTGACGGCAAATGTTGCAGTCGGAAAAAAACACTCTGCACACTCTGGTCAGCCCTCACAGTACAGTTGTACTGTACACAGCACTCACAGTACAGTTGTACTGCACACAGCACTCACAGTACAGTTGTACTGCACACAGCACTCACAGTACAGTTGTACTGTACACACTCCGGCCAGTACTGGGTGACGGAGAGCTTGGTCCTGATGACGGCGGTGGCGTTGAAGACGAGCACCTGCCCCATGCCCACCATGCCCCCCGCCGTGTGGTACAGGGGCAGCGGGTTGTAGATCACGTCGTCGTGGTGCAGGTCCGCTAGGAACTGCACCGCCCCACAGAAGAACAGGTACCTGATGGCGAGAGACTCTTAGTACACTTGTGATTTGGGCTTATTCTTGCTCTTAGTACACTTGTGATTTGGGCTCATTTTTACACCAGAGTTTATGAACAAGTCAATAATAAACAAGTTGACGTACGTAACACATTGGCATAAATAAACGTAATAAGTTAAACCCTAGGAACTGGACCGCCCCGCAGAAGAACAGGTATCTGCGGGAGAGAGACTCTTAGTACACTTGTGATTTGTGCTTATTTCTACACCAAAGGCCTGGTACAATAATATTTACTTAGTTTCTGTACCAAAGGTGCGGGAAATAGACTCTCAGTACACTTATACTTGGTCTTATTTCTTAATCGATTGTACGCTACGACGCCATGGAAACCTCTATCACTAAACAGCCCAACTTAGTTGGCCCCCCCACACAGACTACCCAACCTAGTCAGCCCCCCCACACAGACTACCCAACCTAGTTAGCCCCCCCACACAGACTAGTGCCCTCACAGCCAAAAGTAAGCCCCCAGAGAGCTGCACACATCCTACTCGAGCGCCCGGCGCTATCGGCCCGCAGGCTCCTGGGTCTCACACCTATATACGGTGTCCAGCGGCTGGGTGGCGGTCTTAATAGCCACGTGGGCTTAATGGCGTGACCAGACCGGGGAACAACATAAATTATATCACAAATGTTCTTCCGAGTCAAGGTAAAATTTACTACATTTTCTTCTATGACTGCTTTCTTTCTGGTGTTTTAGTAGTTGTAATTGCCAATCCTGGTAGTGGCAAATGGGGAGGGAGGGTCAGTTTTTGCGGGCACTTTGTGCCACTGGTAGTTCTACGACTATCACTGGCTCGCTGACCCGCCAGAACCATTTTATTGCATTACACAACACCATGGACAAGCCAGGTACTCATTTATCAACCAGAGTTGGATGAATGGCTGAGTTGACCATGAGCTGAGCTTCCCGGCAGAACTTGCCCTCAGTGGGACTCGAACCCGGGCACTGGGTGCGAGAGACAGTCCTACCTCGCGTTGGTGATGACGGCAGCCTTGGGCAGGCCGGTGGTGCCGTCCTACCTCGCGTTGGTGACGACAGCAGCCTTGGGCAGGCCGGTGGTGCCGTCCTACCTCGCGTTGGTCATGACAGCAGCCTTGGGCAGGCCGGTGGTGCAGTCCTACCTCGCGTTGGTGATGACAGCAGCCTTGGGCAGGCCGGTGGTGCCGTCCTACCTCGCGTTGGTGATGACTGCAGCCTTTGGCAGGCCGGTGGTGCAGTAATACCTCGCGTTGGTGATGACAGCAGCCTTGGGCAGGCCGGTGGTGCCGGAGGTGTAGATGTAGAGGAGTTTGTCGGAGAAGTGAACGCTCTGAAGCTCCTCGGGTAACTCAGCGCTCGCTTTCTCCAGCTCAGCGTCCAGGCTCACATAAGCTGCAAAGTGGGGAATGCAAATTATTATTGTATTATTCTCATACAATTTTGTTTCTTAATAAAAACTGAAGAGAATGAGAGAGCCAGTAATGAGAATACACAAAAACTTTGACATTAAAACCAGATTCAGTTATGTAAAAAAATTCTAATGAGTACCTAGCTGATGCATGAGAGAATGATCATATTTTTACATTTAACACCTGAATTGTGGTTAAATAAATAAGTTGTTGGCAATTTTTGTCCCTATATAAAAAGGTAGAAGTGACTTATTGATACTAAAAAGCTAAAAAAAACAGGAGTAAGTAGCTAAGCTTAGAGTATTCCACTTGTCAGTTTATTATTTGCAGGCGTAACAAGTTTATTCCAACCTTTAACAACTCATGATAACTGCTTGTTTTCTTCTCTAGGTTATTTGAAGGATAACATGTAAATTAAACATTACCAGGGATAAGAAAAACATCAAACTTACAGAAATTAAAATTGGTCCCAGTTTACTAAGCTTCACGACAGATGAACTACATAGAGTGCTCACTTATTACTTAGATAACATATTGCATTAATACTCGTTATTTTTCTACTTCCTTCACTACAAGATTATATTAAGGTATTAAATGGATCACGCCACTGACGTATGGGAGTGTGTTACTCTCTTACCACAAGATAATTTAACGTAAAATTTACATGATAGGTATATTTTGATAATTTAGTAATGAAGGTAACAGACTAACAGATAATCTAACATACTAGGTACCTAAGTTAAGTGTAAGGCAACACAAGTTAAGTGTAAGGCAACACAAGTTAAGTGTGAGGTAAGATAAGGTAAAAGTAAGGCAAGATAAGTATAACTTAATATTAAGACAAGGTAAGAGTAATATAAGTTAATTATAACTTAATATCAAGATAAGGTAGGCATGTCGCCCCACTGACGTATGGGAGTGTCCTGGGGCAGGGGGGCGCCGTTGCAGCAGCTCACCAGCACCTGCATGCCCGGCATCAGCGGCTGCACCTCCAGCACACCTGTACAACATGGTAATAGTGGGGCAGTTGTTTCCTATTCATTTCAGTTGTATTCAAGCAATTCTAGTATAGGAATAGCAGAGCTTTAGAGCATTATATAAATCAGTTATATTAAAGCAATTCTAGTGTAGTAATAATATAGTAACATTTTCCGTAGCGGTAGCGGCGCTACAATCTAGTAAGTGTAGCGGTAGCGGCCGCTACATTTCAAAGTAGCGCTGCCCAGCTCTGAGTAATAGTGCAGTAATATTACAGTAATAGTGCAGTTATAGTATACGTAGAAATAGTGCAAAGATTTGCAAAGTAGCATGTTCATAAGCAGAACTTAGTATTGATGCCTAAGGTTAAACTGCAAAATATTTATGGCACTGCATTGTTAGACTGAGTAGGAATTCATAGGAAAACTTATAAATGCAACATCTTTAAAATGCATTTGAAAGCATTTACTCCATTTTCTCACTGTATGAAACCACATGTACATTTACTGCATGCAATGAGCAATGGCTTCAAGCAACCCAGTTCTACTTTCAGCCTGTATCCTTAGCTTTATCCTGGAGCTTCGGAGACTGGCAAATGAGTACAAATTTTTGCCCTTTCTATAATGTGATTGTTGATATAAGAATTATATTCCTATAACTCAATGCAAAAATCAAAATGTTCTTAGTTTGGTAATAAGAATATACTTAAATCCCTTTAGCCTGATTGAAAGTTGTAATAAGTACAGGTAGACTCAATGTAGAATAGTTTATCTGAAGACTTGCAATTTAGCATAAATTTTTGTCATTTCAATAATGTGATTGTGATACAAAAACTATATCCCTATAGCTCAATGGAAAAATCAAAATGATCATGGTTTGGTAATGTGAATATTAAATCCCTTTAGCCCGATTGAAAGTTGTAATAAATTCAAGTGGCCACAATGTAGAATAGTTTATCTAGAGTCTTGTGTGATTCTTGATACAATAATTATCAAAAAATTCAATGAAAAATCAAAATGCTTTTTTCAATGAATATAGGTAATAATAATGATTTAATGAACATAATAATAATGATTTATATTCAATAATGAGGAGATAAATCCCTTTAGCCTAATTGAAAGCTGTAATAAATACTAGTGGACTCGATGTGAAATACTGAAAGTGGTAATAAATACTAGTGGACTCGATGTGAAATACTGAAAGTGGTAATAAATACTAGTGGACTCGATGTGAAATACTGAAAGTGGTAATAAATACAAGTAGCCCCTATGTAGAATAGTTTGTTGCCATGCAACACATTTGTTCCAGGGATTAAGCTCACTGTGGACGAGGTCGTGGCTGCAGATGACGATGTTGGCTTTAGCCACGGCAATGCAGTGGTACAGCGACTTGTGCTTCAGGTTGTAGTTGATGAGGGCCGTGATGATGCCCAACTGGCAGGGGTGGTACAGCGTTATTACTAATGATCTATCTTATGTATAAATGAACACATCAATAACAGCTGATGTCATCAATAACAGCTGATGTCACCAATAACAGCTGATGTCACCAATAACAGCTGATGTCATCAATAACAGCTGATGTCACCAATAACAGCTGATGTCACCAATAACAGCTGATGTCACCAATAACAGCTGATGTCAACAATAACAGCTGATGTCAACAATAACAGCTGATGTCAACAATAACAGCTGATGTCACCAATAACAGCTGATGTCACCAATAACAGCTGATCACATCAAGAACAAATATCGTCAAGCAAAATTATTGTAGATGTGAATGCTTTCAAAAATGCTACCTACTTAAAATCATAGATATTCTTCACATGAGACACAACTCTAAAGAAGACATAAAAACCCAAATGCGTCATGTTTACCTTGGAGGCTCCAAGCCAGGTGGCAACGTACTCCGGTCTGTTGGTCATGACCAGGGCAAGGCAGTCACCCTTTTTCAGGTTCTTTTTCTTGAGCACATCGGCAACTTTGTTGCTGTAGTCTGACAACTGCGGGTAAATTTAGACAGTTCTTAATAAATTAGTGCATACAGAAATCTTGAACCATCTTCAATAACACTACGGTATTGCAAAGGCAATATTTTGTTCATAAAAGTATTAACCAGTACAGTTGGAAAGTGAATAATACACACATTTGTTGCATATACACACAGAATTAGAAGTCATATAATGTTAGGGCAATACAGATCTATCACTGTGTGAGGGATTTATCCTCTTTTACCTCAGCAATATGCATGTATAATTAAAATTATAAGTAGGTATACTATAGCTGATATTCTGAAAGCTTGAGTGCATGGTATTTTATTCCATCACATTGGAGTCACCAAGATTGAAGGTAAAATTATATTTATTACCATACATAACTTTAATAACAATTAACTAACTGAATATATATTTTTTATAGGCTGGTCACAAAACCTACCTGTTTGAAAGTCCATTTCTTGCCCTCCCAAATGAGTGCGACTTTATAAGGGTTCTTGACAACATTGCGCTCAAAGAGATCAGCGAGGCAATAGTCGCTGCCCTGCGCCCAGCGCACCAGCAGCCTCAGCCTCAGGTACCTCACCCCAGCACTGCACGGGGCGTGGCAATGATTAATAGCATTCTATTTTCTAAAAAATTAATACTTGATTGTTCAATAGGCTTAATTTTTGCTAAATTCCTACTCAAGGGCTCAATAAGATTCCTTTTCACAAGGAATTTCTTCTTTGTTGTTCAATAGGATTTCTCTTTTTGAGATATTTTTACCCCATTGTTTACTTGAATATCTAAGATCATGTAGTAATCAGTGCAGATACAAATACATACAAAATTTATCATCAGTAAACAAGAAAATCTAACAAGTCAGGATAATTTTACTCTCATTATTTATTTACACAAAATAGACACTGCCTGCTAGGAAAATTAGTTGAAGTTCTACACAAGGAATTCCAGATAAGGTATAACTAATAAAAAAATTCTGGTATATGAATGACATTATCATGAGGAGAAATGTGCAAGTAAATAAAAATATGCTTCAACATATGCCATGAAACATGCACTTAGCAATCATGTTGCTAACATTAACATAGACTATTCAAAGAATCATTTAATCCATCAGAGAACATGGAATACGTTGCAACTAATACAACTTGCAGCACTACACAGTCTCACACAAGATCCCGAGGCAGCGTCTTGTATGCCAGCCAGATGGTGTGATGCCCTCCCAGGGCAATGTAGCACAGCAGTGAAGCCCCCACACACTGCAGCTGAAACAAACATATGCAATAAAAATAAATAAAGGGCACTGTTTTTAAAGGGCACTGTATAATAATAATAATAATAATAATAAAGATGATATGACATAAATAATAATAAAGACAACATGACAATAATAATAATAAAGGGCACAGTAAAATAAATAGAGGGCACTGTTTTTGTTTAAATAAATGAACCAACACATGCAATAATAATATAACTCAGTACTCACTGCAGTGAGTGTCAGAGAGTGCATTTTCTCGCTAACAAAAACGTTAAGTCACGGACGGACAGACAGACAGACGGACGGACAGACAGACAGACAGACGGACATGGCGAGCACAATAGCGTCATTTTTTATAAATGAGAAAATGCGCTAATAATAAATATGATGGATGCTTCAATGTGGAAAGAAACACACATGCATACAACCATCAAAATGCCTGCTGTTATAAGTAAAAGTCACTCATCCACTGATAACAATTTCCTGATCATGATTGGTTATAGTCAATATAGATTTTTCCAATCTTAGCTGGTAGAGAATAATAGAAGCTTTTTGGCTCTGATATGATCAAGCAACAGGGGTAATCACTTTTGATTCAAATTGCATAACTCCTCAGAGACGAAATGAATTTCTATATGAATATTCAAGGTAGATAGGGTAAACACGGTATATTCCGTCATCGTAGGTAATTCCGTCACTTCTCTAGTTTTTCCTTTATATTAAGCTTTGTTCTAGTTCCATGCGTTCATTGATGGTTGAAATGGTGACCTCATACATTTGTGTGTCGAAATACTGCAAAAACACTAGGTCTTGGCCATCTAGTGGGAAAATATTGAGATTCAAAGAGAGACAATGCATGCCACCTGGTGAGATCATCGAAAAATGTGTCAAATTTGACAGTTGACCTTGCTCTACCAAATAGTGAATAACTGTATTTATAGGAAGAATATTATGGTTTGAGACTTTTAAATACGTCTGTGAATATATTAGGAATCCTTTAAGTAAACTTGTATTCGCTGATTTAAAGTCGTAAATAAATTAATAGATGATTAAGTTGAGTGATGGATTTAGACCCATCAAAACTAATTCCGACACAACTTGAATTGGGCACACACAGATCGTTCCAAGCTTTGTACAAAAATTGAAATTTGCTTAATTAAAAGCCTAATAGCTGTTAATTAAAACGTAATTAAGTAGTGTTCAATATTCGTTAGTGTTCTAATTCAAAGCTGTGTTGTATGCCAATACAGCTCACACAGCGAACGGAATTCGAATACGTTGATGTCGGCATTATGTATCAGTTAAATTTGAAGTGCTGACGCAATACAACTCACCACGTGTCGAATATTGCCACACACAGTGACGGAATATAGGGATTTGGTAGGTTTCCATTCTAAAGGCTTTTTAATAAATATGGCAACATTTTGTGACGTTTCATCGTTGCTGACGCATAGTGAAGTGTTTTGAGAGTCACGTGAAGGCAACAGAACTTACGTAACGCATACGTTTTTTTTAGAGTTTTTCATTTCTCAATGCGTCCTTAATGTGTCGGAATATACCGCATTTACCCTATTCTAATTTTTCACATAGAACCAAAAACACAGCTGAGATGGGTTAGGTATGAAAAAAAGGTCCAATCCAGGATGGAATTCTAATTTCGGAGGTTCATATATTATTTCGGTCCACCAAGACCACTTCTTCTATCCAACATTGTTATTTGAGGCAAAAAATGAACTTCTTAAAGGCTTAAAACACGCACGCTAACTTGCTCAGTTTCTATAAAGTACCTAATCACTTGGAAGTTGTAAACCTGCACCTATCACTCAACAATTAAAAATATCTTAGTTTTTGTATTTAAAAATGAGTTCGCCATTCCGAGAAAGCTGTGCCCTCTGCATTTTAGGGATAGAAGCGGTCAGACGTCAGTGTTCATTCAGGAGTAAAGAAGGCACGGTACCTGGTGTGAAGAAATTAAACCATTAATGCATTATACGTGTGGTTTGTTGCATATTAACAATCCAATGTACAAAAACTTGAGGTTATCTACTAATCTTCTTATTAACGATGATTTTTTCGTTGTTAAGTGACCTGTGACCAAACTAGCTACTAAGAAACCTACCGACCAACGACTGGAAAACCTACCGAGTACCGACCAACGACTGGAAAACCTACCGACCAACGAGTGGCATGTGGATTTTCAACGACCAGATGACCCCTGAGATACTATTACAACGACTCTTATGCCACACTATGAAACCTGGAGTGGAAGGTGGTATAACGCGGTGGTAGAATTGGTATTTCGATAGGTTTTCTTATATTGACATGAGAATATATTACCTATACAGAATTCCACACTGGGCCACTCCAATCTGAAGCATTGGGCACAATTTTCTTCAAATTTAAGATAAGAACAATTACTTTGCAGGTGATTTTTAAAATTTGCCTTCAGAAATGTACGTTTTTTTATTATCATAACAAAATAAATTGAGCAGGGACACACAAATTTACTGTGTTTCCTACATGTAGGAAACACAGTAAAGTCTACAAGAGATATTTATTGAGAAATGTGTTGGTTAGATCTCACAAAAACTAAAAAACATAGATTTTGATGCAAATAGGTTGGCATAAATCTTCAGATATGATTTGTTCAAAGAGAATGACACTTTGCACCCTGTGACCTTGGCACAAGTGCAGGTACCTATAATGTGTGCACTGCTGTCTTTATCTTTGCAAGCAAGCTAACTAAGATACTCTTAATTTATCGACTTTATTCAATAATGGTACTAACCCAAGTGATGGTTCCAGCTATCCACAAGGCAACCAGCACGGCCACGAAATATTTAGTATTTTTTGTGCCCATGATCAGTCAAACATTAGGCACGGAAACTAAAACAAAAAAGAAAGTACTGCGGGACAAGGATTGCCCAACACACTCAGCAGCCAGCGCTATCCTACCGACGACTACTTGGACAGATACAAAACAATGGATGCCAGGTCCGAAAACGGACTGATATTCGAACAAGAAATGTGAGTGTCCGAATTAGGAATTTCGGCAAAATTTGTCCACGATCTTTAATAATTATCAAGTGTGTGTATACATTGGGATAAAAATTTGGAGAAAATTTCCTGTTTTTCTACGCCACTTTCTCTCTAATTATTTAGTATTGACCAGACATTGTTATTATTATAAAAATAATAATAATTATTATTGGTATTATTTTATTATTATTATTTATTAATAATATCATCATATAATGATAAAAATTATTTCAACATGAATATTATCAATTTTATTATATTTTTATTATCATTCAATATTATTATCATCTAATGTAAAATGTCCACGATGGAGTACATTGACTAATATTTGGGTCAAAGGCTAAATTATTTAAGCAGAAAGTTCACAGATTTCACAGGAAAACACTAGAAGAGGCAGTTCAACGGGAGCCGGCAGAGTCGAAGTGTTGTGTTCGGTAACAAACGGTAAATGCCCAACAAGCGAATAGCCTTATATATGGAGACGCACGTCTCAGACACATGAGAGAATGTTAGAGTACAATATTGTGTAGGTGTGTATATTTATAACTCATATATTTATATCTCTCTACAATCCTTGAGGTTTTTGTTTTCATTGAAGGTTATTGAAGAAAAATCCGTTATGTCGTTAATACTAAAACTGAACGACATTGAGCTTCTTAAAAATTTGTTTAATTGTAGAACTGTCTTGTACCTAGTATGATTAACAATTTTTTAATTGGTCGCCTCGGACACATGTGTCGACAAGAGCACTGATATTTTATGTTAGGTCATGGATCACAATCGAGTGATCAATGGACATTTTCACTAATCACAATCAAGTAAATTCGCTCCTATGCACGAAAGTAATCAAAGTATTCTCACGACATTACCCACCATGTAATATAGCAAAAAAATACACTTCCCATTAGACTGAGCATTAACAAAATTTGATCAACTCCTCATCAATTCCCAATCATTTATTCTGAGGGAGAGCTATGAACAAACAGCAGCAGAGACACTGATTATATTTTCCTCTATTCCTTATTGTAATTCACGGGTCTCCGACATCGGCGGGGGTTGCCTGGAGTTATCTAACTACAAGTTCCGTCTTTTAAATAAGATGGAAATAAGTTAAAAATAATACTTGGAAAAACAGACCCAGGTCGAACAAGGGTTGCGAGTGGACTTTTCAATTTTTTTCATAGACTTAATTCCTTTAATATCTTCTTCATGCCAAGAAGGTCAAAGACGGAGACCCAGGTATTGCTTCCCATGCAATATGGCCCCTCTATACAAATTTCTCCCAGACGTGGATGCTTCAAAAGTATGTCTTCAATTATCTGACAATATTAATTATTTTAATTTTTGTTATCAACGTAAGCGACGTTTGAACTCTTTCCTTCTTATTTTATCTCCGATGAAAAAGTAATAAAAATAAACAAAATGAACATGTATTTTCCATGTGCATGGAAACGGATCATGAAAATTTTAACTAGTTATCAATCCGACCCGAGAGAGGTAATCGCTGGGAAAATTTCAAGCTCACAAGTACAAAAATTTACTCTGTTTCCTTTCACTGAATTATTGTAAAGTTGTAGTTTGACTAACGAATGTAACAACCCTTTCCGCTTCACATTACTTCCATTATATGTTGACATAATTCTACACGCGTTCTCGTAAAGCAGCGACGTTTACTTACTCAACTCACGCAAATAGATGAAATAATTATTCAGTTGAGTTAAATTGGATTTTGTCACGTTTATCTGTCGCCGATTTTCTACCACCCGGCCGCCTTACTAAGTTCTATCAGAATTTTCACTACCAATCGCTAGTTTCGAACCCAAAACTCACGGCTTCGAATCCCCGTGTTCTAGACCACTCGGTGCTTCCAGAAGCAGGAACAATAATATTGAACCAAATGTGACTCATGTTACGGAGGCCGTAAAGTTGGCTCAATAAATGTGATAAGTTAACTTATTAAGACGCTTGGTAGAATTTAGGAGAAAATTAGAGCTTACACTGAAATTTTATTACATAAAAACAAATTTCATTATATCTAGGATCGGCTTAGGTTTTCTAAGTTCTTTTTATAATTGATTTCATGAATAATTTATTGCGAATCTGATCAGTTCACAGACAACGAATTAAGGATATCAAAATTCTACTTTATTGTAAAAGGAATTTCGAATTTACTGCAACATTTTGGAAAAAAAACCCTTGCAGACACCGTCATAGAAATCCTAAATTTCCCAGTTCCAGAAAGTGATTACTTGAACGATGAAAAATCATTAATAAAGCTACAAATCTTTATATGTAATTATATTATGTATGATTATAGTATTAAATATATTTGATATTAATTGAAATAGTCCACGTGTATAGATAAAATACCGCATTCTAACAGTAATAACATGGAATACGTGCATCATTTAGTGCGGTATCCCCACTTCTGTGCTTCACGATAGTATAAAGATGCGCCAAAAATGTTCATAATGAAAGTTAACTGCACTGTTAATAACAGTGCGGCTTTTGTTATTCCCATTGTTCTTGTACAATAGTACTATATTTTTAATATTTCCGAATATCTCATCCCAATATAGCCTAATATACAACATTTTGCATCGTAAATCTAAAATACAATTCAATATATCTCAAAGCAGCTCAGTGCCTATATTCACCTCAATATGCCTCAAAATATATCTATGTATCTCAAAATGCCTAGGTGTTTTACCACTTCAATTAATATGCCTTCAATGCACCTCAATTATAATATGCCTCAATCAACCTCAAAATAAAGCTGAAATTTACCTGAATATAAAATAATATGTCTCAAAGTACCTCAATAGGCATCAATACACCTCAAAATATAACTGAAATTACATACGCATAAAACAATATACATCAAAATATCTCAATACACATCAAAATTCTTCGATGCTCCAGCGTGACAGGCGATATAATAACTCTATGGAACGATAGGGGAGGGGGAGAGTTCATGGGAATTTCAGGAGTATTTTATGTTACCAAATATACCATTTCCTCACCCCTCCCATAAAAGGGCAATCTACTGCGAATTTTTTAAGAGAAATTAGCGATCGCCATCGTTTACATATCAGTATTTATACGGAAATGTGAGGGGTGACATATAGACGAATGCTAATGATATTGATAGTTTATTTAGGCGACCGTTATTTTACGCTATCAAAGATTGTAACTTCCCCGATAAATGGTGATCTATCGCACCATTGATGGAGAGACTAACTTATAACAAAGAAAATTATCGCCATTGGTTGGATAATAATATTTCTTTAAACCAAATAATTTAATGTCATTGTGAATAATTTCAATCTCTAGGCTTGTAGTGGTGACTTTCGATTATTTAAATCCGCTGATGTGCAAGGGAGATTGTCCAACCATGGGCAAGGTGGCCCAGTGGTTAAAGTTCAGAGTACCAAGATTGGCGCAGAGAGGCGCGGGTTCGATCCCAGGGCCTATACTTTCAAAAAAAGTTAAGAGCTCGTAAGTTCATCAGCCAATCACAGACGGCCTTCCTAACAAGATCCACCAATCATAGACAAGAAAATAGAGCGTAAGCACTGACGTTCACTTAGCGAGTTTTGAAAGTATGGCCCCAGCTCTGTGCGCCAGTTTCTGGTAAGAATCGGCAAGGAGGTCGGGCGGTTAAGTACAGCAAATTTGAAGCAGTGAGTTGAGAGTTCGAGACCGCAAGAAGCTGTGAATGTTCTGCGATGTTCAGAATCGGCGACAGGCCTACGGCCTAATAAACGCTGAAACCGCTATTATTTTCTATTTATTATTAATCCTTTGAATTGAGCGGGAGAATGTCCATAATTTTATCCTCTGATCTGTATGGGTGATTGTCCGTGATTTTAATGTTTTGATTTTTATGGGAGATTTAATCCCTCGGTTTGTACACGAGTTTCCGATCAGCTGGTACCCGCAGGCCGGCATAGTTGCGGACGCCTTCTTCGGCGATGTCGACGCCGTGCGGGGGGCGCACGTCGAAGTGCTGGACGATGGCGGCGGTGAAGAGGAACAACTCCATGCGGGCCAGCAGCTCCCCCACGCAATGACGCCGACCTGTTGGGAGGTTCATAAAGGCTCATTCTCATTCATTTGAAATATATGATGAAAGAGCTCATACTGAAACATTTGTTGTCCTCTGCTGTCATGCTGAAAATCTGAATAAAATGCTGGTTGATTCCTTTTTTATATGTATTATGTTACATGACATTTTTATATCAGTATTTTTAATGGAAATGTGTCCTGATGCAATATTGCACGTATCGTCGATGAGTCATGCACGTTTCATGGATCTAAATAATAAAGTACGTCGCGCCGTAGATAACAACCTACGACTGCAGGGTGTTGGAGGGTGCAGCGGCGGGAGTGAAGTAGACATTTCGTTTGCGTCACGTTTTTCTATTCACTACTCTTGAGGTATTTTATTTACTATTTGATACAGTTACAGGTATGCAGATACAGTGCAACATCTTCAATATTTTCAGGGAGCTTTGCATTCTGCCATCGGCAGGCCTGATATCTATTCAGGTAGTAGAGGGTTTCAACTATCAAAATCTCACCCGAACCGAAGGCGAAGAAGCCCTGCTTGGGGGCCGTGAACTTAGTTCCATTCTCGTCCAGGAATCGTTCAGGGTAGAACTTGTCGGGCTCTTCCCAATACCGCGGGTCGTGGTGGACGGAGTAGTTGGAAACGATGATTATCGTGTCCTGCAAATAATTCACATGGTAGGAGGTGATTATAAGCTTAATACATCGGTAATACATTATTTTCAACCGATTAAAAACTTGGAGTATGCACCACCTTGGGGATGAAGTAGCCGTTGATTGTTGTGTCACGCGTGGCAGAGCGCTGAACGTTCATGGTGATCATTGAGGAGTACCGCATGGTCTCCATCACGAAGGCTTCGATCAGAGGCAACCTGCAGACAGGAGGTTACTTCTTATAGATGAATGTAAAAAATGAACAACAAGCGTAAAATTGTTGAAAATTGGTTTGTACAAGGTCCCAGAATGATTACTAGAATTTGAAACAAGAACCAACACCAGGGGACACGGCTATAAACTAAAAAAACTGCATGCAACTTATCCACGAGACAACATTTCTTCTCGCTTCGAATCACCGACATGTGGAACAGCCTCCCTGGGCATATTGTTGATTAACACTCCGAGTATGAACGCGTTCAAGAATAGACTAACAAGGCCATGCAGGAGCATATGAATAGTCTTGAAATGCCTCGTAACCTACGGAACAACTGAAATCTAGAAAACGATTTTAAACCAACCGTCCGTTGAAAAGATTCGATCAAAAGGCCGGTCTAGTCAAATACAAGAATCGGCGTCAGGCCTATATCCAGGCCTATTATTCAATGCCGAAGATACTATACTATACTAAGAGAAAATTTATTCGATGCACGACTAATATAATTCCTCGTAAGTAAAAAAAGGACATTTTTCTAAATAAAAAATAGAAGATTTACCTTACAATGATTGTAGAGTCTAGACACTAGCATGATATTAGAGTCTAGACACTAATAACTAAATGATTACCAATTGCCTCACCCATTAAAATGTTGTGCATATCTCCTCTTACGACACATCCGAGAAGGCATACAGTTACGCCCAAATTCTTGTACGTAGCTTCCCGCGCAAATGTTTTGCTAATACCACCGCTAGAGTTACGTCTTCATAGCAGCACTTACGTAACACGTAAGTCGCTACGTATACTTAGCGATGTTTTGATAATCCGGCCTCAGCCATTCATCCAATTCTGGGGTCGGATTATCAAAACGCTGCTACGTACACGTAAGTACGTGCGTAAGTACTGCTAAGTAAACGTAACTCAGAATGGTGGTATCATAAAATCCTTTTGCACTAAGTTAAGAACAAAAAGTTGTACGTAACTTTACGACATGTCAGAGGTTGCGTACATTTTTTGGATTGTGTGACGTCATCGAAGAAGCGTGACGTCATCGAAGTCAGAATGTAAACACAGGTGGTATACGAGCCTCTGATTGGCTGATGTGCAACGTGGTTGGAAGATACTATCTAAGAAAAGTCTTGAACACGCAAGTTTTTACAATGCAAAAACTGGTCTACTTACAACTTAGCGAAGTTTTGATAATCCGCCCCTTGCTTGATAAATGAGTACCTGGCTTGTCCAGGGTGTTGTTTAATGCAAACATAATGGTTCCAACGGGTCAGCGAGCCAGTAATGGGCGTAAAACTACCAGTGGCTCAAGTAGCTTGAGTAGCCTGAAAAACTAAAATATCAACCCCCTCCCTAGTCGCCACTACCAGGATAGGCAATGACAACAATAGCACCAATATATAGCATTGAGCATCAGGCGTTCGTGCCACATCCAACGCTGCTGCGTCGGTTTCGTTTGTAAGAGTTTACGCTCCAACTGTGTACGACTGCTTAAGTGATGAAATCCACATCCATGCACAAACTTTCGCGGCATACTTTTGTGAAATTTTGATTAATTATTAAGTTATTTCTAAAACCATTCGAACCCTTAATTTTGGAAAATCTTACCTGTTTGACAATCTTACCCTGGCTTATCGTCGAGCGACACCATGCGGTCCCTGGGCACGACGGCGTCTATTTGCTGCTGCATCCTCGTTGCGTACTCTGGATACCGGGCGAGCAGACACTAAAACACCAGCATTTTCATAGTGTAGGCGATCGCCTCTGCTAGCAGAGGCTGGACATAGGCTATGCATGTCCTGTGTGTAGTAGTCCTTGTCCTAAAACCATTTGAACCTCTAGTCTCAGACAATCTTGCCCGTTAGACAATCCTACCCCGGCTTGTCGTCGAGAGACACCATGCGGTCCCTGGGCACGACGGCGTCTATTTGCTGCTGCATCCTCGTTGCGTACTCTGGATACCGGGCGAGCAGGTAGGCCACCCACTTCAGCTGGAAGTTTACTGTGTCTGATCCCGCTTGGAACAGGTCGTTGATGATCTGGCCTAAGGCTGGATTTTGAAACTGTGATTACCAACTGGAGAAATCGCTAACGTTTGTGTGTAATTTATATTACATTTTCGATAGTCAGGACATCCCTTTTTAAACTAGATTGCTCACCTCCTTTTCTGAAGAAGGTTTCATCGTCCCCTTCGCCATCCTTAATGCCTTTGATGTACTCGTCCATGAGATCTCGTATGTTGTCTGGGTCGTAGTCTTTCAGATGTTGGTCTATGGTTGCCTGCATGCTCGCATGTTTAAAATCTATGCACTATATAAATTCTGGTATATATACGATTTGAGAAACCTGTGATTGATCAGATCAGAATACAAAAGCAAGGAATCCTAACTTTTGATTCTACTTCTATTGTTCATTTCCCAATGCAATGGTCAGCGTATTAATCTAAGCTATTTCGAATTTAGCTCATTAAAATAATCCTTGCATATTAGGTTTGCTTAAATCGCCTGTTTTCCAAAAATGTATATCTAAAAAAAAAAACGCCGGATGAATTCGTCATATTTCATCAAAAACTTGGAAGATTATGATATGAGAAATTTCCTTGACAATTTCTTCGCTTTTAAATTCTAAGCTATACTAACCTTTACTATGGCTTTCATCTCGTCGAAGAACTCGTCAACAATGTGTTCATTGAACAGGTAGTTCTTCACGCATTTCGGTAGGTAGTCAAGTACCGGGACGAACGAGGGTAGGAACATGATGGGGGTAAACTTCGTCTGGAACTCCTTGCTGACTTTGTAGATGGCTTCTACCTCCGTGCTTCGTAGGTCGAATCGCGTACCTATTGTATTTACAATTATACCTGTTACTGTATTGGAAATTTCATTCTGATCATTTAGTATGATTGATTTTTTGCATATTTTAAACCTAGTCTGTAAAGGAACAAACATTGAGGTAAAAATACCAATCGATGGAAGTTCGACAGAGAGATCATCAAACGTTTTTTGTACGAGGTGGTTAGAACACAAGACACTCTTTCCCACTGGTAGATTATCGAAATAGGTTACCAACTTAATGATTTAAATATAATCTACGAGATTTGATACTCAATATAATACAGATTTCCAAATAATTTCCAGATCAAAATCACCTGATCCCATGTAATTAAGAATCTAGTTTTACCGTTTGGTGGAGCTTTTAATTTATTTCCAGAACTAGTGTTCTAGAGGTATATACCTAATGACATGAAAATTAGATTTATCACCATACTGGTAAGACAAATCCAATTTCTCTTTAGTTTGTATTGGCAGATCTTAGATCCGGTTGACAACCCAATTCAATTTGAATAATGGACACACAGTCAAATAACAGATATTGGTTTCCAATGACCGGCCTTAGACACAACCTATTACACGTACACTGCAAACTATAATGAATATGCAACTCACTGGCCACCATCTGCCAGATGATGTTGAGCGCCACAGTCCTGAAGCTGTCGGGGTAGTTGATGGCTTCACCGCCGTACTTCTTGAGGTCTTCCACCAGCGCCTTGGCTTCGATGTTGATGGCCTCCTCCAGGTAACTCTTGCCCATGCCTCGAGAATTAAGTGTAGAATATAATAAGATTCACAGTGTATCGTCCATAATTAACGGTGTAACAAAAATTCCATGTGTGCTACAAAACGGATGCTATTGCGTTAACAAATGGTCATTTCCCACCGAGCTTGCGGAGGTTGCGCAGCACAAAGCGACGGTCGTGCTGCCAGTGTACGCCGTTGCTGCCAAGCAGGCCTGTGGGGAAAGTAGGTAATTTAAGGACTTCATTCGTAAATATTATCACCGGTTACCTAAATGCAGTCAACAATGATGGATGTAAGAACAGTTAGAATACTGAGTTTGTCATATTTAAACTCGCATGTTCACACTAATAATCTATATCGTAAAACTGCCTAACTTTTGCTACTTTACACCTTACGCTACTTCGTGAATAACAATTTTTACGTGGTTAACTAACTACTTTGTGAACATTTTAGGACTAGTTAATTAAGCTCTAAAGCGTGGCTCTGTCGAACAATAAGAAAAACCTTGACACTTCTTTCTCATAATGTACCTTTCCGAGCTCAAAGAAGTTAAACGGTTTCGCGTTACTTATATTTGGAAATTAGTGATTTTTATCATCAAACCATTTAGAGGGATAATAATATTACATATTGATTTATTCAATTCGCGTGCACATAATATGATATTAAGTGACTTTCCAAAATTAAAAACCATTTTCTAGTCTTCATGTCGTGATTAAAGGTGTTTTCATGTTAAAATTCATAAAAAGCTGATGTGTTATGTTTAACACTGTTAAAAAGTGTTAAGAGGCCTAATTACTCGGAGACTTATCGAGTAATGAAAATAATTGCTTGGAACTGTAGGAAGAAAATTAAGATACGTGTCAATTAAGAGCGTCAATGTTGTATGATAAATTTTTCAGTAATATCATCAAAAGAACGGAATACGTGGCATTAAAAGCTAATAACCTCCTAGTTTCTTGTCATCGATGCTGAATGTGGAGAAGAAAATAGGGCGGTCGGCGAACTCGAGTCTCGCCATGGCCTCCTTGGCGGTGTTGTAGTCGAACAGAAACACATTGCGGAACGATCCAGTCCGATACCTGGCATAGTGCTGTCAAATTATCATGTGCACGGTACCTATCATAGTACAGTTAAATCATCATATGCGTGTTACTGAGCACAGTGCAGTTAAATTACCATGTGCACAGTACCTGGCATAGTGCAGTCAAATTATCATGATTGTAGAAGCTATGTAGAATCTACCGATATTGTAGATCGTGGAACCTACTACAAATTGTAAAACTTACAAATATTGCATGAAAATGCACTTCGAAATTATTGACAAGTCTTGGTAGAGTATGATAGGTTGCGTTTCAGAGGGTGAACAAAATCAATGCTGCTCAAATTTACGTAAATTTGACAAATTGGTTCAATGCATTAGGAAGGTGAAACCTAACTTCGATTATGGAACAAAATGTACTCGTTCCTTTACTCACATAACAACGTCGCCATACTTTTTCTTCAGATCTTCCGCAGGTCCTTCATCTATGATGGGGAGACCTCCGAAGAACGGTATTTCAAACGGACCTGAAGACAGTAATATCTTGTCATTTAATTCAGTTAATATCTAATTTAATATCAGTGATATATGTAGTAAGATCACTTGACTGCTTAGATCGCAGATTCACAAAAAATTTAAAAGCAAATAAAATCGCCAGAAAATTTACTATGTCTAAAACGAGAAAACGTTTCGGAGTCCAGCTCCATCGTCAGTTCAAAATCCTATAAGACAAGCAGAATCGGTTAGAAAACTAAGATTCACATTAGAGATAAACTTAAAGTTACAAAAGAAAAAACTAAGAAGCATGAGGCAACAGGCTTATTTATTTGGAATATCAAGGTAATAAGAGCCGAAGGCGACTTTAAACTAGGTTTTTGTTTAAAATATAGAGGGATTCTAAAATTCTTAGGTTTGAAACACCGGTCGTTGAGGTTAGAACTCTAAACGTTTTCTCATACAGCGGAATGGCAAATTTTCTGGCTATTTTCTTTGCTTTTCAATTCTTAGTAATATCAATGATGCAATATCAAATATAACAGGGGTTTTTAAAAGTCTGAGAAGCGTGAATTAAAGTGTTTAATAAGTGATTGTGAAAAAGCTTAACTATATCCTTCGTCATTCAACTTAAGCATATGAATTAACATTCATAAGGCAAGGGCATTATATATATTATTTCAACAAGTTGCAGGCTTGAACTATACTCACCAGGGGGGCAGTTGCGGGGGCGCCTGTCCCTCAGCACCGCGTACACCAACACCAACACAAACAACAACACAATCTCCACTAACATCTCTGCGTTGTTTGCCCGGTCTGATTGCTCAAAATAACTCAATTTATACAGAATGTAAATGCGACTAGAATCTGAAACAAAAATAGTTTGATATCCTATCCATTCGGAGATTGTGAGCTTAACGCAACACCAGGACGAATTTTTCTACCTATATAGGGACTTATTATTCTAAAACACGACACTTTTTAATGATTCTAAAACACGACTTTATTGAATCAATATTCATTTGGCCAAATGCTCAGACTTATTATGTTTGAAATGTGTTATAGAATTGTTAGAAATTTTAGTGTATGCATCCATGTGATCCATATGGAGGCACTAGCTGGTCAGTGGAATGCAACTACAGTGCCCGTAAAAAAATATACTTATACGGACTTTATACCCAGAGAAATGACTCAGATTCAGTCTAATAACGATGCAGTTGCGTGGGTCATATTGACAAAGTTTCGCCCGAAAAAGGAGTTATCAGTGCTCCTGCCGCTAATTGCGCTGTGGGCATGAAAGCTTGTTGATATTTGGACAACAATACCCATCCATTTTACTAAGTGCATAAACCAAATACGGGAGTAAATGGTGTTACAACTCTACGTATTGTTGGGTGATTTGTGATGCTGATGATGGATGTCATAACAAATAACAAATTAATTCAAATCGTTAGTTTAGACAAAACAGTTTTTAGACAAAAATTACTTCTAATAGATTATTAGTCTGGTTATTCCATCAACAGCCTAAATAAAGTTCTTCAGGTTATAGAAGTAGCACACTAACGCTAATAATAATAATAGAGAGATGTCTATAAGAAAATAACCACGAATTTTTATTTTACGATGGTCAACGGCTACAAAATGTTCACTTAAGACTAAGCGATGACCGATTTATTGAGCATGGTGGGATTTTCATATTGGCCGTATCTGCTTGTCAATTTATAGTATGAAATAAATATCACTCGTTGCATAGTCACTGACAAGCGAATTTTCCCCGACGTCGTCGCTTGTCCCTGACATCGAGTTACTCGTGTGGAGTTGAAATTACAAACTCTTATTAAAAGACCCAAGCTTGAAGCTCTTCAATTTCGGGCCAAGGCCAAAACATGGGTGAACTCAACGCACATAATCTACACAATATATTGATCTATGAGTAATATAATTCGCATTTACGCTGCAATAGTATAACATCGTTCGTTATTTTCTGGAAATTGTTTCGAAAAAGTTCTTTCACTATTAAGGCTTAATGAATATGTAGATTGTCAACAAAGAAACACAGACCAGCAGAGACACCAGACCTCACACGCCACCAAGCCCTGTAGTCAGTGTAATCTCACGGCCAAGTTGACAAGCTATAAGAGAGCTCCATCAGTGCACGCTATCACGCAGCCGTGCACCATTAGGCTCTGTAATCTTATCTCTGCTGCTAGTTATATTCCTTGCTACATAAGTAGTTCTACCGCACATAAAATATGTTGATGAATGAAAATACATTGATTAACCAATCCTAATTAATTCAGGCATTATCCGATTTTATTATCCCTAATACCAATTGTTGAAACATAATTTTTGACGCACGATATATGCAAATATTCTAAACGTCATAACCCAAATATGAATAAAAATTAATAAATGATACAATAAGTCATTTTACCGAACCAGAAGTACTTTCCAGATACGAAGACACGAAAACTCACAATATTGGTTGTCTTTTTTAATTAACAATGTATGACTAGTGAACTAAGTTAATATATGTGGCGACAGAGCGAAATAGTTGCCTTCTTATGTTTTGTCAGGCTGTGAACAAAAAAATGCAGTAAGAAAATAAGCTAAAAATTACCTTTTGTAAATAACCGAGTAGACACTCATAAATTAAACATAAGAAAAGTCAATGGTTTCTGTATAAAGCTGAAATTTGTCGTTGAAAACAAATCAAAAATCATATTTACCATAATTCTAATGCCGATTTCTTCAGTAAGGAATTGCAATTGAAATAGAATGCTCATGGGAGCCTAACTTTTTATGTACAAATACGGTAATTGTTGCATGGAGATAATTCTGAACACAATAATTCATATTTTAAACTAGATATTACACTCAAGCGATGACGTCTTCAGCGGCAGCATTCCTCAGTTCAAACTTGCACGACATGATGCAACTGATTATATGGAGGCCACAGTCCATGCAGATCTGCGATAAAAGAACTCATTAATATCTCAGGAGCAAGATTTTGTATATTATAAGCATATCGAAGGCTCATTGCGAGGTGAAAATAAATAATTCGTCAGACAAAAATTTAAGGGATTAATAAATTTTGACTAATTGAGGGCGATCGAATTGAGATTGGGGTAGTGTTTACACGAGCAGGTAGAAATAAGATTTGTTGCACTTAGATAAATGAGTGAGATTTTGTCCAAAAGCAATGAAATATATGCCCTTGCGTTGGTCATCCTAACCCAGTTTTGCTCAGAAAAAGTGCTATACATGACACATATAATGGTACTAGTGCTTTAAGTATAATAATACGTCAATATTTAGACAGTGTAACTCAAAAATTTTCTTCTGTTTGCAGACGGTTGCCGGCTGGGAACCATCCCAGCGGCAACGCAAACAAATAATTACTCAAATATATCTTTAATTAAGTAAATTAATGAACAAGTATACGGGATTTTAGCTACTATACTTTTCAATTAAGGTATAGATGAAATCTTGAGAAATAGCAGTTCCAGGGAATTACGTATTTTATGAAGGTGTGAAAGTCTTGAGAATTTGAGAATAAAATGATTGCTGACCTCATATACTCAATAATGCAATTATGTTAAATTAAGCGTACCTCGTCTCACCATCCATCGTCTGAGTGGGAGTAATTTGCAACAGCTAAGGTTGTCATATTAACAGAACACTTTAGCTTCGACATCTCATGCGCGTAATAAGGAACGCTTTTCTTTGTCGTCGGCTATATCGTCATACTAAGATGCAATGGCAAAACTGACATTTTGAATTTGTAATTAACTAATGTTTAAAAGCGCTTGAAACCATAAAATATTGAATTTAGGGGTCTATTGCTTATTGTTGGAATAGATTCTACTCATTGGAGAATAGTGGTCACATAAAGATCCCATGCACAGAAACCCTTTTAGGCTAGAAAACCCCCATCTACAAATTGCCAGACCGCTGCTGTTTTTGGTATACGTTGATCTCAATGAGCAGTCGGTTTAGTTGGAGCCATGCAAAAGTAAAGAGCCATGCAAAGGTAAATATTAGTAATAGAGTCGAGCCAGACGCTGCTCTTTGCCGATGCTGCCGCGCAGAGCAAATTAAGCCGTTTCAACGTGGCTTCTAACTCAGCGCTGTCGCAGGGTTGATTTAGAGAAAACTTCAGCAGTTGAATATATTATCAATACTTGAATCGATTGTTGTAGAAAACTACTACTGAAATAATGTTTTAGAGAACCTTTGAAATGAAACCATTGTATTGCGAACAGGTTCAAAATGTGTGCTTTAGTTGAACCCAGACTCAACTTTCAGAATTAGGTTTAATTACATAACAGGAAGTTTCCGTGAATAACCATGTACATTCTTTTAAACTGAGGAGCGCAAAAACGGTTGGTGGCATAGAACGTGACAAAAGTATGACATAAATTAACTTTCAGAAGTCTAGCACGTCGAAGTGCTGGACGATGGCGGCGGTGAAGAGGAACTACTCCATGCGGGCCAGCAGCTCCCCCACGCATTGTATTGCTTGATGATTGCTTCTTGTTTCAAATTCTAGGACTCTTTCTGGGACCTTGTTTAAGGACCTTATTTTGCTTCCCAAGCATGGCCTCTCTATAATAAATTTTCCCAAGCATGGTTGCTGCAAAAAGTATGTTCAGTTATTTGAAAATATTCATTATTATAATTTTAGTATTGATCAACGTAACAGAGGTTTGAACGCTTTTCTTCTCATATTATGTCCTATTAAAATGTTATGAAAATTAAAAAAATGAACATATATTCCATGTGCATGGAAACTTATCATGAAATCGTAAATTTTAACTAGTTTTACAGTCTGACCTGCGGGGGATAATATCTTGGGAAAAATTCAACACCAGGCAAAAAAGAACTTTCCTTTCACTGAATTGTTGTGAAGTTTTATCTTGACTCGCCAATGTATCAACCCTTTCCGTTTTACATTACTTTCACTTTTGTTTGACATAATTTTACACGCGTTCTCGCGAAACAGCGCCGTTATTTACTCAGCCCACGTAAATAAATGAAGTAATTATATACTTGAGTTAAATTGGATTAGGCCAAGTTGGTCTGTGGCCAATTCTCAACCACCCGCCGCCTTTACCTTCTATCAGAATTTTCACTACCAATCTCGAGTTTCGAACCCCAACTTGCGGCTGCGATGACGGCGATCTAGATTCTAGACCACTCGGTGCTTTCATAAACAAGAACAATAATATTGAACCAAATGTGACTCATGATTACGGAGGCCGTAAAGTTGGCCCAAGAAATGTGATAAGTTAACTTTTTAAGAAGCTCGGTAGAATTTAGGAGAAAATTAGAGCCTTTACTGAAATGTTATAACATATAAACAAATTCCATTACATCTTATAATCGCCTTAAGTTTTCTAAGTTTGGTTTTTAATGGATTTTATCAACAATTTATTACGAACCTGATCACAAAAAGCTAATTAAGGACACCCAAATTCTAATTTATTGTAAAAGGAACTTCGAATATAATGCACAATTTTTGCAAAAAAAAAAAAAAACTTGTAGACACCGACATAGAAATCCCAATTTTTTCAGTTCCAGAAAGTGAGAATAGAATTAGATGAACGAAAAAAATCATTATTAAAGCTATGAATCTTAATATGTAAATTTATTATGTATGATTATAGTATTATATATATTCGATATTGGTTGAAATAGTTCACGTGTATAGATAAAATACCACATTCTAAGTCAAAATAGAATACTTGCATCATTTGGTGGGGTATCCCCACTTCTGAAGATGGGTCAACTCGAGTATTGCTGTGCAATAGTTCTATTTTTAAAAATATTTTTGAATATCTCATTTCAGTATTGCCTAATATACAACATTTTGCATCGATGTGCCTAAATACAATTCAATATACCTCAAAACCCTTCAGTGCACATCAAAACGCCTTAATTGTCCTCAATATGCCTATAAATACGTCAATATATCTCATAATGCCTCAATATAAACAATATAGCTGAAATTATCTAAATATAAAAAGATATGTCTTAAAATATAGCTGAAATTATCTAAATATAAAACGGTATGTCTTAAAATATAGCTGAAATTACCTACATGTAAAACAATATACCTCAAAATATAGCTGAAAATATCTAAATATAAAAGAATATGCCTCAAAAAATAGCTGAAATTACCTAAATATAAAACAATTTGCCTCAAAATACCTCAATGGGCAACAATGCTCTACAATAGCCTTCAATGCTCGAGCATGGCAAGCGATAATAATTTTTGTGGGACGACAGGGGAGGGAGAGAATGGATTTCAGTATATAGTATTTTATGTTACCAAATATACCTTTCCTTCCCTCCCCCAAAAATTTCCAAAGAGAAGTTAGCGATCGCCATCGACCCCATATATCAATAGATATATACGGAAATGTGAGGAGCGGCATGTAGACGAATGCTATTGAAATTGATATATAGTTTATTTAGCCGACCGTTATTTTGCTCTATCAAATATTGTAACTTCCCCGATAAATTGTGTTCTACCGCATGATTAATAATCTATTGGTTGCTTTATACCAACTAATTTAATCTGATTGTCAATAATTTTGATCTCTTGGTTTGTAGTGGTGACTTTCGATTATTTAAATCCACTGATTTGCATGGGAGATTGTCCATGACTTTAATCCTTTGAATTTTACGGGAGATTATCCAAGATTTTAATCCTTTGAATTGTGAGGGAGAATGTCTATGATTCAATCCCTTGATTTGCATGGCAGATTTAATCCCGCGGTTTGTACACGAGTTTCCGATCATCAGGCACGCGCACGCCGGCGTAGTGGCGGATGTCTTCCGCGGTGATGTCGACGCCGTCCGGGGGGCGCACGTCGAAGTGCTGGACGATGGCAGCGGTGAAGAGGAACAACTCCATGCGGGCCAGCAGCTCCCCCACGCACTGACGCCGACCTGTTGGGAGGTTCATAGAGAATCATTCTCATTCATCCGAAATATATGATGAAAACAATAAAGCTGAAACATTTGTTGTTAAGGAATAGGACAAAATTTAGAACGAGTACATTGTCGTGAATCACGTTTTAGTAATAGTAATTTTTCCATTTTGGTATAAGCCATCCGCAATTCAGGTTTTGTATACTTCTGAGATTTATTGATTCATGTTTAAGGACGATTGGGTGTGAACTACAACGGGGCACGACGCAATTATACATGCCCGTTCTATGAAATGTAACTCAGTCGAAATCCGGATCCCGTTCAGGGGTGCCTGAGGCTCGCCATAGTCGCCAAAGAGGCAAATCAGACGCCAATCGGCCACCTATCATTATCGGCTACTAATTAGGAGCCGTTTCCGGGAGTCATATGTCCTAGGAGCCGAATCTACATAAGACAGCCGAAATAAGAGGCTGAACAGACTGTCCCATGCCCACCCTGTCATGTAGCTGACTCGAGTTCTTAGCGCAAGCGTGACCAGGCCCCTGATTCAGAAACCCAAACGATGCGAAATTAGGCGAAGGAACTTCTACACGCGTGCGTTTCAACACTCGTGCATTGCGTGTACGTCAACGTGTGACTTTACGTTTTCTTTAATACGCTTGATTTGAATGTTTTTTTTTGCTCACGCAAACCGCTTCGACGCTTTTGTGACCAAATTTTGGAACGAAATTTCAAGGTCGCGCCAGCGTTTGCGCGAGCTTCATTACGCGTGCAATGAGTGTCTGTCAACACGCGACCATTACGCATGCTTTATTAACACGCGTGCGTTGCGTTGTCTTCGACCCGCATGCCGCGCGTTCATGTCAAGACGCTTGCGATACGTTTCCATGAACCCGTTTGAGTTACGCTTGTGCGAACTCCCAATTGCGATATGTGTACATGAACACGCATGCATTGCTTTTACGTCAAGATGCGTGTACCGCGTGTGTTCACCAAAACACCAACGTTTCAGAGGCAGAGGTATCAAAACAATCCCCTTTATACTCCCTATTGAGGAGTGGGGTTATCAACTACCCGGCTTGAGACTATGCTGGGCAGTCAGACGTAGTTCGGACTTCGGAGGCGCTGATATTGAGCAGTGGTGTACAGTTATTCATCCCGTTTGGACGTCGGTTGATACACGCATCTCATCCAAATTGTGTAATCTTATAGTGTATAGTGAAGTCTACAACTTGAAAACAACTTAGTGTTAAAAACTGAATATTAACTTTTTGATATTTTCAGCAGTACAAATTCCTTAGTTTTTGCTGTCCAGTGCTTTCTGAAGTAAAGTCCGTTGTAATACTTCTCGTCGGCAGGCGGCATTCATCATGGCTACGCGATTGTGCGAAATTGTTTGTTTAACGAATGGTTTCTTCGACGAAAGAACTGTTCAGCTTTGGGCATATGTCAGCATGCTGGAGCTTATCGCTCAAGCAGAAGATAGCTTATATGAACTATCGCTTACAAGGAGTCCACATCTGTGAGCAACATGCGCGACTCCTCATGCAGTTGCTTCTCCCCGCGACTTCTCAGTTGCTGTCTTGTAGATATCGTGTCAAACTTGATAATATCACTGTTTCATGGATTTTTTCTTCATTACTAGGTAAATTGTGGGCTAATATAATCTTATTTATGCTTTTACTGAGACACATGATTATTTCATTACTGAAATGACGGAAATGATTACGTCAGTGAACAAATTGACATGCCATTTATTGAGTGAAAATTTTGGCAGATTGCTGGTTCACTCAAATTGCCAGATTGCTAATTCACAAGAAATATGACAGTGGGGTAACAAAATTTCAGTTCCAAATAGCTGTTTTCTAATTCTGCTTATAAAAAAATGAACCCAAATTTTACAAGACCTCATTTCTAAATATATTATTTTATATATTTCACTTCTAAATATTATATGTTAATATGATGATTCTACAACTTCTTTCAAGTGACATCAAGTGAAAAATAACTTTTGTGAAGGTTACCATTAATCATTAATAGGTGTGAACAGGAATTGGCTGAACTTGAATCCTAATCTGTCCTTAAATATCTAATCATATCTAGTTTCTTTAGAAGCTGAGACCAATAACTTTAATTTTATTCATGTAGAAAGTTTGCATCATTCCAAGGGCTTATCAAAACCCGATGAAGTGTTGCACCACCTGACTTTAATTAATCATGACCCTCTTTATTTTACACTATTACAGATCAGAATCACTCAATACTTAATACACGTGTTTGCACATTTTTCACTTGGGCAACAACAATGAGAAGTTCTAATCTTCCCAAGGAACATGAATAGCTCCATGATAGCTACATGCATGACATATACCTACTTTAATTACCCGAAATATAGCTTACTCCAAAAATAGCAACATCTGGCCAGCAAAGGAGGCGGACCAGAACACTATGGCCAATGCTGAGGCCAAATCTACTGAGTTGTGTGTGTGTGCCCACATACAACTGCGAAAATTCTACTAAAGCATTTGAGTTAATTTTGCCTATTTGCTAACTTGTTGCGGATAATTTTTTTCAGAGTGAAAGTGCATGTTGGATATTTGTTCACATACATGATGGTGTTGCTGAAAAATATTTATATATTGCTTGAATATTGCTATCATTTCAGTTGCATTAGAATGCCAATAAAGTGTAGATCACAGGAGTATGAGATAGTAAGGTTCGTTTAACTTTGTGGTAGAATTCATTTTTCTGCATGACGGATATGAGCCGGATTGTGTTGAACATCATAGTAGCGGTACTAAAAAAAGTTGACTGGGAATCCACTGTGATTCCAATAAAGTTTTCAGCTGAAATTCAGTCTTTCGCCTTAAGGCCCGTTTATACTGGGGGCAACACACGGGCGTCAAGCGCCTCACAGCCGTTTGTGCAGCGTCTACGTGCGCTTCATGCGGGCAACGTAGCGATTGACGAGCTAGCGATTCGCAGTCGCCCCGCCTCTTGCAACTCAAGCGCTGCTGTCAGTAGAAGACTGTCAGTGGTCTAGCGAGGTTGTCTGTATACGCTGGTCCTTAACAACAATATGTCGACTAACTCCACACTCGTTTCGACTCGCTTCTCTAGTAGAAAGGCTGATTGATCTTTATCATTGGTTCCCAAACTTTTTCAGGCTGGCGACCCCTTTGGCTCAACAGTGAATCTCTAGCGCCTCCCCCCCCCCCCTGACAGACACATATAAATACAAACGCCTCTTTCTTGATAATTAGTACGCTGTAATTTTAAAAGATAAAGTTTAAACACAAGTGAGTATTTCAAAAATAGAACCCCATTTAGCAAACCAATATATATTTTACAGTTTTAACTGTTTGTCGCCCATTTTGGGAACAACTGATCCAAATAGTAAAGAACGTCGTGCCGTAAATCACAACCTGCGACTGCAGGGTGTTGGAGGGTGCAGCGGCGGCGGTGGAGTAAACATTTAGTCCGTGTTACGTTTTTCTATTTACTACGCTTAAGATTTTTTACTTACTACTATTTGATAGAGTTACAGATATACGTGGACAGTGCAACATCTTCATTATCATCAGGGCAGCTATGCCGTATGCCATTGGCAGGAACTGAAATAATAATATTTGCTCCGATATCTATTCAGGTAGTAGAGGTTTTCAACTATCAAAATCTCACCAGAACCGAAGGCGAAGAAGCCCTGCTTGTGAGCGGTGAACTTTGTTCCCTTCTCGTCCAGGAATCGTTCAGGGTAGAACTTGTCGGGCTCTTCCCAATACCGCGGGTCGTGGTGGACGGAGTAGTTGGAAACCACAATTATCGTGTCCTGCAAATAATTCACATGGTAGGAGGTGATTATAAGTTTAATACATCGGTAATACATTATTTTCAACCGATTAAAAACTTGGAGTATGCATCACCTTGGGGATGAAGTAGCCGTTGATTGTTGTGTCACGCGTGGCAGAGCGCTGAACGTTCATGGTGATCATTGAGGAGTACCGCATGGTCTCCATCATGAAGGCTTCGATCAGAGGCAACCTGCAGAGAGGAGCATTAGCTTGTTAAATTGGTAATTGAATCTAATAACTTGAAACGTTTCGACCACCAGAAACTCAATCACGCATATAATATTCAAGGTCATTATGAGAGTCACAACTTTGATAATATATGACATAGTTTGCAGAAAAATAAAAATTTTCAACTTTGAAACAAAATTTACTATAAAATGATTGGATATATCTTCCTCAGAGATAATTCTGAATAAATTTTTGGACCAGTTTGTGGGCAACATAAAATACGGATGTAAAAGCTTTATTTCATCTCTCATGAAAGCTTATTTATCTAATGCATTTTGCATCCTAAGACACAAGTTCTGAATTCTTATTCATTGGGAACAAGTATACCGAAACGTTAACCAATCTATATCGGTGCTGCTCATATATACGTGTCCCATTAACCAGTTAACTCCCAATTAATGATCCTGCTCCGCCTTTCGTCACGCTAAATGATTTATCAGAATTCCATAAGCAGTGACCGAAAAGTACTTTAAGACTTCTTATTTCAAGTGTAAATTTTGCGCATAACGTCAGACTCGCTAAATTGACCGAAAAGTGGCTGTGGGTTATGTAGATCACTAGTGAGACGCATATAGGGGAGTTAGTATGCAGAAATTAGGGGCAGCCACTATGTATATAAAAATAATTAACACGTTAAGAGCAGCACGACCCACCTGTTGCTTGCATGGTAATTTTTTCCGGACAAATTCCGCAATTTAGTTTTTACAATCGCGTTTGTCAACAAAAATATATGATGGCAGTATTACCTCATCATATTTTAAAAAGTACGGAAAAAAGGGAAATTTAATTTTTGCACCGGAGCCTACAAATTTACTATTATATTTTGAATTATTGTTCTTTTTTATCCGCGAACTTGGCCGTTTTTAAGTCATCTGCCAGAGCTGGTGGTTCGTGCCGCACTTAATGTGTTACGAAGAGTAATTAATTTCTGATTGATTAAGAAAGTTAACTCTTCATGCGCTTATTTACTCAGCTGCCCAAATAAAAATTGAGAGTGGAGCACCTATGTTTTTATGGTGGCTATCGGCGGAGCTCACAGGTGGAGCTTATATGATTTATACAGTGAATTAAGGGTGGCGTGCACCACCTATCCCACACCTATAACCTGCCAATGGCCACCACACCCGTAAAGCTCTTCGTACATCAATAACTACCAAGCGATGATTCATAGATGACTGCCACCTTTACTCGCCACCCTTTCGATTTATTGATGTTTTATTGTCGATTTTTGGCAAATCTGGCCACTCACCGTTACGCCACCTATAAACTACTATCGCCACCTATAATCATCGGTGCACCACCCTTAATTTTTATTTGGGTGTAACTTTGTGCGTTTATCTATGTCTTGGTATTCGTGGGTGCAGTCTTCCTAACAGATGAAACAAACACCTTTTTCGCGATAGCTCAAACGCTACAATTAATTTAAAATGTAAGCGGCATCATGAATTCACAGCAAATTCAATACAGTGAGGTTTGAATTTTCATAAGCATCGTCTCAGGTTTTCGTTACCATCGAACCTATTTAGGCAGTGTGGATATGTACTGCTTAAACGCACGCCTGAGTCAAAACTCAAATTTTATCGTTCTTGCCTCTCCTGAGGAAGAATACTCGGATGAATATTTCGCATTCCTTCGTGCTTCTGCATTCTCCAATATTTTCCTATTATTAGGTGGATTAAGTGGATTTCCTACAGAAATGGGTTTAACGCCTAACAAATTACCATCCATGTTACTTATGTTTCGGGAAAAATGTTCAATATAAATTGCCAAAATATGTAGCTTTGCAAATTCTCCGTTAAAAGAACCTATATCTATACATATTTCGTCAACATTGCATTTGCATAAGCTTCCGCAAAACAAGCACGTCCCTAGGACACTATAGGCGCAGGTGTGAATCGATAAAGGAATGAGAAGCGGTCGTGCACGAATTTTTCACGGTTTATGGACGTACCCAGTCAAAGGTTGAGTTCCAATAACGGCCACCCCTGGGGCAATGGAGTCAGCTTAGAGGAATCAGGTGCAGATCGGCCACGTACGGTGTTTGGCTTCTATTTAGTAGCCTCTTTCGGAATTTAGTAGCCTCTTCTAAAAAGAGCAGATGAACAAGCTTCCTCATGATGCCCTGGTCAAACGCTGATGAGGCTACCGCATGATGGGGCTGGTCACAGGCTAAACAGGGTAAATGCGCGAAAAATTACCATCTCCCGCTCTATAAATGGCGTCGATGAATGTGCACGCTTACGTTCGCTATGTGACACGACGGAACGAAAGGAGAGTCGACTCTAACTTGACACGTAGCAAGGTGAATGTAGCCTGTGACGAACAAACCCATGCACCTGGTGTTCAAGACGCCAATTTTTAACATGACACTTACTTCTAATCCATAATTACACATGCAATAACGCCCTAGCTCCAACTGGCAAGGTTTAAATGCTTCCTTGATTAAAGTGCCCCCCCCATCAAAAAGAGCTTTCCAATGCATGCGTGGGTAGTCGGGATCTACCTCCCGCTCCCCTATCTAGGCAAAGCGTTAGCCGTTGCCCGAGCCCAGAAGCCAGCAAGACTGCAAGACTCCAGTTTTAAACTAACAGCGAAGCAGGACGCACTAAAGGGTGATCAATGTTTTTCAAAAAGATATGAATAGTTTTGTCTCCTTCTGTGACTTGAAAACAATTTGATTGTAAAGACCATTACACTTGTAGTCATTGAACAGGATAAAAATGAATATTTTGATTTCTTGTGGGAGCGTTTCCTTGATTTCGATTTGTCTGGAGATCACTGTTCTTCAAGCTCGCGAAATAGTGATTTCTCTAAAAATAGAAATGTTCAGCTTTGGGCATTTGTCTGCTTCAGCGGCTATAGAAGTAGCTCTTACAGACATGCTTTTGGTTGGAATTTCCAAGCATCCGTACGGCCGACAGCTTTATTATTGTAGATTGCATAAGAACGTTCGTAAGTTACGGGAGCCTCTTAATTAAGACGAGTCCAATGCGGCATGAGAATGTTCTCGCTGCCCCAGCTGTCGTGTCGGTGTTGACTACCACGAAGAAGGAGACTGAGGGAGAACGTGTTCAAACGTTATCCAATTTGTGAGCAAGTTATTTGATTTCACATTACTATCATATATTCCACCATATTTTTGGTTGTCAATCTAGAAATTTAGAGTGCAGTAGATAATTTGAAAGCTTGAAAATAATTTTATTTTAGAGCTCAACACTTCCAATGCAAAAAAAAAAAACATTGGTTGACTGTTGTGAAGTGTGATCGGGTAGCTGCTTGAAGCCTTGATTGCAAGTCACTGCAATCAAACTACTGCAGTAACTTGACCTTGTTAATAAGATGAACACGCACTTTTCTATTGTGTTGTCTTCCTTAAATTAGGACGTATTTGACTGGAAAAAATTCAATTGTGAAGGAAATTTTGTTAGTTTTTCGAGATTTTTTTAAGATGTAGTTAAATGGTGCGACTTTCACCATCACTTTTTTGAGAACACAGCAATTGTACGATGCAAGTTTGCGGCATTCGACAATTTCGACAATAATAGAAGATTTCAGCTTTAGGAATGTGCTCTGCAGCAGTTGTTATTTGATCGGCTTATGCACGCGTATACCTCCGGTTCTAATCTTTGATCCACCGCGCCAACTGGATAAATTTGTGGAACTGAAGTTCCACAAATGATATGGCAATTAATTTAACTGTTTATCTTAAAAACAACGTGGTTTAATCCTAAGTATATATGGATGGAATACGTGAATTTGCTCGACTTGCATTACCTCGAATAATTTATTTTCATGTAACGATTGGAATTTCTTGCTTTGGAAAGCAATTTTTGCCCTAATTTAAGAAAGGCGCTAGATTAAAATTGTTACTAGTTGCAACCTTAGTCTTTGCATAGAAATAGAGCCTCTGATAGACTTACCTCTGGCCTTAAGACTAAGCAGATAGTACTAGGCTGCATATATATAGCGTGTAGCGATTCAGATGCACCCTCCTTTCACCCCATTATGCGGAGAGAAGCGAGGGGGCATTTTTCAACGCACTTTTTACATTAGGCCGTGTCCGCCCTGAAGGTATCAGGTGCCAAATACACGCGCCCCACGACCACACTAAGCTCGCTCGGTCTGTGACCGGATTCTATGCCGACGCTTATTTCGCTCGTACAACCAGAGCGTAAAGCGGACATAGAGCCGCTAATTTAAGCGCTGGGCGTCTTTAATTTAAAGGCGTCTTGAATACAGAAGTTAACCACCTCTAAAATTTTGATGGGGTATGGCCAGACTCGGCTTTTCTGCAATGAAGCCGAAGCACGGCACAACTAGTCCTTCATTCATCCAATTATAGCGCCGGATTTTCAAAACGCCGTTATGTACACCTGAGTAAGTTACGGGAGTAACTTACTCAGGGCGTAGTTGCTGGTAAGTTGCTGCGTACTACTTCGTAGTTGCTGCGTACTACGCCCTCCGTAAGTACGCAGGGCGTAGTTGCTGGTAAGTAGACGTAACTCCGAACGGTTGTATTATCAGAACATTTTGCACAAAGTTACGAACAAGAAGTTTGAGGCATTCAGTGCGAAATTTTGATTCATTGTCAAGTTATTCCTAAAACAAGGACTACTACACACAGGACATGCATAGCCTATGTCCAGCCTCTGCTAGCAGAGGCGATCGCCTACACTATGAAAATGATGGTGTTTTAGTGGCATCAACAAATGATATGCCCATAATTGTTTCATACAATAGTATTACAATGTGTGTAGTAGTCCTTGGTCAGAACCATAGACTTTTTGCCAGTTTTGAAGTTCAAAATTTTGTACTAAGCAAAACACTAAAACACCAGCATTTTCATAGTGTAGGCGATCGCCTCTGCTAGCAGAGGCTGGACATAGGCTATGCATGTCCTGTGTGTAGTAGTCCTTGTCCTAAAACCATTTGAACCTCTAGTCTCAGACAATCTTGCCCGTTAGACAATCCTACCCCGGCTTGTCGTCGAGAGACACCATGCGGTCCCTGGGCACGACGGCGTCTATTTGCTGCTGCATCCTCGTTGCGTACTCTGGATACCGGGCGAGCAGGTAGGCCACCCACTTCAGCTGGTAGTTTACTGTGTCTGATCCCGCTTGGAACAGGTCGTTGATGATCTGGCCTAGGGCTGGATTTGGAAACTGTGATTACCAACTGGAGAAATGGCTAACGTTTGTGTGTAATTTTTATTACATTTTCGATTGCCAGGATGACCATTTTCAAATGAGATTGCTCACCTCCCTTTCTGAAGAAGGTGTCATAGTCTCCTTCGCTCTCCTTCATGCCTTTGATGTACTCGTCCATGAGATCTCGTACGTTGTCTGGATCGTAGTTTTTCAGGTGCTGGTCTATGGTTTCCTGCATGCTTGTATGTTTAAAATTATGCACTGTGTAAATTCTGGGATAAATATGATTTGAGAAACCTGTGGTTATAGCGAGAGTAAAATCCCAAGCAAGAAATCCTAAACTTTTGATTCCGCTGCTATAGTTCATTTTCCAATACAATGGTCGGCGTATTAACGTAAGCTATATCGAATTTAGCTCATAAAACTATACTTGTATATTACGTTTGCTTATATAACATGCTTACTCTAAAATTTCAATAAAAAAACGCCGAATGAGTTCACATATTTCAATCGAAAACGTGAAAGATTATGATACGAGGAATTTTCTTGACATTTCCTTTGCTTTTAAATTTTAAGCTATACCAACCTTTACTACGGCTTTCATCTGGTCGAAGAACTCGTCAACAATGTGTTCATTGAACAGGTAGTTCTTCACGCATTTCGGTAGGTAGTCGAGCACTGGGACGAACGAAGGTAGTAACATCATGGGCGTCATCTTCGTCTGGAACTCCTTGCTGACTCTGTAGATGACTTCCACCTCCGTGCCTCTTAGGTCGAACCGCGTACCTATTATTGTATTGGAAATTTCATTCTGTTTTTTAGTATGATTTTTTTATATCTTAAACCTAGGCAGTAAAGGAACAAACATCGTGAGAAAAATACCCATCGATAGAAGTTCGACACAGAGTTTATCAACCGTCTTTTGTACGAGGTAGATAGAACACAAGACACTCTTGTCTTACTGCTAGACTATCGAAATGAGTTAAAAATTTTATAATTGAAATATGACCTACGAAATTTGACAATCTATCTAATTCTGCTTTCCAAATTATTTTCAGATCAAAATCACCCGATCACATGTTATTAAGAATTCCGTTTTGACGTTTGGAGGAGATTTTAATTTTATTTCAAAAATAAATGTATACTTAATTTATCACCGTACTAGTTTAACAAATCCAATTTCTCGTTAGTTTAGTTCGTTATGACAGGTCTTGTATCCGGTTGATAACCCAATTTAATTTGAATGTTGGACACCCAATCAAAAAACAGATGACTTGCCCAATTTCCAATAACCGGCCTCAAACACAACCTATCACACCTACACTGTAAAATATAACGAATGCGTAACTCACTGGCCACCATCTGCCAGATGATGTTGAGCGCCACAGTCCTGAAGCTGTCGGGGTAGTTGATGGCTTCACCGCCGTACTTCTTGAGGTCTTCCACCAGCGCCTTGGCTTCGATGTTGATGGCCTCCTCCAGGTAACTCTTGCCCATGCCTCGAGAATTAAGTGTAGAATATAATAAGATTCAACGTGTGTCCTCCATAATTAACGTTATAAAAAAAATCTCTTTTACGTTGCAAACAGGTTGCTATTGCGTTAACAAATGCTCTTGTCTCACCGAGGTTGCGGAGGTTGCGCAGCACAAAGCGACGGTCGTGCTGCCAGTGTACGCCGTTGCTGCTAACCACCCCTGCATGGTAGGTAATTCAAGTACTTCATTCGTAAATATTATCACCGGTTACCTGAATGCAGTCAACAATGAAGGATGTATGAATGGTTAGAATACTGAGTTTGTTATATATAAACTTGCATATCAAGACTAATAATCTATATCGTAAAACTGCCAAACTTTTGATACTTTCAACCTTACGCCACTTCCTGAATAGCCATTTTTACGAGGCTAACTACTTTATAGACATTTTTGGACTAAGCTCGGCTTATTTGCATGCAGTCGTAAATTAAGCTCTGAAGCATGGCTTCGTTGAACAATAAGAAAAACCTCGGCACTTCTTTCTCGAAATGTACCTTCCAGACCTCAAAGAAGTTAAACGTTTTTGCGTTACTTTTTTTGAAATTAGTGATATTTAATTATCGAACTATTTAGAGGGCGAGTAATATTACATAGTGACTTATTCAATTCTCATACACGTAGTACGGGACTCTCCATAATTAAAAACCTATTTCCAGTCTTCATATCGTGAGTAAAGGTGTTCTTTTTCATCCAATTACTCGGAGACTTATCGAGTAATGAAAATAATTGCTCGGAACTGTAAGAAGATGATTAAAATTTGTGTGCAGATATAACCTGAATTGCTCAGCCACGATAAAACACTGGATATACCACTAAACTGATCAATAATACGGAGAAGTAGATATTATACAAATTAAAAGTATGAACAACTGAACTCACCGAAAACTTTCACTCAACATCGAATAAGTTTAATAATAGTAAGTTTATCCTGTAACATAGGAACTGTTTACGTAAATATGTAAATGATGTATGTTACAATCAAACGTCAAATTACTGGTCATGCATCGCTATTGACTATAAATCGAAGGAGATTTCACTGCATGGATATAACGTACGGCAGATTTCTAAATTTAAACTAATGTTGACTTGATCGTCGCTTTGTCGTGAAAATATGAATTCAGGAATCATGTTTTTTCGATCTGCGCGGGAATGTTCAAAATTATGGCTGGCTTATATGTAACATTCATCTGAATTAAGAGCGTTAATGAAAAATTTTCAGTTATATCATCAATACGTAACATTAATAGCTATGAACCTCCTAGTTTCTGGTCATCTATGCTGAATGTGGAGAAGAAATCAGGCCGGTCGGCGAACTCGAGTCTCGCCATGGCCTCCTTGGCGGTGTTGTAGTCGAACAGGAACACCGAACGGTACGACCCAGTCCGATACCTGGCACAGTGCTGTCAAATTATCACGTGCAAGGTAAATGTCGCGGTGCTGTCAGATTGTCGTGAGCGCGGTACCAGGCATTGTGCAATCAAATTATCATGTGTGGGTGCCTTTCACAGTTCAGATAAATCGTCATCTGAGCGGTACCTGGTACAGTACAGTCAAATTACCGTATGGTGGGTACTTTGCATAGCGCACTCAAACTTAATGATTGTAGAACATATGATCAGGACAAATATTGCACCATGATGCACTTCGTAATTATTGATAAGGCTTGGTAGAGTATGAAAAGTAGGCCGAAATTTGTGATTATGGTTTCGTTTCGAAGGGTGAACAAAATCAATGACGCTCAAATTGACGTAAGTTTGACAAATTGGTTCAATGCTCTGGGAAAGTGAAACATGACTTCGATTATGGAACAAACTATACTCGTTACATTACTCACATAACAACGTCACCATACTTTTTCTTCAGATCTTCCGCCGGTCCCTCGTAAAGGATGGGGAGACCTCCGAAAAACGGTATTTCAAACGGACCTGAAGAAAGTAAAATCTGATTATTTCATCCATTTGACATCTGATTTACAATCAATGATATACGTAGTAAGATCACTTGACTGCAATCGTAAATTCACTGAGAATTTAAAATCAAAGAAAAAAGGCCAAAAAATTTACCATTTCTTTACAGAAACGTTTCGGAGTCCAGCTCCATCATCAGCTCAAAATCCGATATGACAAGCAGAATCAATTAGAAGACTAAATTCAAATTTAAGATAAAAACATAAATTGACAAAAGGAAAAAACATATAAACATGAGGTGACTGGCCCATCTATTTATAATTTCAAGGGGATAACATTGATTTTTATGTAACATTGATTTTTAAAAGCCTGAGAGGCACTAGTCAAAGTTTAATAAGTGGCTACGCAAAAGTTAATTATATCCTTCGCCATTCAACTTAAGCATAGTATTGGCAGTAAACTCAACATTCAGTTGGCGAAATCATTATAAATATTTATTCAACGAGTTGCAGGCTTAAACTATACTCACCAGGAGGGCAGTTGCGGGGGCGCCTGTCCCTCAGCACCGCGTACACCAACACCAACACAAACAACAACACAATCTCCACCCACATCTCTTCGTTCTTTGCCCGCTGTGATTACGTAAAATACATGTAACTCAATTTATATAGAATGTAAATTCGACTGCAATCTGAAAAAAATGGTTTGATATCTTATTCATCGTCATATTTGAGGCAATTAATAGAGGACTAATCATTCTTAAAACCGATACTTTTTATCGAACAAATTTAGCGAATCAGTATTCATTTGGTCATCGTTACTCACGATATAAAAGGTTAGACGAGACAAAAATAAAATTTAATAGAACATTAATTAGTCCGGTCAGTCCATCAACAGCCTATATGTTTGCTTAAAACTAAGCGACGATCGATTTCTTGAGCATGGTGATATTTTCAAATTAGCCGTGTCCGCTGGTCAGATGTGACAAAAGCATGAAAGAAATATCACTCGTTGCATCGTCACTGACTAGAGAATATACCCCGACGTCGAATCGCTTGAATAAATCATCACAATTAGGTGCTTATACACGGGGCTAGAACTCGCTCCGAGTATTCGGAGCGAGTACTCGCACTCTGAATATCATGATGATTTATTCTTCGGATACAAGTAGCTGATGCAGTGGCGCCCAAAGCAGTTCAAGTTGTTATAGATATGTCTTTTATTCGGTCTAGTCGGGCTGCGGCCATCGTTGTTAGCACATGTGTGCCGCTTTGTATCCTACTTGGGCCGCTCTGTATCCTCTAATCCTAATGTTTTAAACTGTGTCTTGTCCCAATTAACGACGACGGTTCTAAGAACGTCAAGGTGTTCAGATGATATTGAACTTTTTCTATAGTTATTCCAAAAGTACGATCTACTGTGGAATGTACGTCACGATGAATATTATAAGAAAAACTTATTGAGAAAGTAGTGCTTTGAAAGTTAAACGAGACCTTATTAGATCTCTCACCCACACTCTACGCTGATCCACAGAGGTTTTCACCTCACCAGTAAGAGTGGCAACTATGCCACCAACTCGTCATTATTGTCACGTCCTATATTCCCTCATGCGCAGACCCTCACTCGACAGCTCCCAACCTCGCATTGGCGCCTGCGGACTGTTCTCCAAATACTCTCCTCGTGTATAGGCTCTCAGCGGGAAAACTGGACTCGCTACGAGAACTTGGAGCGAATACTAGTCCCGTGTACCTTTAGTCTCTGCTATCTTATCTACGCTGCTAGTTATATGCCCTGCTATATAAGCACTTCTACCTCACATGCAATATAGTTGTCTTTTAGTTTACGATAAATAGAAGTATATCGATCAAATAATCCTAATTAATTCAGGACTTGTCCAATTTTATTATCCTTAATACAATTGTTAAAACATAAAATTTTGACGCACGACATTTGCAAATATTCTCAACGTCATAACCCAAATATTAATAAAAACATCATCATCAAGAAACAATACAATGAGTCGTTTTACCGAACCAGAGATACTTTCCAGATACAAAAACACGAAACCTTACAGTATTGGTTGACTTTTTCAATTAACAAGTTAGTTAGTTAGTTTAGAGGTTTAGTTTAGTTAGTTAGTTTACTTTAGTTATTTTATATCATGAGTAACGATGTTTACTATGCGCTTCAGCTATCCAGCTATTTCACACTGGAGGTCAAAATATAACATCGCCAGCAAGGCGGAAGTTCTCAATTATTCAAAATCTCAAATTATTCATCACCCACAAGGGGCGGAAGGTCTCAGATGTCCAGCCCGCTGAAGCTGGCTCGAAGGAAGCAGCGTTAGCATCTCAAAAGAGACGAAGTGACAAGGAGTGACAGTTGAAAAGCAACAGAAACGAAGACGCTCGAACAAGAGGTCGCTTACACGGGACGTCGGCAGCCCGCACGAGAGAGACAGAGAAGGGAAATGTAAGTAATCCTACCTACATAATAACTTAATATAAGGAATCTTACCTACATAATAACTTAATTTAAGGAATACAACCTACATAATAACTTAACCCCGCTACTGAGACCTACGGTCAGACACCGCCAGCCAGCGGTGGGGCGCTCAGGAACAATCCCCCTAGGAGCGCGAAATCTTCGCGGAGGACTTCTGACGAGCACATACACCCGTCAGAAGTCCTCCTGAGGGGTTCAATTAACAATATAAAATTAATGAAGCAAGTTCATATAATATTAAATTTAATAGTTGTCCTCTAGGACTAGGTGGGTGGCGTGTGGCAAAAGAGCAATATTGTTGCCTAATTATGTTTTGTCATTCGGTGTAAAAGAAATGCAGTAAGAAAGAAATCTCACAAATAAAAAAAATAAAAGTAAACGGTTTCTGTAGAGCTTAAATTTATCGTTGAAAAACCATCCAGAAATCATGTTTATCATACTTATAATGCCGATTTCTTCAGTAAGATACTGCAATTAAAATAGAATGCCCATGTGGGCCTAACTGTTTATGCACAATTACAGTAATTATTGCATGGAGATAATTCTGAACACAGCTATTCATTTTTATGTTAGATATTACACTCAAGCGACGATGTCTTCAACGACAGCACAATAACATTCTTCAGTTCGAACTTGTCCGGCAAGATGCAACTGATTGAGTCCACAGTCCTGCGATAGAAGCACTCGTTAATATCTCAGACAGATTATTTTGACATATAAGCGTGCTGAAGCCTCATTTAGAGGTGAAAGGAAGGAATTCATGTAGCCGTAACTCAAGGATTAATACATTTTCACTAATTGAGTGCGATCGAAGTGCGAATGGGGCAGGGCTTACACGAGCGATAAAAAATGAAAGTACACACGAGCGGTAGAAAATGAGAGTTGTTACACTTGCAGAAATGAGTGAGACTTTGTCCAAGTTGCCGTAAAAAATATGCACATCTTGTGTTGGTCATCCTAACACAGTTAGGCTCAGCAAAAGTTCTATACATATAATGGTATCAATGCTATAAGTATAATGGCTACGTTTTTATTTAAACAATTAAAGCCATAAATTTTGGTCTGTTTGCAGACGGTTCCCGGCTAACAACCATCCTAGCGGTAACACAAACAAATAATTACTCAAATAATAATAGCATTTTTAATAATGTGCTCAATAATTATATAAATTATTGAGCACGAAAATATAAGTGAAATTGTATTCCTAAGAAAGTGAGTAATGCCACATGCTCGATTAACAGTGATCATTCAACTGAATTTCCCTCAAGATTGCTCTGCTTGAGAAGATAAATTTATTCACTTGCGGCCATGTGAACAATTATTGCAAGCCCAGACAATACTCAGTAATAGGAAGTTCTTCCACAGTCCAGCCCGGGAACTCCAGCTGCCATTCCACATGCAAGTTCTCGAGTTTATCGTTCAGTTGCTGCTTGATCAAAATTCATACGTTCAATCTGCATTGCACTTTGGATCACTAAGCATTCAAAGTACAGAAACAGAACATTAAAACTTTTGGGTGCAATTCTTAAACGGGTTATACCTCAGGTGTACGGGATTTTAGCTACTATATATACTTCCCAATTAAGTCCACGATTAAATCTTGAGAAATAGTAATTCAAGCGAATTATGAACTCTATGAAGCTGTAAGAGGCTTGAAAAATTTGAGAATTTAGGAAGAAAATGGTTGCTGACCTGATATACGCAATAATGCAATTACGTCAAATTATGCGTACCTCGTCTCACGGCAACACCATCCTTCATCTGAGTGGGAGTAATTTGCAACAGCTAAGGTTGTCATATTACCAGAACACTTTAGCAGCGATATCTCATGCGCGTAATAAGGAACGCTTTTCTTTGTCGTCGGCTCCACCGTCATAATAAGATGCAATGGCAAAACTGACATTTTGGATTTGTAATTAACAAATGTTTAAAAGCGCTTTAAACCATATAATATTGAATTTCGAGGTCTATTGTTTATTGCTGGAATAGATTTCGAGGTGACTCGTCATAAAGACTCCACACAAACCTCTAATGAGCTAGAAAACACCACTTACAAATGGTGGTGGTGGTGTAACTATTACTGAAACCGACGCTGTTTTGGGGTGTACGAGTATGTTGATCACAATGAGCAGTCCGGTGTTAGTTGGATTATGAGTAAAGACCCATGCAAAGGTAAATACTAATTGGATTCATTTCTATGGTCAGTTGAATTTTTCTGACTTCGTCATTGAAAAAGAAATTGGGATTCTCAAAAATTCGAAACATTATATTTTCAATTTGCCGTTTGAATTATCTCGTACAGAGAAACCATTACGATTATATGGATGAGTATTCCCGTGGCCTCAATCAAGCAGGTTGTGCTCTGAAGCTCACTGTAAAACATCTATTTTATTGTAGGATTAACTACGCTTGTACTGAATATAGTATCAATACGTGAATGGATTGTTGTAGATAATTAGTATTTAATTAATGTTTTAGGGAACTTTTTTGTAACCATTGTATTGCGGACAGGTTCAGAATGTGCGGTTAAGTTAAACCTATTCTTTTGAAAGGCAATTCATACTATGCTTGTGTCGCGTTTAAAATAATGCCGAAAAGCGTGTAATATACTCGTGTAATAAATGAGTTAACAAATACTGTCGATTAATATTAGATAATTGTATACTGCTGTTGCCACCAGACCCACGACGTCCTGAACCAATTTTTTAACTTTCACATGGAAAACATAGTTTAATTTGTCCTTAAAAATTATGAATTAGTTATCTATCTTGATTATTTGAAAATATTTAAAGATTGAACTTTGGCGAAAAAATTGAAAGCATGGAACCAGCTTAAAAAATAAAGAACATATAAAATAACACTATTCGATGAAAAATCCGTCATAGAACTGATCACAGACGCTTTTAAATGGCTTTTAAATTGAAATTTGCCGAGTATTTACCTTGCTGGTAATATTTTTACTTGCGACCGCGTCAATGTAACTTATGAATAACATATATTCCATAATATAAATGATGCTGACCCTGTAAATAAGAAATGTGATATAAATTGCTTTGTTAATTTATTAAATTGCATAACTTGCGGTATCATAACAATTCAGAATAATCAGGAAAAAATAGGTTTATAATGTATAATTAAAGGAAAGTTATTAATTAACAAACAATTATAGAATTTGGCGTGATCGAAAACCATTGTTTGTCTACCTGCACGAGTATACGGTAAAGGGGGTCACAATGATGGTTCAGACGAGAATGTACAGAGTGATTTACTGATTACAAAACTTAGTGTTTTGTATTTCGCGCCAAGCAGGCAGATGTTGTAGGAAAAGAGCGCGGAGTATTTCACATAAAAGGCAAGCTCATGAAGTATTGTTACGCCAAGTCAGTTGCCACTATGCATTGGACAAGTGAGCAGCGTGCGTTTGCTGTCGAGGCTAACTTTAAAACTAAGTGATACAAAAATTCAGGTCTCTTTCAATGTCCCTTTCAATAAAATTTATATTGTAATGATATTTACTAAGTACTTTTTTTATTGAGCTTTCAAATCAGGAGGTTACCGTGAATCACCCTGTATATCTCGTCCGAAGACAATTTGAAATCAATCAAATCATGCACTTCCTTTACTTAATAATAACAAAACTCTAGCTCTCGGTCTAATGAAATTGTTCAAAACAATATGTTAAGACGTGTATATACGTCAAAAAGTGAGAATTGTTTAGGCGTTCTCCATTTGGAGATTAGTACTGACAACCGGACTTATTGAGTTACAATTTATCCCTCGAATCTTGACCTGACTATAATAAAATTGGCTTATAGTATGGGCGAGGATTAGTTATATGTTTCTAGGTTTGTAGATAAGCTTGTAGTCAGCAGGCACGCGAATGCCTCCACAGTTAAGGAAGACTTCTTGGCTGTTGTTGACGCCCGCGTTCGCTTTAAGATCAATGCTACCAACATGCCAGATTTACATTTCACTCTATATCAAATATATCGACCTAGGGATGTGGTAATTAATTTAACATCATTGGCTGAGTTCTGCGTGATTGTTAGTTCCGCGGTTTGTAAATAAGTTTTTTGTCGGCTGGCACACGAAGACCGCCCAAGTTTTCACAATCTTCCAGGCTGAGGTCAACTCCGTCCGCAGGGAGCACGTCGAAGTGCTGGATGATGGCGGCGGTGAAGAGGAACAACTCCATGCGGGCCAGCAGCTCCCCCACGCACTGACGCCGACCTGTTGGGATGTTCGTATGTTTATTCAATTTATCTTCAATAAAGTTAAATGAAAAGATGTAAATAATTAATTAACGTCTCTAATCAGAAATTACAGATCCGCAAAGGACTAAAGAACAAGATTCCTTGAATCATCACCTGTTAAGAAAATTTTGAGTCATTTCCGGGAGGATTAATCTAGTTTGTGCGTAGACAATGGATAAGTTTTTTCCATTCAATCCGCGACAATTAACTAGCATTGTTAGTGACCGAGTGTAGTGTCCTACCTGATCCGAAGGCAAAGAAGGCCTGCTTGGGGGCAGTGTACTTGGTGGCGCTGTCGTCCAGGAATCGTTCAGGGTAGAACTTGTGGGGGTCGTCCCAGTACCGCGGGTCGTGGTGGATGGAGTAGTTCGCCACAATCACCATTGTGCCCTGTAATAAAGTGGGAACTTTGAGCAACGACTGAGTTTTGCACTGCACAATGTTCTATTTAGAGATATGAATTACTGGGTTAAGGAAACTGTTTGCGGAATGTTTTCATTAAAAACAGCAATCGTTCATCCAATGGAGACGAGTAAAAGTGCGAAACGGTATATTTTGCTAAATATCAACAGTTTTGGAAAATAATTGAAGGGGATTCATGGATTATGAATATAGGTACGATTGTTTTAAAATCGCTCTCTACTCAGAGGGAAACCAAGGTTTCACCTTGGGAATGAGGTAACCGTTGATTTCTGCATCGCGGATGGCGGACCTCTGAACGTTAAACACCAGCATAGAAGAGTACCGCAAAACTTCAACTGTGAAGGCCTCAACCAATGGTAAGCTAGAAGAGAGAGGCGGTATTACCTATAACTGTACTCGTAAAAATCTCAGCTGAGCAAAATGTCAGCACGTTTTGATTTCATTTACATTGTATTCAAAGCACTTTCGCTTCGACCCTCTACAAGGAATTTCATAATCAAAGTAGGATATCACCAAATGTTAACACATTTAATAGATTCGGTACCCCGGCTTATCATCGAGCGACACCATGCGGTCCCTGGGCACGACGGCGTCTATTTGCTGCTGCATCATCGTTGCGTACTCTGGATACCGGGCGAGCAGGTAGGCCATCCACTTCAGCTGATTATTTACCGTGTCAGAGCCCGCGCCGAAGAGGTCGTTGACGATTTGATTCAAAGCTGAGAGAGGTCAGACGTATGAGTACTCATGATTCACAGGAATTGGATATGTTATTAGTCTTAGATTTATCTGCTTTTAACAAATAAATCTGCTTTTATCTTGTATACGTATATGTATTTTCAGAATTTTATGCAAGTTGATTGAAGCCCAGAGCATGCTTTTTATTAACAATCTCCTCCTTTTTTTCAATGAGTCAAACAAAATTTCTTACGGGCGCCGGGAGATAAAAACCAGGTTACCAAATGAAATTGTATGGAAAGCGACATTTCGAAAATACAATATTCAGTGTCAAGCTGGTGAAGGTTTTGAACTTTGAGAAATGACAGTAGTACAAATCAAGGGTATTGTGGACACAGTTTAAAATTTAAGCCTAAAATTACTCTGAAAATAATTTCAGCGTCTGGATGAATCTGCGCATCACCATTATAGAAAGATTTTTCTGTGGAAAACTCCGGAAAACTGTCACACCAGCGGAAATTTGAATTTATGCAACTTCTTTAAAAGTTCATGCTTGAGGTAGTAAACTTTTCGAAGGTCAGACTTCGTTTGAGCTTTAATAGCTTCTATTTAAGTATAGATTAAGATATATACTCCGACACGATGTAATATATATTTTTAAATAACCGTCAAAATAGTCTACATCGGGATGATATATAAATGAATAATATTTTCCAGTTATGGAAGGTTTGTATTGCTACTCAATTTGTTACGAAATATATAGGTGGTTTAATTATAGCACAGTCAAATACAAATTTGATTTTTAAATCGGCATCCATAAATTTAATTCAGAAGACAAATATTTTTAAGCAAATTAAGAAGCAAATTAAGAGTTTTTCCTTCCATATATAATATCATATGTTAGGTGGAACAAGTCGTTCTTTAATTGGCATATGGAGTGCAGGAGTGTTCGGTCTGGAGCAACGCCGATTGAGCTATCCTGCTAGAAGCTACTAAAAATTGATTTTACTCATCACAATGTTGCGGGGAACCATTAACACGTACTGGTCGTAATCGAAAGTCTACTGTACATTGCGTTGATAAAAGACTATTGATGGAGCACTGGCAGTAAAAGAATGTCAGCTAACATCTTTAATGAAAATATATCGGCGGAACACTTGTCATTTACACATGTCGCTTCAGCTTTTGTATTACCGCGATAACACAGAATGTATCCCACCAAAAGATCCTTGGATGTTCTGTGACGTAGAAGTTACGTCACTGCGACAACTTGGTTGGAAGTTCTTGAGGATGTAAGCGCTCTTTTCCCAATTTATCTTTCAGATTACCGCAGCCGGCGGTAATCTCAACTGGCACACTGATTGATGGTTGTAACTATATTTTTCCAAAGGAGACAGGATTTCAAATTATAGATGTAAGCAGCTAGGTCTCCTTAATTTTTAGCAATAGATGGGAACAATGGAATGCGGTCAACAGTTACGAGTCAAAATAAAGAAACCGGCTTTTCAACTGTCATAAGATTGTCGTGAATTTTCGGTCAATCTCTCACGGCTGATGCTCCCTCTCTGGTCAGACTCTCGTCTCTCTCTTCATTTTCCCTATAAGCCGCAAACCTTTTCTCAATATAGGTGCAGAACTCCATAATAATTTATTAATTATGATGCGAATGTTTTGCCGTGAATAAATGAATGAAAATATCCTCAAAATTATAAATTCAACATTCCCATAAATAAATAATCTCAATTATTATGCGCGTCTCCAACGTAATACCATTATAACAATACACAGGACCCTGTCGATTTCGAACTAAAACAAAAACAAATGATGACATGTTTACCAAAAAGTCAACCTGCCCAATCCATCCTATACCGGTTGGCATTTAGTTCAAGATGAGTTCACTCACCTCCTCTTCTGAAGAGGGAGTTGTTGTCGCCCTCGTTCTCCTTCATGTCTTTGATGTACTCGTCTATGAGGTCCCGGGGGTTGTCGGGGTCATAGTCCTCCAGGTGCTTGTCCACGGCTCCCTTGGGTAGGAAATGGCGGCCCATTAGTTATTATGCTTAACAAAATTATATGGCGACCTATTGAAGATGCTTCAGGAAGCATTTTTATCAGATTTGGAAATTTGTTTCATTGATGCAGTGACTTCTGTTATTTTTCCTTCTATATGAAATTTTTGTTTTGATACTCCAAATTTCATTGAAGAATCTGTCCCGAAATAGGCAGGAGAGGGAAGCGTTCTAGGTATATCAATCAGCCAGGTACATACATGTATCTTTAACGACAGACGGAACTTACGTTAACGACGTTTCTCATTTCCTGTATGAACACTTTAAACATGTCTGCTTCAAAAAGATAATTTTTAATTGGATTTGGCAGACGACTCAACGCAGGAATAAAAAACGGAAGTAACGATAACACGGAAAAGTTTCTCTGAAATTGTTTTGTGAGGCGGTAAATGGTGTCGACTTCACTGGAGCGCAGATCGTAGCGAGTGCCTGAAAGAAATAAAATATTTTAAATTTTCTTTATATGATACCTGCAATAATCAAACGACGGTAAGTAAATACTGATTAATTAGAGACAAAATCTGTATTTACATTTTTTCATATGTAGTTGGAAATCGGCACATATTTTTCAGACATTTGAAAACTAGTTTAGCCGTTGTTTTTATCGCATTATTGTGTGTATCTCGATCATTAGATTTTGGCTAAACTCTTGATCATTTCATTTTTTCCGACTATAGGGAGAAGGTCCAACATCCATCAGCTCCTCACTTTTGCTCTTTGATTAGTAGATTCGTTCGACTTACGTTATTAATGTCTTCCATCAGTGTTAATGTGTTGTCGTTTGAATCGCTTCCAAATTACGAATTAACATTCTGGATATGTTGAAGAACTTGTTTGAGGTACGCGTTGTTAATTTACAGTTCGTTTTGAAGAAATGTGTGATTTTGAATACAAACAAAAAATAAGACTTTTTGATGACTGCGTTCAAGTACTCTTTCACAAGCCTAAAAACTTACAGTTCATCATGAACGAACAGTCCGTAAAAGTATGTATCTTTAAATTTAATCCATTAGTTAACTCACTAGCCACCATCTGCCAGATGATGTTGAGCGCCACAGTCCTGAAGCTGTCGGGGTAGTTGATGGCTTCACCGCCGTACTTCTTGAGGTCTTCCACCAGCGCCTTGGCTTCGATGTTGATGGCCTCCTCCAGGTAACTCCTACCCATACCTGACGGAGAAGTTTTTTCAACAAAGGCTCGGTAGAATCTTAATGGGAAAACTGTTATTCGAAGTCAGCTAATTCTTCTGGAAAAATTCGATAAACTCAAATATATTTCATCAAAATAAATTCAAAGTTGAGGAGGTTCTGACTGTGGTATACACAAGATTGAAAATACATTACCTAGAAAATATATTTTACCAGGCCTATTAAAATTACATGGCCTGGAAGCGCTTTACTAAATTTAGAGTCAATAATTTACAAATACATTTGTATGCAATTTGTCAAAATAGTTGATTAACCTTCGTATCTAGGAGACAAAGGATATAGACCCTGATTTTGTGTACAAATTTGAACATTTCGTAAGCTGAAGTTCTCCACGTTGATTTTATTTTCAGTTTTTAGCCCGAATCTCACCGAGGTTGCGGAGGTTGCGCAGCACAAATCGACGATCGTGCTGCCATTGTACACCGTTGCTGCCAACCAAACCTGGTGGGGCATACATGAAAGTTGAACGTTTAAAGGTTCACTGAATAAACACATACGTCGAATACAATTCCGATATTTATACTCGTCTATTGTCTCCAACGGTGATCTAATTCCGGCAGATGGATTGATGAGTAGCGAGAACGTTGGGAATTGGTTCTTCGGGTACCATGCACGTGCATGAAATGTTAATTGTTGTATATCAGCTTTCAATTTTAACGATCGAAAACGACAATACACGTGAGTATCTAGTATCAAATATAGAAACCTCGTTCTAACAAATGATATTTGAAATTTCTATATACAGTAGATTATAGAACCCAGCTATAAACTTCGTCCTTTAACTCCGCAGGCATACGTACCATTTTAGCCACTGGTAGTGTCTTTTGATATCTCTCCTACGTATATGTAAATATGTTTTTGTTTGTAATGGACATGCTTTGAAAAAATTAAATGATTAGCAGGTTCAAATCAAAATGTTTACCTCCAGTTTTTTCATCGTCTAAGCTGAGAGTGGAGAAAAAACTCGGCCGGTCGGCGAACTCCAGTCGTGCCAAGGCCTCCTTAGCGGTGTCGTAGTCGAACAGGAACACCGAGCGTAACGTCCCAGTGCGATACCTGCGGTAGTTGGGAGTAGGTGAAATTTCACGTCCATCATGTAGCTAAGTAATGAGTTGTCTCAATTCGGAATTATACTCAACAAAATCAACTGAATGTAGTAGAAAAGAGTTTCTGATTAAGTAAATAAAGTGTTGAACCTCAATAAACATTTGTTCATATTTACGCAGCATCAATAGTAGAAAAGAGTTTCAGATTAAGGAAATAGTGTTGAAATCAATAAACATTTGTTCATATTTACGCAGTTTCAATTGTAATTGCATCACCAAGTGACCGAAAGAAAAAAGTTATTTATGAAAATTTCTTCGAGTTAAATCTTTACACATGAAATAGTATTATTCTACCCGAATTGCCAATTCACGCTATGGATGATAATTTGAATGCATAGATAATATTAATAGAAGTGAAGAATTTAATGCTGATGATATTAAATGATGGTAGTTATTTCCGTGAAAAATTATTGATACTAACGTGACGATATCACCGTAGTTTTTCCGTAAATTTTCGCCAGTTTTTTCATCGAAAAATGGTAGTCGCCCAAAAAACGGGATCTCCGCGGGACCTGAAATTAAGATATCCAACGTTAAGATTCGGCAGCTTTCGGCAAAAATGATACATCAATTAGACTCGAAGCAACGATTACAGTTCATTGGTTCAGGGATACAATGTATAATAACAGGGTTAAGTCAACAATTTTGATATGAAAATTGTATAGAAGTCAGCTCACAATGTGTTTAATTTCATGAATATTTACAAAGTAGACTAAAAATTAAGACTCACCAGGCGGGAGGGTGCGAGGGCGCCTGTCCCTCAGCACCGCGTACACCAACACCAACACAAACAACAACACAATCTCCACCCACATCTTGATAATTATTTTTTCACCTATAAAGTCGAAAGAAACTATTTTTATGTAAAAAGACTGGAATCTGATGGTATCTGTCAGGAATATTTGACTGATTTATTTTCTTCGCTAGGGTAAAATTGTACTTTGCCGTTATGCTTCCAGTAATTGATGTTTTCAGCGTACAAATTTTTCTGCCATATAGTAGAAAAATAGCAGTTGCTTATAGCAGTTGCTTATCGTATATAGCAGTTGTTTATCGTTATCTCTGAAATTCGAATAATAACAGCGTCGCCCATCAAATGGCTGGCACGTGTGGCCATCAGCAACAAATAGAGTGTGCAATTTGTGTAATTAATTACATTTGTATATTTTCATGTAGAACCAGTAACTACGCGTTACACATTGTTTACTAAATGACGTAAATCAGATTACGTCAGTCTTTACCTCAGCGTCTTCCTCCTCGGTCGTGTCAATAAACTTACGAACCTTTCAACCTTTAATTCCAACCCTACGGAATTAAACCCCAACACATGAACGACAACAGCGCGACCTGTACATGTGATATCTCCTCCTAAAAAGAAGTGACATTTGATTTCACATCACGATCAATCTTGACAAGTCGTTCTCTTGACCCGCAGTATCTTTAACTAATCACTATCATTAGAAGCTCCATACAAGTAACACGAAAAATAATCAAAATTCACAATTTTCATAATCCATCAGCACTCTAATAAATTATTACACTGCACGAATACCATGATTGAATTTGTGAAATGCGTAGGAAAATAATTTCTCTTGAAACCGCATTCAGTGAAGTATTCACTGCATGATATGATGATCACAAGATTCAAGTTGCCGATCTACCCTGCAAGCTGCATGTGATGAAGTTCAGTGAAGTGAGGAAGATTCCATTGAAAATTTTCATATGGTAACTTGATATAAACGCCATTGGGCATAATTGTTCGCGTTTGTATTTCGGCGAATTATTAAAAGTAAGAAGGACTGTGACTTCACGATTCACTAAGTACTGTTACAAAATATAGAAGAACGATTGTTGCTGAGCTGTTCCTGAAAAACTTGATTATTGTTATTTTAAAAGCGGAAGGGGGATACAACGTTTGATTGACATCTTCACACAACACTGAACTCAGCATCTAAGCAAGCCAAAGTGCGTAACACAATATTTTTAAGTATTTGCCATAGACTTCATAAGTTTGCTCTGGTCTTACGAGCTACAGACACACACCTGCTTTATAAACCTGGTGATTCTGAGAGTGTAAACGATAAAGCGATTTTTCTTCCTTTAATAACAATACCTTTCCTTGATAGAACCTATAATTTGACAAGGATAAATAAATAATTTCAACTGTTGCGATTTATAATATATTATTAGTTTATTGTAGAAATTGTAAAGAATCTTACGAAATTATTATTTCCTTCATATATAACATGAAGTTGTCGTGTCCTGCGAATGTTACTAAGTTACCAGCGCTGTGAACGGCGTCTAACCTTGCAATTGCATGAGGGAATGACACAGCAACATCTTTGTCGTAAAATCATAGAGACGCAAGTCACGCAACAGTTGATTTTGGGAACAAGTGATATCATAATATAATGTGATTGATCAATCGACTGAAGATGTTACAACACTTGCGGAGTGTCATCTTTCGATTAAGTAGCAAATTTCACAGGCACAGAGAAAATTGGAACAAGAACGTGTTAACATTATTCAAAACCGCAGCTTCGATCGTTTAATGAAGTTACCTGTATGTACAAGAATGCTGCGTAGTTCACACCAAGAATCTAACTCCACCCACGCTTCACAACAAAACAAACGCAGAGCGCACAACACATCACCATCATGTAGCAGTGCAGGAAGCACACTGAACCTTCTATAAGTTCTATTACTTAATAAGTGTGGTTGAAGGCCACCGCCAACGATAGAGGCTCCCAAAGAGTACGAGCTATAATGTTTGTTAATGTCTGATATGTAATGCATTGAGGCCACTTTTAGTTTTACGTAGGATTTAGGCATCATCAGGTGGATTTCGTTATTAATATGGATATATAATGCTTGTTGAAAATGCCTGGGTGAATCTTTCTAGTGGATTATTTGCTTAGAGTTAGTCAGAACATGGGTTTTAAATTCCTATTCACTGTCATCAGTCATATTATTCAATGCTGCCTAAGGTTTACTGCAGGGCGTTATTAATTCCATACAGAGGTTATTACTTCACCCCAGAGGTTATTACTTAATTTCTTGGAGTTATTACTTCCCTCCGCAGGTTATTACTTCACTCGTAGGATTATTACTTCTCTCCTGAGGGTTGATACTTCACTCCCAGGGGTTATTGCTGCAGCTCAAGTTTATTATTTTACACCATGCAGCGACACTAGCTAGCTTGGTGCCTCGGTTGCCAGGCGCTGTTGCGTCATGCAGCTCACATCGCAAGCCAAGGCCAACCGCCGCCTTCAGCGCCATCACTTGCTGAACCTTTCTGTTGTTGTCTGTGGCCGCGCTCAGTGGGAGCTGAGCCCGCGTGTTCAGTGGCAACTGAGCCCGCGCGTTCAAGCGTTCAATAGCAGCTGAGCCCGCGCGTTCAGTGGAAGCTGAGCCCGCGCGTTCAGTGGCAGCCACTGTCTCTTATACACATCTAGATGTGTATAAGAGACAGGTGGGAGCTAAGCCCGCGCGTTCAGTGGGAGCTAAGCCCGCGCGTTCAGTGGGAGCTAAGCCCGCGCGTTCAGTGGAAGCTGAGCCCGCGCGTTCAGTGGCAGCTGAGGCCGCGCGTTCAGTGGGAGCTGAGCCCGCGCGTTCAGTGGGAGCTTATATAGCCCGCACGTTCAGTGGGAGCTGAGCCCGCGTGTTCAGTGGCAGCTGAGCCCGCGCGTTCAGTGGAAAATTTGCTACCAATTATGGACAGACTTCACTGTGTGGTCTGGCGCCTGTATATGGTCATCATTGATATATAACATGTGTACAGTTTAATGTTAAGTGCAGATGTGAAATGTTAGTTGAATTTGAAAAATATACTGGTTAAGGTTTATCCAATGTTGCTTTGTATAGATAATGCCTGACATTCGAAAATCTCGTTTCTGGGGGTCTGGTAAATAATTTTCAAAGAGTTAATTTGAAATCAATCCGTTATTTAGCACGGAGCATCCCGTTTCAATTCGCGTTTTGAAAATTAAAGGGAGCGTAGACTTTTCAGTTTAAATAAAATTAATACTTCCCCACTCTAAAATCATATATAGAATCATTTAATTCCATCTGTAATGTCGCATGATTTACAGCACTACAAATAAAATTGAATTCTCGAGTATGATCCGATGCACGGTAACCTTAACATCCTCTAAATATATCCTGCGCCAAGCAGCTAGGAAACGTTAAAAAATGTACAATCAATGTATCACATTCCATTTAGGTATACGAAAAATAACAAGAGATAAAATTACATAAATATAGCGATATATTGAACATGGAATTCCAATGGATACTACCGCCTCATAAACTATCTAATCTAAGTCATCACAGATACTGAGCAGCATCGAATTGACGAATAAAAAAAGGTAATATACTTATCTCCTTTTCCCACCATACAAGTCCTCGAGATACGATCGTCCTGGAGTATACTGGAGATTTCATTCCTGTGACCTGCGTTGAATTTTAAATTATTGTCCATTTGACGGAACATTACTTCACCTAAAATCAACGCAGCGCTCTATTTACCAACAATTTCAACAGTATAACAAATTATGCTTCGACGATAACTAAATTGCCAAAATTGATGTATGTGAAGAACGATACTCTTATAATCCGTCCACAAGAAATAAATTTAAATCTTCAGAAGATCCGGGTTCCATTCTATCTTGGTGAATATCAGATTTCTTTGTTATACTAAAAATTACTTACCGACTCATCTCATTGAACTATTTTCATTCTGATTAAGCATTTGCATTCTTTATCCATATCGGCTTAGACCGATGTAACAGTGTTCATATAACGCGAACTGTCGCATTTATGACACGATGAGCTCCCTCACCTCCTCTCCTGAAGAGGGAGTTGTCGTCTCCTTCGCTCTCCTTCATGTCTTTGATGTACTCGTCTATGAGGTCCCGGGGGTTGTCGGGGTCATAGTCTTCCAGGTGCTTGTCCACGGCTTCCTAGTCCCTAGTAGAAATGATGGGAGATGATGCAATTCTTGTCATAGATTAACTAAAACGGTTGAAATTGGATAATTTTATTAAATAAGCTGTTTTCCTACTCCTTACAATATATCCTCGACATTTTTCTCGAAGAAAAACTTAATGTTGAACAGGTTTAATTTATTATATCATCTAACATGTCATCGCTGTTGACTTCAACTTGTAGCAACGACTTGCAGATTAGGCATCATGCAAATTATTGTAGATAATAATTATAAAAAAGGTTTCATTATCCAGAAATAATACACTTTAAACGATTCAATGAACTCGCGTTATAAACATTGCTCATTTCGGTTTCCAAAACCTCAATCCCGCCATCGCCGGAAAAAAAGATTTTTGAGGGGCATGAATTTAATTGATCCGAAGCAGGATCAATTTAAATTAAATTGATCCGAAGCAGGAATGAACAAAGGAACAAATGACCACGACCAGAAATTGTTCTGAAAGTCTTTTGTTGGGCGATAGATTGTGTCATCTTCGTTAGCGCGAAGAACGTATACCGAGTACCTGGAGGAAAGCAGAGCATTTTTATTATTTTTTTTTTCTGCGATAATTCGACTAGAATGTTTGAGTTTGAGAAGAAATCTGTACCTGATATATTTTCTTCTTGGTCCAAAATTTTCGTATTGCTATTTTAAACGAAAAATGGTCCAGATTGATTAATGTATTCGAAAATTAGTATGTATGGAGAATTGTTATGTATAACAGAATTTAATACTCACTTGCCACCATCTGCCAGATGATAGATGTTGAGCGCCACAGTCCTGAAGCTGTCGGGGTAGTTGATGGCTTCACCGCCGTACTTCTTGAGGCCTTCCACCAATGTATTAGTTCCCAAGCATGGTCCATATTGAAATTATTTTCAGCAAATTAACGCATTGATTACAATTTAAAGTTTCGTGATTGATGAATGAATCGGCCTATGAAGTTACTGATAGACTGAGTTAATAATGGAGGCTGAGAGTTATATCGAGACGATCACGGCGCTGAATGAATCAGATTCTAGCATATGCATTAATTACGCAAGAACATTTTTTCATAAATCGATCACTGATACTAATGATGCAATACCACCGTAATGTGGCCTTTAATATTCTACAATTTTCTCATAAAAAAACTGTCGTCGTCCAAAAAACGGGTTCTTCGCTGGACCTGAAAATGAATTTCCAGGATTGGGGAAGAGAATTCGGATGTTACAACGAAAAATGAATAACTCTGAAAAAACCACCTGAAGCCATTGTTTATAACGATTTTAATAAAATAATTATTGTATAATAAAATTTTTCGGAGTGCAAAAAAAATTTTTTTGTTTCATTTGATGATCATTTCCATATATATATCTGGAATACATAAAGATTTTAAGAATACATATACTCACTATAGGTGGGCAGTTGCGGGGGCGCCTGTCCCTCAGCACCGCGTACACCAACACCATCACAAACAACAACACAATCTCCACCCACATCTGGACTATTGCGGTTTAATTAAAATAACTGGACTCTATCTTTGATCACTTATTATTTTCGCCTGCGATAGGCTTCAAAGATCAGGTCATTGTAATATTGTTGGATTGATGAATAATTATTAGTTAGGTGCAATTTATTAAAGATAAGCGGCTTGAGGAGGCTTACATTAAATACAATTACTTGAACAATCAGCATTTTTTGCAACATCACGATCAAGAATATACAGAGCTGGTCAGCGCTACTTTGAAATGTAGCGCCGCTACCGCTACGTGTAGCGCGCTACTGCCCATGCACCTCTGAGAACATGAAGCAATTAATCAGTATATTTGTATGAAATTTTAGCAGAAACTGCAGTGACCCGGCGGTTGCCGGCGCTACTGGTGGAGGACCGCAGGATATAATTGTAGTGCAGCATCCTAGAACGAAGATGATTTTTAATGTTAGTATTTCTCATGGGTCCAGAGGTCCGATACATCCGTGATACAAACATCAAAGATTTCTTCATCACTCAAGTGAACGTTCGGTGGCTCTTTGAGAAGACTGTGATCTTATAACATATTTGTGTCCTCATTTTTCAACCTTGTACCTCGTAATTTCGTATCTTAAATACAATTTTATGGACAGTTTTCAGCCGTTAGTATTAAAAAGACGATTACATAACTTTTTTTTCATGTATAATCTATTCCTTGAGTTTTTTTACTTTGAAGCAGTCATGATCTTTCCAAAATCTTGATAAGCATTTCATTTCTGGTAAAGGCGTTCATGTTCACACTAGTTTACCGTCACCGTGGGCTCCGAATCGTACTGTTTACTCTTCAAAAACGTATTATGGTTATGGTTATGTTGAATATAATAAACCGTGAGTAAAGTTAATAATTGTGCAGAGAACCATCAACCAGGCGCTTTGGTGGCGTCTAGGCTTATGTCACCTGTCAGCCTTCATTCATCTCAGAGCTGCCTTTTTGTCCGTATCGCAATCTTTATTTAGTTTCGGACCCCTTGAAAAGCAATGTAAGTCATGTTAAATCGCTCGGCCTTTGAATCATGTACCTATTGTTCAGTAGATTCATATACGTTTCACTTGCTTTATATTCGTGGTATGTCATTCTGTCAAAATTTTGTTGAACCGGTCTATTGTTTCCGTCATTGTATATAATTTTCCTGCTCTATTTGCTGGTCCACGGGTCAATTAAGTAAATTCCAACAGCTACGAAAGCTGCAAGCTTTTCATCCCAGGACAGAGTAGCATTTACACTGCCTCGTCATTGATAACAATACTTATATTGACGCAAAGATTGTCATGAATATTCAGTCAAAAATTATTGTTAGAATTCTACATGAAAGTCCTATAACTTATTAATTAAATTCATAGGAATTACCTAGGGTACTGGTCATGGTGAAGAATACAATTCCGGTTCATCTTCAATAATCTGGATTGCATTCTTCCAAAATTAGTTACGAAATAGAGATGCATCTAACATAGTTAAATCAAGTAAATGAGAACGAGCAATAATGATACATCATGCGATGCTCATAACAGAACGATCAAGCTTTCACGAATGTTATTTGAAGCCGGCAGGTCTGTTTTAAATTTCACATTTCGAAAACACGTCATTGTAAGAAATAAATTTCCTGTAGGTGCTCGTATAGTTTGTAAACGAGCATCTACACGTAGTCGTGTAGATGCTCGTAGAAATCACGAATGAAATCGTAGAAATGACGCGGATGTGTAAAATGTTCTATTATTTTAAATTTCATCTGATTAACTACATACAAGTGGCGTATTTTATGTTTTGAGGATAAATTTCAGGCGTTGAAAAACATTCTGGAGTTTATTAAATCGAGACGGCATACAAGTGGAAACATAAAAAAATAATTAACTCATCCCACAGATACGAAATACTAGGCAACCGTTATTTATATTTACACAGGTATGACATCGGTTACCATTGAATCATGTGTATAAACTAAGCAACACTGATGCAGTTTCCATTAGTGTTTACGTGGAAGGTCGAAATTTTAATTTATTCTTTTAATATATCAAACACTAATAAACATTTTTCGTTTTAAAAGCCTCGCTTCAAATTTTTATGAAATAGTCTACTACCTCGTACTTTAAATCTTACATCCTTTGGTAAGGCGAAACTGTTGTTCCGTCCTGATGCGTAATACACTTTTCACTTATGGGGTGTTTTCTTTTGTTATGCTTGATTCAACAATTAAGTTACTTAATACATGCTTATGCTTTGGCCTGTTGTGTTTTCAGAGAGGCAATTGGAAGAGTAGGAGTATTCATGTCAGTAAGTTTCTGAGGCGCATGAAAACAACACCAACAAATAAATCCCGCTTAATGTGCTTATTTTGTATCAGAGAAGAGGTGGTCCACCGCTGACATTCCATTTGAATACTTAAAGGCCCGATGAGGGCCAGTGACAAATAGTTAAATATACTTCAGCAACGGGACACATCAGGTTTCTTTGTTTTATTGGGAAGACTTCGAGTATTGATGGAAATTGATGCGCATTATGTGCCTTGGAATACAAGATCCAAAATTCTAATTCTTCCGTTTTACGATCAAAGCCAGGTTTACTCTACACTCGATCAAATATATTGACCTGGGGACGTGGTAGTTAATTTGACATCATTGGCAGAGTTCGGTGTTATTGTTAGTTCCGCGGTTTGTAAATAAGTTTTTTGTCGGCTGGCACACGAAGACCGCCCAAGTTAGCGCATTCTTCCAGGCTGAGGTCGACGCCGTGCGGGGGACGCACGTCGAAGTGCTGGACGATGGCGGCGGTGAAGAGGAACAACTCCATGCGGGCCAGCAGCTCCCCCACGCACTGACGCCGACCTGGCGAGACATCAAAAGTTAATTTCCGTTATGTGTTAAATTCATTGTCATTTAACAAATCAACTATTAACCTTTTTTTCCTATACTCACTGTGAGTGATATGATTACATCAGGATAATGAACCAGATTCTTTGTAAAGCCCAAATACTTAATGTCCTAACATTTTCAAGTGACAGGGGAACATGTCTGCCCAACAACAATGAAAAATAAGTCTTTCAATTGCAGATTTCTTACGATAGTTATTGGCAAAAGTAGCTAAAGGCAGAAGCTAATACTCACAAAAATTATGAAAATTTCAAACAGATGAGTGCTACATTGTTCAATTCTCACCGGATCCAAATGCAAAGAAGGCTTTTTTGGGGGCAGTGTACTTAGTGGCGCTCTCATCCAGGAACCGTTCAGGGTAGAACTTGTGGGGGTCGTCCCAGTACCGCGGGTCGTGGTGGATGGAGTAGTTTCCCACTTGAATCAAGGTGTCCTGTATCAAATCAAAAGAAACTCTGTCGAATCTGTTTTGCTGGTTAAGATGTGTCTGATGTGCCTCTCATAGCACTAAATAAATTCCTGCATCCATTAGTTTCAACTCGTATTGCAATCGTCACCATAATACAGATGCTAAAACACAAAACAGGTGATGAAATAGTTCATGAATTTAACTTGGACCTGAAAATTATGGGTTTCAAGTTGGAAGAATATGTTTATATCCCTCTGCTCAAAACGTTACCTTGGGGATGAAGTAACCGTTGATGTTTGTGTCGCGGGTAGCTGACCTCTGGACGTTGAAGATCAGGATTGAGGCATACCGCAGAGCTTCAACGGTGAAGGCCTCAACTAATGGCAAGCTAGATGAGAAAATGTTAAAACTGCAGATTTTGATTGTATTAAAATCTGGGTGAATTTCATGGCTGCAAACAAATTCATACTTAGACAATAAAGGTCAAGACTGACCTGAATTTTTATGATACAGAATCCATATGACTTTTAACAGACTTAATTCTCAACAAGAACCAAATTGCAAGAATGGCTGGCAAATATTTATGAGTTACGAGCCGATATCAATGATCTCGACCATCTACAAATTTTGAAAACGGAACCGAATCTGCTAGAAGTGCCGCTACTGACTCCGGGCAGCACGCATATCAGAGGCTTTATGTCCGCTTAAAATTAAATGAAGCCCTTAGGAAGCTTCTAAGCTCGGAACAACTAGTTGATGCCAACCCTTGCCACAATCTTAAGACATTCTAAGTTGTTAAAAGTCGGTAATGGGATTCTAACCAGACGCTCATTTCAATTGGGTGACCAATAAAACTAAAGAAAACTCTATGCCAAGCGTAGCGACCCCTGTTCGTAAGGTTGGACGTTACCCGATTTTTGTTATGTGCGTGAACTTACGCTTCAGCCAGTTCTATCATAGACAACGCAAATTGAAAAATGATTGAAAAATGAAACTTCTTGCAACTCATTACTAGCAAATTCAGTACTTAGGCTTATCGTTGAGCGACACCATGCGGTCCCTGGGCACGACGGCGTCTATTTGCTGCTGCATCCTCGTTGCGTACTCTGGATACCGGGCGAGCAGGTAGGCCATCCACTTCAGCTGATTATTTACCGTGTCCGAGCCCGCGCCGAAGAGGTCGTTGACGATTTGGTTCAAAGCTGAAATGAGCAATACGCAAGCTATATTTCTGGTTCAAGAAATTTGTAGTGCTCCTGAGTGACTGATTTACTTAATTTGGATAAATTACAAAATTACAAATTCCCACAAAAAATTGTGATCGGTATATCACCCTTACTGTTGGGATTCATTGATGCCAAAACCCGTTGCCGACATGTCTACGCGTTAAAGGGTTTGCCGCCCAAAGTTCATTCAACTATAACAGTTTACCTCCTCTCCTGAATAGGGAGTTTTCGTCCCCTTCGCTCGTCTTCATGTCTTTGATGTACTCGTCTATGAGGTCCCGGGGGTTGTCGGGGTCATAGTCCTCCAGGTGCTTGTCCACTGTATCCTAATGATTAAGATAGAATAAATATTGATTCTGAAACTTAGTCAGTTACATCATCAAACCTGTGGAAATAATTAGTGTTTTGCTCGAAAAGTTTATAAAATATTTAGTATTTGTGCCTATCTTACTTAAGCGTCTAGTGAGACATGACAAGTAGATTTCAACTCATTTCCATCACTTGACTTGTCCATTGAATCCGGGAATAAATTGCAAATAACAGAGAAAATGATTTCACATAAGATTTCAATCCATCCTTAACAATAAAAGAAACTCACGTCTATGACGATTTTCATTTCTTCCACGAAAGCATCGACCAAGTAATCTCGAAAAATAAAATTTTTTAGGGGCTTAGGCAGAAGATTCAGTGCAGGAATGAACAAAGGCAGAAACAACAACGTGGAGAAGTTGTTCTGGAATTCTTTAGTCAGGCGATAGATGGTTTCAACTTCGTTGGAACGAAGATCGTACCGAGTACCTTTAAGAAAATTAAAATTCGGGGTAATAAATTTGTGTCAATAATTATTCCTACTTTAACAATCTGTTTTTGAACGAGCATGTAGCATAAACAATCACTGGTCAAACATTTTCCTGCTTACAATTCCGGATTAAATTCACAGACGGGAAATATCCCAGTTTATTTCACGCCGTTGAAAACTAACATGGAAAGTAAAATAAAGGTACATCTGCATTAAGAACTCACTAGCCACCATCTGCCAGATGATGTTGAGCGCCACAGTCCTGAAGCTGTCGGGGTAGTTGATGGCTTCACCGTCGTATTTCTTGAGGTCTTCCACCAGCGCCTTGGCTTCGATGTTGATGGCTTCCTCCAGGTAACTCTTGCCCATGCCTGAAATAGGAGTTAGTTGTACTGCAGCGCGACAGAATTTAATGAGAAGCAGTATTTCGAAGCCACATCATGATCCCGAAACACAGAGCCGTCCATTTTTGGCCGTTTGTCGATCTAAGTATAAACACAACACTGAGACGAGCATCCATCTGTTTGTACTCAATTGGGATCTCATTTCTAAGCTCATTGCTTACATTGGAGTCCAATCTTTAAATGAAAACGTTCTATGAATATCAATTTAGACCCACAACTGGAAATTTGTCTTTCTCGTGTTTCAATTTCAAATTATGGCCTGAGTTAATTATGATGTGTATCTCACCGAGATTGCGAAGGTTGCGCAGCACGAAACGGCGGTCGTGCTGCCATTGTGCACCGTTGCTGCCAATCACACCTGGTGCAAGATCAATAGAAATTCAATTTTACACATAACATGAATTAACTTTAAGCAATAATAATCCTGACTGCTGCCCAAACCCATAATTTTTGATGCGTTCTATACGAGGAGGTAGAATTATTTATTAAAAATTTATTGTGGATGTGCTAAATAACTACTGTCATAAACGCGTGTTGCATCTACGTTGTCATGTAATACTTATACTGTAATGTTAAAATTGAGTTGAGTAATAAATAAATTAAAGGCATATTAAAGCAGAAGATCTCAAATCTGCGACCCAATTACAACGAGTGGGGATTGTCAAATCTCACCGCACCTCTGATGTACTACATTCCAACTTTATTATGCCTAACCCAAGTAACATCATATAGTTCATGATTAATTGGAATCACTAAAATGAAGCATATGAGGTGCGCTTGCAGCACAATAACATGATTGAAAAGAAATATTACAGTAAACAAGCTACTTAACAGTGTTTTATTCGCAAAGTGTGCATCAAAGAGAATCACAAAAAAAACTGAAAAAGCGTCGCCTACGACGTTTTGTATCTTATCTGGTCAATATCTTAGGTAGTTCATACATAACCGATTATTTGCTTATAATAAAGAAAATAGTGAGTATATTGTCGAGAGTACGGTCAGTGGCTTCTCATATAAAATGCATACACATTCTTGTGGCCAATTACGGCATGTGAGCAGAAATAACAGCCTTTGCAGGTCCCAAAATCAGGCACTTTAAATATCGGTTCAGAATATCAAGACACATGACAGTAAGTAGAAGATGCATAGCACGAGTCACGTGCAGATATTGAATCATGTCAAACGTGATTATAAGGTGGTTCTTAAAATTGGAATATAATCTACTTATTTTTAGTATTACACTTGATTATTTTCAATCTTATTTAGTTATAATTAATTTTGTTAGCCTTTTATTTCATAAAATTTATTGTTTGTTCCTTAGCCAGATATTCGGAAGGCGAGTGCATTCCCTGTCAAAATTTAGACGCGGCTGTCGTTCGGGTTTCGGTTGCAACTCTCGGATTAGAGATGAATCGGATATGAAATGGCCGCCTCCTCTATTTAGCCGCCCAATAGGAGCTATTTTGGGTAGTTCCATGGGAAAAAATATAAGGGTCAAATGACACGCGCAATCAGCGGCTGTTAAGGTTACAATTGGCTTACCCTGCTCAAGAGCTGGCATGAGTTCTTAGCGCGAGCGTGACAAGCCCCTGCCTCTAGTTGTGACGCTGCATGTGCATTATGCATGGGTACGAACTTATCAACACGCGAGTGTTTCAACACTCTTGCATTGCGTGTACGTCAACATGCTTGCATTGCGTTACCTTCAACGCGCTTGCATCGAGTGCGTGTTGCTCACGCGAGAGCTGCGTGAGATTCAACACGCGTGCAATACGTGTCTGTCAAAGCGATTGCTTTGCATGCGCATAAAAAAACACGTGGGCATTGCGTTATCTCCTACACGCTTGCGTTACTTTTATGTCAATAGAGTTGTTATTAATGCTCGCCAACGCGCGTTTTCAGCAGCGCATGCGTGAACAGCGTTAACGTCAATACGCGATCTAACGCGGACAGTACGTTGTCCTGAACACGCTTGTGTTACGTCTATGTCCATATATGTGCGTGGCGTTTTAGCAACAAGTGTGCATTGTTTTTGCGGCAACACGCACAAATTATACAATTACATGCAAGGCTTAAAAACCCATGCTTTCGAAGTAAGACTGATAAATAACCCCTAAAATAACCCTTAAAATTTAAAATAAATAAGTTTTCGGTGGAACCGAAAACTTAGATTCAGATTCGTCAAGTCGATTAACGTCGCGTGCTCAAGTTGAGTAGTGGCATCTGGCAATCTTACCAACTGGTCGGCGGACAGCTTGCCGCTGAAGAAAAGTTACAACAGGGTTACAGTGCAAATTTGTATAACTAAGTTGAACGGTTCCGTTATTGTGAACACTGTTCGAAGTGAAATCGAACTATTGGTATTTGTACGTGTGTATTTCGTGAATTTTAGGTACACAGGATTGGGAAAAATTACATTTCCGTGAATAATTTCACTATATATTAGGTACTTTATACCTTGAAAGAGGAATTAGCTACTATATTGAATCTGTGCTATGTTGGAAAGGTTAGATCTAAGCTCTGTAGATACAATATGCTTTTTTTACTAATATTTGGGAGAATTTCGAGGACTAATTCAACTGATTATTGCGGGAGAATGCATAACAGTGTAGCGACCATGTACAGGGTGAACCAGAATTAACTAACCCTTTTAATTTGTTAATAAATAAAAAACTAAGAACGTTATGAAGTTGAAACTTGTTTTATTTAAAAATTTTGTACTCCTTTGACCGAACATTCCATAGGCATTCATTTTCTCTATAAAGATCAATTAGGCTCTCTACTAGAGAGTGACTCCAAACGAGAGTGCAAGTATTAAAATCACTTGTTTGCTTGAATCGCAAGTTAACCAGGAAGTTAAAAGCAAAGAAAATACCACAAAAATTCACCATATCTTTATAAGAGAAAACGTTTTCTCTTATAAAGATATGGTGAATTTTTGTGGTATTTTCTTTGCTTTTAAATTCCTGGCAAACGAGAGTGGTGTTAGTCGACATTTGGTGTGCCGGACCAGCGCACACAATCAACCTTACTAGACCACAGACAGCTATCTACTAAGAATTTAAAAGCAAAGAATAGTCCACAAAAATTCATATCTTTATAGAAAACGTTTCGGAGACCAGCTCCATCGTCAGTTCGTAGAATCTAGAATCACAAATCAGAAGTCACAAATTGATACATTGAAACCATAGAACGAATTGAATTTCTTTATTTAATTAATTTAGATTTTTAATTTGAGTTAAATTTTTAATTTAATTTAAATTAAATTCTTAGTTAATTTGCGATTTAAGCATACAAGTGATATCAATTCTTTAATAGCTCTCTACTAAGTGCCGCGCTTGTGTTTCATGAGGCATGGCCCCTGTCAATCGCTAGCTCGTCAATCGGTCAAGAAGCGCATGCAGAGGCTGCAAAGCGCCTCTGCATGCGCTTTGAGGCACTTGATTCTCATGTGTTGCCCCTAGTGTGAACGGGCCTTTACACGCCTTAGCCGAACCAAAGGGCGTTTGGTACAACCAAACGTTTGGCACGAGTCACAGACGTTAAGGGACTCAATACCGCGCTGCTAGCATTCCCACGTCTTACAACTGGTGACCCCGAGCTCAAGAGAGTCTCCACTGTCTACAACCGGTGACCCCGAGCTCTCGAGAGAGTTCACCCCACTACTCGCTCCACTCCGCAGGTGGGCAACGATCACCTCATCGCGTGAACGGAAGCTGCCTCCCACACGGAGTCCGCCAGCCTTACAAACTGGCGACCCGGAGATCTCACCAGGAGTTCACCTCCCTCCGCACTGGGGCAACGATCACTGCATCGTGTGAACGGAAACTGCCCCTACACGGAGCCCGTCTCCCCCTAGCTCTACCTACTGCGTCTGACTGCGGAGTGTGTAAAAACCTGTCAACGCTAAGGCTGTTCCATACACGTGCCCTTCCTCTACATCATGCCCGGGACTACCGCAGGATCTCCTAGCCTGACACCGGTCAGCCCTGCTGCTTCAACTGACTCGCATACATCCCTGTCAACCGACAGACCGCCTGTATCTGCAGTTACACTGAAGCTAACACCAAAGGCACGTGCAACATCACAGCCCCAGCGATAAATAATTCCGCAACCTCAGGTCTGCGGAACAGCCAACCCAACCAAACCAAAGCTTCGGAACGACTGCACGAAAATGAGTTTCTCCTTGCAACTAAAAGGGAAACGAGAGTTGCGAGTGGTGACGACGACCACCACTCGCAAATGCCTTGCCAAATCTAGTCATAGAGTATCGATCGAACTTATTTCGATCTAGGAGGGGGATATCTGTAGCGACCATGCATATACGTTTCCACAAGTTACCTCCGCAACTCATTTTCTAGGAACGTTGCTAGCCTAGTGAATTCTAGCAGAGTTACCCACCAACTCTAACTCAACATTATCATCCATGTTATTGCCTTAAGCATCATTATCAATTAGCAACTGCAGTTGATATTCTGTTAAATATGATTTAGCTACATATGCATATTATTAGCACTGACCTAAGACGTTGCAATATTAAGTAACTCCTGTAGTCGTAATCATTTACAAATCTGTAATACAGCGCCTAACCTGGTCACCAGACCTAGTTCTAGTAAATAAGGAGAACTCCTACTGTGTTTCATTCCCCAATACGAAACACAATTGTAAGACGCTAGCGCAGTCTGGTCTCTGACTTACACGCCTTAGCCGAAGCAAAGGGCGTTTGGTACAACCAAACGTTTGGCACGAGTCACAGACCTTAAGGGACTCAATACCGCGCTGCTAGCATTCCCACGTCTTACAACAGTTTATGTGAATATTTGGTGTTGGCGAATATGAGAGAATGTTCAATACTGGTTAAGGTGAGTTAATGTTTTACTCAGCCGTACGTGGTAAATATTTGGTACTGCTACTACCGCAATAGGTAGGAGTGCTTGGTACGGGTAAATGGGTATAATGTTTTGTTCATGGATAATGTGGGATAATATTGAGCAGTATTGAATATTGGAAAATGTTGATAGTTGAGTGATATTGCATATTGAAGAATGTTTGGATTTGGGAAATGTGTGAGAATGCTGACTGCTGGTGAATATTGAAGATTGTTTTGCTCGGGGAATGTGAGAGGATCTTGCATTGCGGCAAATATAAGAGAATGTTCTGGTAATGTGGAAAGTTGGGATTGAAAGTTGTATTAACTGAAAATATTCCGGTTTCAAACTCGAGGGTGCATTTTTAACGCATTTTTCAGATTCGGCCGTTTCTGTCCCGAACGTATCAGGTACCAAGTACGCGCGCCCCACGATCGCCCAAAGCTCGACAGGTATTTCACAAGGTTCTGTAACGGCGCTTATTTCGCTCCAGCAACCGACGGACACAGAGCCGCTAATTTACGCCGCTAGGCGAGCTTGGGGCGTCCTCGTGCCAGCGGCTGACAGGAATAAGATTTTCGATAGGATTCAAGTCCTCTGCTCCATGGCTGCTTAGCGCTGGTGTTACTGTAGCGAGCGGCCAAATATGCCCGCTCATGGTAACGTACCGCGTTTCAGTTTTCTAGTCGCCGCACTTCTCAAATCACGACTGTTAATAATGATGTACATGTAGAACTGTTTTCTGAGGTGGCTGCACTTCAGTCGAGAGCCAACCTCCTTTCTACTGTGATCGTGACTTCCATCACTGAATTCTTTTGTTATTCGCGTTCATTGTCGTATAATTCCAAGTGGATTATACTGACGGCAAAATTTCCCAATCTGTAAATATATATCTCGGCCTGGAATACATTTTGAATTGTTTTATACCATCCGCGTGTAAACCCTATGTATAAGTGTAGCCATCACGTCCCGCTACATTACTCTCAGACATACGACTGATCATATAAATTAACATCGTACTCAGCATCGCACTCTACATCATACTCTACGCAAAGGCATCGCCAACCGTGATGACGTCCTCATTCCTCATTATGTAGTCTAACTTTAGAAAATTAAGTTTAGTGCGGCTACCAACATAACATATTAATTAATCCTAGAATGCAAAGGTACACTTTTTGCATCGACCACAGCTGTGTTCTGCAGTGCTCCTACTGGGAGCCAGCCACGGGTGAACATGCCTGCTACAACGGTCGTACTAGCGCAGCCCATAGGAATCAAGAGGCAGGCATGTTCAAATTATAGAAGCGAGCTATATACGTCCGATGCCACCGCAGCGCCTGACTGTAAAGTTCTGCAAGGATGCGACTTATTTTGTCCTTACCGGCCTTATGCACCCGGTTTGCGATGGCGCTTGCGCCGAAGATTCCATTGTGTCCAGTTCAACACAATTAGTTAAAATGTTAATGAGAAAGCGCTCAAGATGAAAATTAAGCGCTCAAGCGCCACAAATTGTAAATTGTATCCCACATATTTTTACCAATGCCCCACAGCACATAGTATAAGGATTTAATTTACAGAGGTACTTGAATCATCTGTAAAATTTCACCTCCAGTTTTTTGATCGTCAAAGCTGAAAGTGGAGAAAAAATCTGGGCGGTCAGCGAAATCGAGTCTGCCCAAGGCCTCCTTGGCGGTGTCAGAGTCGAAAAGGAAAACCGAACGTAAAGTTCCAGTGCGATACCTGTACATTAAAGAATATATCATTAAAATGTTACGCAACCCCAGCATCGTCAGTAACTCAATTTTAAATTGAAATCATCAAATCAAATGAAAACGACGAGCTAGTTAGTTCATGGCCCATCTTGAAAATTCGAGTCTAGAAAAAATGTGTATACAAATTTCATGATAGGAAAATTTACGAGAATATACATATTCCGAATAGCGTGAGGTGCTCTTATATATGGATAGAGCTTTTCGTATAGAGACAGCTATTCCTTACTAAATACTAATTCTGTCAATGACTTCAGCTAACAGACAGAATTATTTACACTCCTCTGTGCCTTCTTTTATAGATTGGAACTCTTCAATCACGTCTTTTAGCAACGCAAAAATCTATTAAAAATAAATTGGTATTTTTCCTACCTATAATGTGCCCCATACTATATTTTCTTATCCTGGCATGGCGTAGTTTAATCATGACGGCCTATATAGCATTTGAATACAAGTCATTATATCAGATATCCATTGATGACACTCACGAGACAATGTCACCATAGTTTTCTTTCAAATATTCTCCCATTTTTTCATCAAAAAACGGCATTCGTCCGAAAAACGGGATTTCCACTGGACCTGGAATGTGAAAATTGTTTTCAAGTCTTTGTAAAATCTTTTTGAGGTTCCAGAGAAAAATAATGTCCTCAAATTCAATATGCGTGCAAATACAGTTGATATATAATGCACTGAATACGACACATTAGACTTATATGTTACAAAGATTGAATTGAAGATGATTTCCTTCACATGTTATGCAGTTTCAGGGATATATATTGAATGACATGTATTATATAGATCCGCTCACCAGGGGGGCAGTTGCGGGGGCGCCTGTCCCTCAGCACCGCGTACACCAACACCAACACAAAAAACAAAACAATCTCCACCCACATCTTGACTATTGCAGTATAGTTCAAATAACTGGAGTCTATCTTTTTTAAACTACCTTCGCGTGAGATCGGCCACAAAAATCAAATTTCTGTAATATCGTTGGATTAATGAATAATTAATTACAATTTATTTAAGATAAGCGGTTTTAGAATGCTTAGATTAAATAGAGTTACCTAAACTAACAGCATTTCTTGCGACATCACAATAAAGAATATGCTCCACTTCATGCGTATATTCGTATGAAAATTCATCAAACCATCACATGTGGGCTTATGGAGGCCATAATAAGCGAGTTCATGAAAGATAACCGTAGCAACAGAAGACCGCCTGTTCTTGTGAAGTCTCAGAAGCGACTGCCTCGGTAGGGTACAATATTCTCATGCTTCGAGATAAGCAATTCAAGTGGCACCTGATAACATAGACGAATTTTATTTTGTTAACGATGAAAATAATCAAATAGGATAGAAAAGATGGAAACTCAACCAATAAGTTTAACAATGTTATGTGTTGCACACGAATTTTACCAGTAAATTTACTGAAAATGAACTTGTTTATCATCAGTTGTTTTGTCAACCTCCTCATGACAAGCGTTACTGTCTCATAAACAGATGATAGGTTATCTGATAATACAGGGACTGCAATATTCGATGCTCAGTTCTGTGTCATGTTCAGAATATGATCGCATATTTATCCACTTGACAACCGTCCTACATTAACAGAGAAGTCCGTATCTATATGCGAGCCCCACAATGCAACACCTTAAACGCTAATACAGTATGATAATAAACTAATAGTGGTGATAGCTTTGCTTAGGCCATTTAGGCTTGAAACCAATTCTGAAAAACCTGCAATCTTGATGCTTTCGACCAAAATTTTCACAACTACTTGGGGTTTTCGAACCCCAAACTCGCTGCTTCAATCTTGGCGATTTTAATCACTCTGCCACCCCTGAACACCATGCATTAAAGGCGATGTACGTGCGATGTTACTACAGCTATAGGGTTCAATAATTGAAAGCAGGCAGCCTTGAGACAGGCTCGTCTCTTCACTGAGTTTCTTCACAAATAAGGCTGAATTTTACTCCACTCGTAATTGTGAAGACTATCTGAAAATTTTCATGCTCTTTCACCTGTTTTTTTGCAATTGGTGGACAGTAACGAAAAATCCGTAAACATTGCATTGAAATAGTTCTGATGTAGAAAATTTCAAGCAACTTTTAATAATAATGTTCAAGAATTGTGCGATGTTGACGTTTTTTTTCGAGATGGGTTATACCTGAGGTCAATGGGTTGTACCTGCCGAAAATTATTTATGAAGAGTATGGTCATATGTGGAGAAAAAATTCCGTACAGTAAATCGAGGGTAAGAATGAGGGGAAGCAAAGGTAATGAATTTCTGAGCTATCAAACTTGAAGGCTCACGCGGTTAGGTCTCTCAACGAGAAGCGAGGAAACAAAGAGCGGCTTGCTGTCGGCCGAAGACAATTTATTCTAGCCGACCGCTGGCCATTCATTGGCCACCTGAAAGCAGCCCGTAGCCCCAAATTTCTTGTTGGCTGAGATATCATGTTACAAAGACTGCAAGTTCGAGCGCAGCGGCCAGGATTTTACATCGTGGTCGCGAATACTCAGACTTCGCCCAATTCTGACTACCAATCTTAAGTTACTCAAATATTATATATATGTCGGGCATGCTTTGTGTAGACGAGACAGTGAGATTTCTACAATTTAACAATTGCTTTTAATGGAGAGAATAATGCAGTCATTTAGACCGCTGCGAGTCTGGATTGTTTTGGACACTTCCAGGATAAAGAAATTTAAAATTTTTCACACATAATTTTCATCGTCTCTGAAATGATTTTGGAAAGGATTTCAATCGAAAAATTTACTTAATCGATATTTCAGAATTTGCGTGCGGAAAAACACTTAATGTGAAAGCAATTTTTTATTGCATTTTGATTCAATTACGAGTATATATAGTTACGATTTTAATAATTTAAATAGGACACTTGAGGATTAGAAGTCGCTTGAATAATTGCCATGAATACGAATGACACATTCAATTATACTGAAAATTGATATAAATTAACATCCAATTGGCGTTCTTTAAACTGTTCGAAAAAACAGATCGGCTTCAGCAACACTTCATTCAATGCCAGCTTTTCTTAGGTGGGTCAATGTCGATTCGCACATGCGATGTTACTACTCGATTCACATCAACACTAGACACGTATTGTATATGCGTAAATCATAGGCACGATGTATGTTCTGAACCTCCTTGTAGAAATACGGAAAGCAGACTGAAGCTATCATACATTAATTAAGCGACTGAAGCTCACCGCTGACAAATCAGGATGATGCGCCATGCGTGGTCATTAACGTTGATTACTTGAAAGATTATAGAATAGAATAGAAAAGAATAGAATTGTGGGCACTGAAGTAATAGGCCCATGGCCTGTTGTCGATTCTTGTACTTTTTGTGACTTGATTCCACATGGGCTGCGGCTTCTGAACCTGATGTTTACATAACTGACGATTGATTGAGATAGCTGCTGGACTTATTGCCTGGTCCGTAAGGTGCTAGGCATTTCAAGACTCAACATATGCTCCTGCATAGCTTCGTCCTGTCTGTTCTTGAAGGCGTTCATACTGGGAGCGTCAACGATGCTGTCAGGGAGGCTGTTCCACATGTCGGTGACACGAAGCGAGATGAAATGTCGCATGGATGTGTTACAACGCAGTTTTTTTAGTTATAGCTATGACCCCTGGTGTTGGTTCTTGTTTCAAATTCTAGGACTCCTTCTGGGACCTCGTTCCTAGCCTACAGATTAGGCTAGAGAAAAATAGTGACACGCAGTGATGCATGGAGTTATTTTACGCCTAACATTTAAAAATCATCGAGTGATATCAATTTCTTATTTCTTGCAAGAAATTTCTTGGCGAAAATATTTCGAACCGACCCTCTGTCAAAATTGGTGTAATGTTAGCTTTATGAAACTTCGATACTTATCGACAATTTCCCGTAGATGTTACTCTGAGCTGAACCATTGTTCTTTATGGATAAACGAAGCTTCTTCCAGCGGCTGTTTACTCGAATATAGCAGCATGTTCATATATAATGAGCAATGGAACCATCTAATCATCATGGTGGTAACATAAACTTTTGTCGTTTGATGAAATTAAAACTCAGTACCTCAATCAAGTCTCTTCAAATGACGCGAGCCACAAGTCCTCTCCGATGGCTCAACGGCAGAGGCTTGAATTCGCGCAAGGGAGATCGGGGTTCGAATCCTGCAGGCAGGGAGTGATCTTCAAGTCGATTGCTCACGAGGTATGTGTCTGGTAATGTGATAATTTGTTCCCGATACATGTCTGACATTGTTACTTGTACTGCCCTGGAGGATGAAGTAGTCCTCAGAACGTGATGTCGTATGATGCAAGCGATATCAGTGAATGCAAATGTATCGGATTTGAAAATAACGGAAACAAATTTGATCGACTTAATTTTACAGATGGCCATCGGTGGCTCATCGATACGTCACCGGTGCCAATGGGTAGGTGGAAGAAGAGTTTTTTTGGTTTGGGTGGCCATTAGCAGGTTATAAGTTGTAAAATAAAAAATAAAATGTCCTAAATGTCATTAGGACATTTTTACCACCAGTTTTTTGATCATCTACGCTGAGAAAGGAGAATAATTTGGGCGGATAGAAAATTCCAGTCTCGTCATGACCTCATTGACGATATTGCAGTCAAACAAGAAACGAGAGGTTCCCGTGCGTTACCTGTAGCATTCGGGAATGAACAATGGAAATGTAACGGATTTAGCCCAGTCTCTTGGTCACGACTAGAGTCGTTCGGTCAATTAGACCAGCCAGTAATTACTCTAAGAAATTATACTACAGTAAATACAATCTTATGGAACTAATAGTCATTGAACTGTTCATAATTTTAAGATCAATTTCAAATTATCACTGTTAGGAAAGTCTAATTATTACACGATAATGAATAGGAAACGAAATTCTGTAAATTTCCACAAGCAAGTATTTATAGAAGGTATTGTGTTTTCCACACTGTTCATACCCATAGTGTTTATCAACAATATGGGCAAATTGGTATGAGCAAATCGTGATGATCATGTTGCTTCACGTAAGTATTATTGCAAAGACTGAGCATTATTACGAACGAGACGATATCACCGTAGTGTTTTCGTAAATATTCCCCAACTTTTTCATCGAAAAAGGGTAGTCGTCCAAGAAACGGGATCTCCATAGAACCTGAAATATCAATTTACAACGGTAAAGTTTAACGAGGAGTTGCATGGGAAGATTTTAGTGAAATGCAATCTCCACGTTTATATTAATTTCAATTGCATACAACATTGGCATAGAATGCAATGCAATAACTAGCTTAATAAATATGATACAAAGATGTAGTTAAAAGAGTTACAACATCCATCATGAATTTATGACTGGATAGGCACTATAATAAGTTCGAAGAATGACTCACCAGGGGGGCAGTTGCGGGGGCGCCTGTCCCTCAGCACCGCGTACACCAACACCAACACAAACAACAACACAATCTCCACCCACATCTTGACATATCCCCGCTATAGGTTATTATTGTTTGAAAAAGACTTGATTTTCTTGTAGTTACTGAATTCTAATGGAGTCTATCAAGATTTCTGAATGAACAGTTCAGATTGAGGTATAGTTCTAATTAGCTTGCAGGTGCTAAATCTCTAATTTTATTTGCCTCAATCGCTCACAATAATGTTTAATTTTGAGATGAGTGGATTGCCACTGATAAATTGGTAACAATTTTTTGGTGTCGTTCATTAATATTAGAGATGTGTAACACAGAGATGACACTAGCATTTTTGCAATTTAAATGCATATTGTTTCACTATATCACATGCTATCATATAGATGTTTAATTAATTAATTCTCTAACCGTAATTAAGGCAACAATTTCAAATTGTATAATGGTTAGCGTATATATCAGTCATTTGAACGAAATTCGATTGATATAAAGTGGAAATTCAATTATTAACGTAAAGTAGATTAATCAAGGCAACGGAGATAATTGGAAAGATAACGGAAAAGTAACAACACAATTAAAATGCGTTCCACAAGCTGTTACATGTTGCATTGCACTCGCGTTCCACCAAGGCAAAGTTAAAATAATTTAAGCACATTTGAATTCGTTTCTTCTCTTCTAAGTTAAGTATTTCGCGCAAACGCTACCAGAACATCGTTCGCGAATGGCATCCGCAGACAGTTTTTATAACATCCTCTCCCACGAAGTGTACGAAGCACACTGCAGTACTGCACCCCTTATGTTATTGTATGCCTTGACTGAAGGCCACCGCCAACGACTTGGGCTATGACACCAGTGACAGGCAAGACGAGTACTTGTGTTAAGATGCATTGGGACAAATCATTTATATTGAACTTCGAGGAAGAGACGTTTAGAAATGTTGGAGTCAAATGAAATTGAGAATTAAAACTTTTTATAATACCATATAGCTGTCCAGCGTATACGTTATCTTCTTTTAATTATTTAGTCAAATTTCCACCTCAAGTGAAAATAGTTACACACGAGATTGGATCACTCATCAAGATACGCTTGCTTCGTCGCAAGAGTGCGTCAATTTTACGTAGCACATCTCTCCAGCCATCATCTGCACAGCCACTGTAATAGAGACAGGCGTCCGGAGTTGTCTTACTGTAAATGTATAGCGAATATTTGAGCGAGGATGTATGAAGGATTTTCTAAATATATTCGTTCTAAATGTGTTCCGGCTGACAATTGGTCGTTTTCGTTCGTAAATTTAGACAGCTAACAATTGCTGACTATGAAGAAGATTAAGGGGTGATGAAAATTGAAGTTGCGTATAAACGATTTAATTCAAATGAAAAGGATCTTAACATCAATTAAGAAGTCAATAAGCAGAATGTGTTCGGTCTGAGTATATATATATATATATATATATATGTATAATTTTATTAGCATATGTCAGTATAATGATAGAAACACATTGAAATGTTTCGACCTTTTCTTCCTGTGCTGACTTCAAATTGTTTACAGTTGCAACGCGTTGAAAGAAAAATCCTTAATTAATTTAAATAAATTTATTTTAAATTTTTATATTTTGATTTCTTTGATCTCTCGTAGCCCCCAATTCCCAGGTCAAAAATTCAATTAACTTGGACGAGTATCAGAATCAGAAAAAACATACGTAATACACATTATATATCACGTTCATAATTTTGATTCACTTCAGTCCCAAATCCTGATTTCAATGACAAGACTCAAACTCAATGGAGCTTTAAACTTTATGGGTTGCGTGTTTTTTGTCGTTTATTTGTTAATGATCCATTCCTTTGACATGATATAAACACGTTTGTTTGCTGTCTGGTATAAATGATAACCATTTAATAATAATATTTTATTTTATTTGCTGTCGAGTTCCAAATATTTGGTGAAGATGATTAATCTTGAAAGGCATAGAGGATGAAAATGGGTGTTACCAAGAAATTGGTTGTATAAAATGACATACGGGCTAAAACTAATGATCATCATAAAATCATGGCAAATAATTTTAAAAATTATAGAATTATAGGGGCAGGGCAACTTCATTCATCCGATGAAGTTAAAAGCAGTAACGAAACTCTCTAATTGCCCCCCCCCATATAGCAAGTGAATCAAAGGTTCTATCGACATTTTCAGAAAAAAATTATTTCCAGTAGGTATTGGCGATTATTTCGAGATTTTTGGCCATGATTCAAAATGTAAGCTAACTTCGGCCATAATATGATGGTATAACATTAATTTCTTTAGAAATATTTGGAATGGCAGAGAAATTGAAAAAAATTTTTAAATCTGAAACATCATATAAATTGAAACCATCCACAGAATGCAATGAATTATTCACATTGAAGTTAATGAGATCGAAAATAATTAATCTAATTTAAAAAATGCACTTAAATATTATCGATTCGCTTGAGCTGCATTATACTCTAGAGCACAGTTAATTCTGCTCAATGCGGAAGGAAATCAACGTGCTTAAATGAAAACGAAAAAAGCTCATCGGCTTTACTAATTCCGTATCTACTTTTTGTTTTGCACGATTAGCCATTTCTAGTTCTTCGCTTTTTTTGGCAGGAAAATCATTTAAGTTAATTGTACATTTGCTTTTTTGTCTTTAATTAAGAAGGATTTTTATTAAGAAGCAACTTCAGTTACAAGTTTCAGCGTCCCTTGAAAAGAACCGCCTACACTGGCCAGAACAAACTTGTTTTTTGGTTGTATTTTATTCATGGCGATATTTTGCCATATCAACAGAGGGCTGCTTCTATAATTATCATATAAATTTGAATTTGATGTTGGTACATGTTATTTTAATTTGAACAGAGTTCTGATTTCATATTATTGTAATTTAAACAGAGTTTTGAGTTCATATCATGATAATTTCAGCAGAGCAATGTTCATATGTTTCAAAACGACGGGCTTAGGAGCTCATTTACACTGTTAACGGTAACCCATGCATAATTTTCTGACCCCGACCTCCGTCAAGCTCTTAATAGTCAAATTAAACGAAGAGCACGGACGCATGAACGCATGCGATACTTAGAAACTTGGAGTTCACTAATGATATAAGTTAATTAAGATCAGCCATCATATTCTCAGCGAGCGTTTCCAAAATATAAAAACAAGTGAACAGGTTAACTCTCTTAACCTTAACGATTGTGCTGGTAACAATAGGCTGATTCAAGCGCTACCATTCGTGGGAAAAGAAAAACGTTGTTGGATGAATTCGACTATATGATCCATGGCCAATGTATCAGTTTCTGGGCCTGTAAATGAGCTTGTTGTCTGCAGGCGCCCGAAGACCTCCCAAGTTCACGATTACTTCTTGGCTGAGGTCAACTCCGTCCGCAGGGCGCACGTCGAAGTGCTGGACGATGGCGGCGGTGAAGAGGAACAACTCCATGCGGGCCAGCAGCTCCCCCACGCACTGACGCCGACCTGTTAGTGTTATCGTTTCATCGAGGGCAGTGTATACGAAAAGTTTTCACTATGGCTTGGCCGCTTGCTGCAAAATTTGACAGGCTGTATAGAAACAATAACTCGGCTAATATCAATGAAATTTTTTTTTTGACATATGACGATTCTTCGGAGGTTTCTCGCTTTCATCACAGTTTACAAAAGGGTAGAAAGAGATGGCCATCGGTCGTCCATAGCAAATGTTGGCTTTGTCTGATCGCTGGCAGTTCATAGAGATGCTTAAAACTGCCATATAGCTTCTAGAACAACTTGCTTGAATAGAAATCTAACTGATGTAATAATGCTATACGAACTGATGTAGTTATTCTTAAATTGAATGTTAAACTTCTATATTTCTCACCAGAACCGAAGGCAAAGAAGCCCTGCTTGGGGGCCGTGTACTTGGTGGCGCTGTCGTCCAGGAATCGTTCAGGGTAGAACTTGTGGGGGTCGTCCCAGTACCGCGGGTCGTGGTGGATGGAGTAGTTGGCTATGACCACCATTGTGCCCTGTAATTTAAAAGCAAACGTGCGGTGTCTAAGAAGTTTCTTTTAGATATCTCTTCTGAACGCTTAGTAATTGTCACTGTCCTTCAACTTGTAGGAATTGTTTGCTGATATATTGCAATCATATTCCTTGCGAAAAAGCTCGAAAAAGATGGAATAGGTGCAGTGAGTTTCGACTTTGGGTATTATAGTGCAAATGTCGTCTTTGAATATAATAGATAATGATACTTAAAGGCTTCAAAATAACAGTATTGTGGGTTATTCGTATTTCATGAAAAAGGTCGCATGTGTCCACCTTGGGGATGAAGTAACCGCTGATGTTTGCATCGCGAGTAGCGGACCTCTGGACGTTGAACACCAGCATAGAGGAGTACCGTAGCATTTCAACCGTGAAGGCTTCAACCAATGGCAAGCTAGTGGCATACGTTAGGAAATTACTTCACATGTTTATTTGTACATAAAGGCGAGAACATGCTAGTGTAATTTTCACTAAATCATCAGATAGCCCAGTAGTATAGGTTATTATTTCACATGTTTATAAAGGCGGGAACCCCGGAACAAGCAAGTTTACTTCTCACCAAATCATCAGATTTACCCAGTAGGAAGCTGACATGAAACAACGTCTATTAGGAGTTTTACAAGTTACAGTCATGGTAAACCCGTATTTTAAATCGAATTGACGTTGAGTGAGTGATCTTCACTCGATACGCCAGAAAAAAGAGACTGAATTCTGCATGGAAAAAGTCGACTTTCGACCGTCGTTAATTGGTTAAATTTTCATCATCTGTTCAATGTTATTTATTCGATAAAATTCACGTTATAAGGATACAACTAATTTTCAACGTTGATAGAACGTCGTCACTCTAACGTTGCGTAATTCTTGAACCTCCGACACCGTCAACGTAGTTTTGTATCCGCTGCATCAACATTGAATTTGGACTGCAAAATGCGCGATTAACTTTACGTGATCCCGTCATGAAAAGGCATTTTGAAATTCATTTTAGCGTCCAGGGTTATGCTATAAAATTCAATATAACATTTTATTTCAACGCAACTGGCATGAAAGGCCAAAAAATGCAATTTATTACGTCACAAGAAAAAAGTATCAACTTACTATCCCAATTTCGCGGCTAATTGGCTCTGCATAAACGGAGCTACAGAATTCGGTAACAACATGAATATGCGTAATATTACTGGCACCTGTGTGGAATCAAGTAGTGAAGAATATCGAATTACCGTTTTATTTACTTAATCTGTATCAGAGTACCGAATATTCATGCTTGTTGTTTGAATTTGCAGGAAACGCTATGCATCTTTTGAGTATTGATATATACAAATATAAATTAAGTAGTCATTAAATGTATAATTTTTTATGTAATTAATTTTTCTGAAGCCTACTCTCTTTCCTCTAAAGTTTTATTTTTCTTGATCCCAATAATTGGATCAAATAGCTGCAATTACAACAAATTAAAACACACAATCAAAACCAGCAGCATTTAAATATAACTCTGATGCATACGACAGTGATCGGTAACCGAAAGAAGCCGTCTCATACGGGTTCTAAATTACAGTCGATTAAACTGGTATTTTATTGTACAGGCTCTCGTTACGACAATTCTGGAATATTTTTATTCAGTTTTTATAACTGGAAATCTCGAAATTTTTATGAAGATCCCTTGCTATGATTTTCAGGTTCTCAAGTTAAGCATGTTCATATTCGAATAGTGTAATCTTTCACTGTTCTTCGCAACGCTTCTTCAAACATTGCATCTTTAACGCTCTACCATCGAATTCAATGTAAATATTTTCATAGCGATTCCTGGTGTAACGTACAAGCTTACGGAATAGTGTTAGTAACGATTTTTATTGCTCATGTACGAAAAGACATCATATTACATACAAAACAAAATTTGATCGTATATGAACATGATAATAACGCTTCATTGGAGAAACCGAGTCAATTTTAAAATCAAACGTTTTCTCAATGCGATTTAAAAGCAACAATATACCAATTTTGAAACAACGTTGTACGTATAACGTCATTTTAATATTGTATTATAACGTCAAACGAACGACGTTACCTTAATTTCCATTCTGGACAAGTATTCATCATTTATTCAAGCGTCTTAAATGGCGTGAAATCGCCATTGGGCAATTTTTAAAAATTTGGATTAATTTTGGTCTTTCTTGTACGGAATCATTCTAGGCACACAATCGCCCCTCAAAATAATAGACCGTGAAGTCAAATCAAATATTGTTGAGAATTGAAGTAGGAAGGTTGAATGAATAGGAGCATGGAAAGAAATATTCGTGCTTTATGAGTCGTCCCAAAAGCCTAACCGACGTAGCGTTGAGTTTGTATTATAAACGCTATATTTAATCGATATATATATTAAGTACCTCGGCTTATCATCGAGCGACACCATGCGGTCCCTGGGCACGACGGCGTCTATTTGCTGCTGCATCCTCGTTGCGTACTCTGGATACCGGGCGAGTAGGTAGGCCACCCACTTCAGCTGGTAGTTTACCGTGTCCGAGCCCGCGCCGAAGAGGTCGCTGACGATTTGGTTCAAAGCTGAAAGGCGATTAACGATGAGGCTCGATCCAAAGCCGTGTCAAGTTTAAGATATATCCTGATATTCCATCACTGAATATGATCATTTAAGAATAATTTCCAAAAATTCATTACCGATTTCCTTCGTAAAAATTCAATGAAAAAATCTCTAATGGCTTAACCTGAAAAATTCCGGATCGAAACTCTTTTCCAACGATTACGGTTCGTGCCAAAATTCTCACCTCCTCTCCTGAAAAGAGAGCTGTCATCGCCTTCGCTCTCCTTCATGTCTTTGATGTACTCGTCTATGAGGTCCCGGGGGTTGTCGGGGTCATAGTCCTCCAGGTGCTTGTCCACGGTTTCCTGTTAAAAGAGTTGGAAGGACATTTGTTGAAGTTGGACAGCATTTATTCAAAATTTATGATAGGCAAACTTTCACCGCTACGAACTGGATGAGCAATATGTAAATGGAAAGCATATTCAATTTTTTCCTTTTTGTTACAATAATATTTTTAATAATTTTTAAAATGAAAAATAATTTAAATTGAAAAATAATATTATTTTTCAATTTCTTGCCATCAACTCATCACTCCATATGAGAGCATACATAGATGCAAATTCATTTCCAAGGCATGTTTTACATCTCGAGCGCTAAAAAAGGGCCAAAATATGACGAGAATGAGTTCTCAACATGAAACAGTCCCCCAAAATTAAATAAAAATAAACTCACGTTCACTACTTTCCGCATTTCATCCACGAAATTCATTAAGCCGTCGTCACCGAACAAACAATTCTTAAAGAACTTTGGCAGGCGATTCAAAGCAGGAATGAACGCTGGCAAAAATGATAAAACAGAGAAGTTGTTCTGAAAATCCTTCGTCAGGCGATAAATGGTTTCAACTTCTCTAGAGCGGAGGTCGTAGCGGGTGCCTGAAAAAAATACAAATTGCAATTGAGTTCTTCTTTATATCTCAGGTTCGTTGCAGTCAGGACGATACCGATGGCAATTAAGTTAATAGTGAAGTCATTTGAAATCGAATAAATGGGCACAGCTACTTATACATACGTTGTACCGACTGAACCTAAAGACGTAAAACCTGACTGATATCTTGCTGTGTTTGAAAACTAACGCGGAAAGTGAATTGAAAGTTCATTAGCATCGGAAACTCACTGGCCACCATCTGCCAGATGATGTTGAGCGCCACAGTCCTGAAGCTGTCGGGGTAGTTGATGGCTTCACCGCCGTACTTCTTGAGGTCTTCCACCAGCGCCTTGGCTTCGATGTTGATGGCTTCCTCCAGGTAACTCCGGCCCATGCCTGGAAGCATTTTAGTTATAATACAGTTCAGTCAAATCGCGACATAGAAAGTGTGTTCAAGTTGATCGATACTCTTGTAAGAAATTAAAGGCATCATGCAAGATTTTCATCGAATGTAATGAACAATCGATCAAGCTAATATAACTGTACAGTTTGCATTCAGCTGCATTTTAACACCAAGCTCCTTGGGTGCAAAGTCATCAAATACTTTGTCGTACTCGTGATTGTATAAGCTCCATATGTAATTAATCCATTCATTGTGGTGGGCTGGTGGCCTAAAAATTGAAACAATATATCATTCAAAAATTTGTCTGGACTCCTGGAATGATTTGCTTCCGACCAACCGAGGTTGCGGAGGTTGCGCAGCACAAAGCGGCGGTCGTGCTGCCAGTGAACGCCGTTGCTGCTAAAAACGCCTGATGAAGAATTAGTGGAAAATTAATTTCTACCCGTTGGCGATTTAAAACTCCAGGCAAAATAAAATTTCAAGAGCGCGCTCAAATATTACTATAACAGGCTTATTCATACTATTGGTAGACATGGTGCCTATTATTTGTTACTTGGCCGCCTAGTCCATCGGGAGAACATTCGTTGGAAGACCGATACCATGTCTGCTTTGAGCCTATCCTATACGAAAATTGCATTCACCTTGACTGTACAGAATATGGCCTTTGCTTAAAAATTTTGCTGAGATCAAATATAGTTTCCACAATAACATTCGCAAAAACTGGACAAATAAGTTATAGAGATCCCAGTATTGATTACATCATGTATTACCGCCAGTTTTTTGATCGTCTAAGCTGAAGCTGGAGAAAAAGTTGGGGCGGTCGGAGAACTCCGGTCTCGCCATGACCTCCTTGGCGGTGTGGTAGTCGAACAACATGACTGTACGAAATGACCCAGTCCGACACCTGCGACATTTCAGCATGAATGAGGAAAATGTAGTTCATATATTGAGTCACCTTATAAGATTATTTAGAATTTTTCTCATGACATAAACTGAACATTGCAAGATAAACTTTCAACAGACCTGCTTCAAAAATACTCTTTGCAAACATTCCTAAATTTTGAATCTAAACATTAGAAAAATGAATCTCCCATTTAAGATTACGATTGGCCAGCTTTGATAAATGTTAAAATGTTATTACTACCTAAAATTATAATCCATTTGTACATCATAGCATATTCTCCTCTTTAAAACTTGTCATTATCTTAACAATTTTATAAAAGAGGATAATGCGCGGTTATAACAAAGATTATTGACACTCACGAGACAACGTCACCGTAGGTCGTCCGTAAGCGTTCGGCCGTCTTTTCGTCGAAGAACGGAAGTCGTCCGAAAAACGGGATCTCCACTTGCCCTGCAATGCAAATTTTGAACCGTAAAATTCAGCTGATTATAATGGAAGAAGTGTCGGCAGGAATAAATAGTTTTCTATCCTGCAATTTGTTGCCGACATCTAAATCGGAGCCCGAAACTGAAACTTGACAATTTGCTCACAGCTATTATGAGTGAATTATAGAAGAAAAAAGTATATTTTATTATCCATTTAAGCAAGTCTGCTTTAATTTACACAATTATTCTATTTGTTGAATGGGACTCACCAGGGGGGCAGTTGCGGGGGCGCCTGTCCCTCAGCACCGCGTACACCAACACCAACACAAACAACAACACAATCTCCAGAAACATCTTGACTTTCGATTTATAAGTTCAATGAAAAGCTCTGAAGAAGATAATGGTCGCCTTATATGAATAATTCTCCCGAAAATTTGATTTTTTATGTTCATTTTTTTGGCGGCTTAATAATCTTATGCAACGTCACAACTTATGCAAAGATGCCTTCTATTGGCCTGTAGTACAAGTGATTATTATTTTGTTATGGCTTGCGATTTTCTAACGATTGAACATTGCTCAAAATGGATAAGCTTAATTCAAAATAAAAACTACGTTTTATTATCACGAGTTTTACAATAATTTATTAACCGTCAACGGGAAACTTCTACCGACCACACGCAACGTCATTGCAACCTTAGAGCTTGTATATTAGCGTCCCTGTGTAAACTCTGCCGCATATTTTGAACAGCGCCCCCTTATGAGGCTTGTTGTTATATTCAATCGCTATACTTTAGTGTGGTCCAACATGGCCTCTTCCAGGCAGGAATGACACATCAAATCGTTTTTTCAGACTCTAATCTTCTTCCTAGTTTCTTTCTGCATATTGTTCTGAATGATGCATGAAAAAAGTTGGTATCTCTATGATGCCGCATTTTTTTGGTCCAGACAACAACTTCTGCCGTTCCAAAGTATGTAAACTTCAACGTGCTGCATGTGCATTTAGAAATTGATGTGTTTGTGAGGATAAATTTTTAGGTAATTAATTATTAAATGTTTATTATAGAAAATGGTTTTCCGAATTATTAATTGATATTATAATTTTTAATATAGAATTTTTTTGTAGCGAATTGCTACCTGATCTGACTATCTACTTATAGAATATTATATACAGTACACAAGCACGTGACTATGCACTAGCACAGTACTGTTGAATATAGAATTATATTCAACATTATATATTTCTAGAGAAACACATGGAGCATTGTCCCCGATGCAGCAATTATCAAGAAGAACTACGGATCAACTAAAGATTATGATTTTGCTCCGTAATTTACACCAACTATCTCTGCGTGTCGGCACGACGCGCGGAAACGCTGCGCGATTCCTCACTCCCACTGCCACGAGGTGTGGAGCTCACTGAACCTTGTATTGTCCTCTTCGTCGCCTAACAGTAACTGCAGCTGTACGCTAAATGCTCGTCTATATATACTCCATTTGGGGGTGCAAAAAGCTGTACCGCAAGTCTACGTCACCACAAACCAGTTCAGGTGATACACGACAACTGAGTTGCACGTGACTGCTATTGCATCATATTTAGTCACAGCGTTAATTTGGTGGAGGAGTGCGAAAATTTTGATCAGTATCAATAATTTTGTTTATATATTTAACTGTAGAGATATATCTGATGAATGAAATATTTATTGATATGCAGGCTTTGAACAAGAAGTGTCGTTTATAATTGCACGAAAAGCTTGCTTTTTCTTGGTAGAATTTATCACCATTGACAAAAATGCACTCAAACTGTGGTACACGTATATTTCTATCATCTTAGAAGTTAAATTTTCAAGTATGCATTGACCGCTCGTGTGTTTATATTGGTACACTGTATTTCTGATAGTTTATGTGACTGTGATAAATTCCGTATCTACTTAGTTGATAAGTTATGTACCATGAATAATTGGAATTATTTATTACAATATTCATATCAATTATCATTATTGTATACCGATAAAATATTGTTTTTATGATAGCAGAGGTTGTAATGCATGAATCTTTTTGTGATTATGATTAAAACATCTGTAATACTGCCGGTATGCGATATGAATACGTCGTTGTTCTGTTATCGGTGTACTTTTTGTTGAATTTTTGAAATTTACATTTTTTATATCAAAAAATTAAAAATTAATTTTTTTAATATATGAAAATAAAATTAGAAACTCATTGTACATGTGTAACATCGGAGACACTGGATTCTTTGGAAGTGATGTCTTTAAAAAGTAATTTTAAACGCATATTATTCTGAGATGAAATTTCACTTAAATTATTAATTCTAAAACATTCCAATTCGTTTTAATATTCCACAATAAAGGTGATTCATGATCGTCATGGTCATCCGCACGTCGGATTCTTATCAGAATGAATTTTTCGGGGATTTGCGCAATAATAGAAGCGATATTTGAAACCCATGTATTTTTTGGACTCAAAATTTCTATTTACACGCCATAATTTTTGTTAAAAACGAACAACAACAAATCTAGTGGCAGAAAAGTCTGGAATGAAGCTATTCTTGCGAGGTACCGACTACCAATATTCTGAACAAAACGAGAAATTAATCTTTGCATGCAATTTAAACCGGGACTTCGTGAAATTCTCAAATAAAAATCTTCTGTATAATTAAGTGCGTGCAGGAGTAGAGGGTTCATCAGCGGAGATTTCATCGTTTTACTCTCGCGAAGCGACCCGATCAGATCTAATATTAAGAGGAAGGAAGACTGAGGCAAATATATAACAAAAATTGTAACCGAATCTTGCTTCGCATGACATCCGCCGTCAACGATACATGATGACTCGAATGACCTTCACGACGAGCGCTTGTCTTGCATTGTTGCATTGCAGCTCAAGTTCTTGATCCAACTGCTACAAGAGACACTTGGACTAGTGTTAGAATGGAATGAAATTCAATGGATTTTTTTTCAAAATTCCAGTGAGCCACAAAAAAATATTTTCATTTTGTGCATATAGCACAAGTATGTTAACGGTTGCCTTTATTGATAGGCTTTTAAATTTTGAATAACGACGTCGGCGATAAATTTACCCGCAGACAAATTTTAAAGTTTTATTTTTTAGCATAGTTAATAAAAAATGTTCTTGTTATATCGAGAAGGATTTATTCACTGTTCGTAATTATATACTCAACGATTCATCTCCAGTTAATGGTAGCTCTATCATCAACTATCAAGAAATACTGAATAGAAATTTTCGCTCACATTCACACCATTGCAGGAGAGGTGCTGGTATCATCAGTGCACACCGCAATTGTTATTTGGAAACATCAATGTGCTGCTTTTTTATCTGCTGTTCGGAGCTTCTATCTGCGGTACTGACAATTGTCGTGTTTCGTCGGTTGTTTGCATTCATTCCGGTGCACACTCACGGGACCTGATTTGAAATATTGACGGCTCTCTAAATTTTACAGAAAAGTCAAATTTAGATTTATGCGTTGAGATAAACTATATAGTATATATACTATAGCAGCGTTGCGTATATAGAGATAAACTAACCGAAACTAAATTAAACCTAATCAGTCATTTAAAAAACATGTGGCGCTAAAAATTTCTGATTAAAGCTTACGAATGTAAGAACACGCGTCAAGTTTTAACAATTGAAGAATGCAGTAGTAGTAGTAGTTAATATCATATTGTACAGAAAATATATGAAGTTAGTAATTTTGAATTATTTTATTTCAAACAAGGCTCGCACTTTGAACAGCTGTGACTTTCTATAATTATTTTTTTCAAAGTTGCGGTTGCAATTTTTGGACATATCATTAAACTATGAACATGGTCCTCCTAAAACTTAAGACAGTAAGGATATCAAGCCTGACTTCAGTCAAGAAATTCCAGTGAACCATAAGAATGTTCGAAGAGATTTTCAGTGCTGTGAGATTTGGCGGCAGGCCACATCAGGCCTATTCTTCAGCGCCGGCATCACTATGGTATGATTTGAAATGAGAGTTTATATCCATAGGAAATCAGTGCAGATATTATGTATGTGTTAAAAACTGCGTGCGAAACTATTGAAACTACAAATTTCGCCATGAATGCGCACAGCGCGATCGATCAGGAATTATTCGGGTTTCGAGTATTACATTCAAATTTACCGTGAATTCTCTTTTTGAAATGAATTCGCCGCATATGTTAGGTGGAAACATTTTTGTGCAGTCTCATGCTAATTTTGCGTTTTCTTGGGTGTTCAAAGTTATTTCTTATGATCCTATTGAAGTGCCAAGGAGAAATGAGCACAACGTGATACACCAAAATAATTATTAACAACAGTATTTATACAGTAAAGATCAGCTTGAATGAGCTTTACCTGAGCATGACAGAATCGCGCCTGACGATAATGTCTTATATCACCAGTATAGACAAATGAATCGGGCTAGATTGATTTTAAATTATTTAAATCAAGCAAAATTGTTGATTACATGGACAACATATAGGTGTTTAGCTTATTCTGATTCATTTTGTTTTAACTGAGATCCATAGTCAAGGGAAACAGGAATATACTTTTTAACTTCACGGCAAACAATGAAGAACAGGGTAATTTAAGCATTCTTTAGCGGTGAAGCATAGAAAAGTGATTAAAACGAAATATTTTCTTGACGATTTCAGCAGCACGCAGCCAATTCTGTTGAGTATACTGCAATAATTGAGATAATTACCATCTTATTTTTGAAGTGTTTATTTAGAGAGGCAAATGAACGCGTTTATATCGTTGTAGATGTATTAAGTGAAGAGGCTCTGGAACAGCCACCCTCGTTTAATTCTTTTAACGAACGTGAATTTAGGTGATGAGCAATGCCCATGGAAACCATCATCCTTGTGAAGGCTGAATATTGTTCACTTTACTGTGTTTTCAAGGCTTGATGCATTGCGTTGGTGTCGAGAAGCTTCAGGGTTCTAACATTTCAAGGGGTGATGTGTGAGTGCTCTATTGCACTCTCCTATGATGTAATTACAAGTATTTAAAAGACAATAACCGTTTGCATAGACTAAATACATAGGCATGCGAGCAGGTGGATAGCTTGCCATCATAACCCACCCATGAAGTGACTATGAGCCTGCATTGTTGGCAAGGAGGTGAGAACTACAAAGCTAGGTCAACGCGAGAATCAGATTCTGGCTCTATAGATAAGCGCGCTATCTGAAGGTATACGAGAACCTGCCAAGGTCACGAATTTGTTTTGGCTGAGGTCGACGCCTTCAGGCGGTAGCACGTCGTAGTGCTGGATGATGGCGGCGGTGAAGAGGAACAACTCCATGCGGGCCAGCAGCTCCCCTGCGCACTGACGCCGACCTGTAAGGATGTTCATAATTTTTATTCGTGAGCGTGGCATTTGAATTCTCCTTGGCCAGAAGTTCAAGCTGAGCTTGGTTTATTGCCTCACCCGAACCGAAGGCGAAGAAACCCTGCTTGGGGGCCGTGTACTTGGTGGCGCTGTCGTCCAGGAATCGTTCAGGGTAGAACTTGTGGGGGTCGTCCCAGTACCGCGGGTCGTGGTGGATTGAGTAGTTCGCCACGATCACCATTGTGCCCTGTAATTAAAAGGCAAACGTGCGTTGTCTAAGAAGTTTCGTTTAAATGCCTCCTCTGAACGAATAATAATTGCCACTGTCCTTTAGCTTGAAGGAATTGTTTGCTGATCGATTGTAATCATATTCATTGCGAATGAGCTCGAAACAGGATGGATAGGTGCAGTGAGTATCGATTTCCGGACATCAGCAACTTCAGACAGCAAGCTGAAAGAATGCTGAAAAGTCTTGATTCAGCATCAAGACAGATTAAATACCACTGCTACAATTACTAATTAGAAAGTTCCCGAATGTTCACCTTAGGTATGAAGTAGCCGCTGATGTTTGCATCTCTGGTGGCCGCCCTATTAACGTTGTACACCAGCATGGAGGAGTACCGCAAAGCTTCGACGGTGAATGCCTCAACCAATGGCAAACTGGATAGAAGATGTGATGTTTCATTAACTGAAGGTTTTGTTGGTACCATCGATGGCTTTACGTGATATTTTGTTCCGCTTTATTGCTAAATCACAAGCAGCTTCGATACATGAATATAGAAGGGACAATTGAAAAAAAAAATTAAAATTACAATAATTTGGGTTTGACATGAATATATCCGAAAATTAGCTTTTTTCATTATACGAAGTAAAGTAGTGATGGCAGGAATTCTTTTTATGTTGGAAACTTATATCGCTAATTGTGTTACTTCTCTGATGTGAAGGTCTTGATGCGTGAAGGAGGCTAGATTTGGAATAGCACAAGAATTTGCAAATGCCGTTAAATTGTTTACTTCGGTTTATCGTCGAGCGACACCATGCGGTCCCTGGGCACGACAGCGTCTATTTGCTGCTGCATCCTCGTTGCGTACTCTGGATACCGGGCAAGCAGGTAGGCCACCCACTTCAGCATGTTGTACACCGTGTCCGAGCCCGCGCCGAAGAGTTCATTGACGATTTGATTCAAAGCTGAAATAATGATGAATACATCATCTCTCTGGTCACCTTGAACTAGGATAGTCATAAGTTAGCGGTCCCAAAGAATTTTATAGACCTGCAAATTGCCCAGAGACTATACTTCCATCCTCCCGGACGTTTATAAGGTACTTAAACACGGGATGAGTAGTCGCATCGATTAGTCGAGTCGACTACAGTTTTGCCGGCTGAGAGCCTATACACGAGAAGAGTGTTTTCGGTACAGTCCGCTGGCGCCAGTGCGACGTTGGGAGTTGTCTAGTAAGGTGAGTGCATGGTGGAGGCAAGCTAGAGCTCCACAGTTGTGTGCACTACAGCGGCAAAGAGACAAGCAAGAGAGAGAGAGCGACGCAGACATGCACACTACAGCTGCCACGCCGGTACTGAGCTTACTGGACTCAGTGGACTGGCTCAAAACAACATGAAGTGCTTTGGGTGCAGTGCACCAGCTAGTCGCCTCTGAAGACGTTAATCATCACAAACATTTGTGGAGTCGACTCGAATACTCGCCCCGTGTAAAGCACCTATGGGCTAGCTTGTCAGCACCTGCAAAACTATATATACGAGAATCCAGTCTGCGCCAGTTCGCATGCGTGCGTACGTGCGTGTTTGTTTTGAACTATCATGTTTCGTCAGCGTTCGTTCTCGATTGATTGAATTTGTGAGAATGCTCTCTCTCTTTGATCTCTTTGTGCTTAATGCTCTAATAATAGCAGTCAAGTAAATTAGTCATCATTATTATTACACACGGCTCTAAATTTTCTATCTATGTTCTTTGTATAGAGTATAGCAGAAACAGGCATTGACTATAAATCACGGATAAATTCGATTGCCCCTCCCTTCCTTTCACTGCGGAGGAAAGGGGGCCTGCGCCCCCTTTCTGGCGAGCTCAGGCTCGGCCAGAGCTGCCCCGGATACGGGGACGATCCCCATGCGAACCGTTCAGTGGTCACCTTAGTTAGGAGTTAGGACCAGGCTCTCGTAGCTGTCTTACTTGGGATCGGAAAGTTGACCAAAAACGGATATAGAGAAGCTGATTTACGCGCTCCCCGAGTCAGGCGTTACCTATTTCAGAGTGGCACCCGGCTCTAAATTTTGTTAGGGTTTTCTTGTCTTATTTGGCCACCCTTAATCAACATTTGTTCTTCCTACTCTCTCTAAAAATTTCAACTTGTGATGACAACTAAAAAATGTTTTGAAGTGTCATGAAAAATTTAGCCTTTGCAACAAGTTCTAACTGCATTGCTCCAGATCAGGGTGAACTCCCTCACCTCCTCTCCTGAAGAGGGAGTTGTCGTCTCCTTCGCTCTCCTTCATGCCTTTGATGTACTCGTCTATGAGGTCCCGGGGGTTGTCGGGGTCATAGTCCTCCAGGTGCTTGTCCACGGCTCCCTAGTTGGGGTAACAGAAGACACATAAATTCTGACAATTGTATTAAATTGCGTAATTTCAAGGAATTCAAGTTCATATGATGTGGTTTTCAACAATAATAAAATATTGTTGGGAACTTCGCCCACTGAAAAACTATTTACCCTAATGGGCTTTCAAAAGCGGCCAACAAATAATACAGTAATAATCGATATTTCTTTACGAAAACAACTCACATTCATGACATTTTTCATTTCTTCTACGAAACGCTCGATGATGTCATCGCCAAAAATAATATTCTTGAGGAACTCGGGCAGACGACCTAATACCGGAATAAACGAAGGCAGTAAAGACAACACGGTGAACTTGTCTCGAAATTCACTCGTCAGGCGGTAGATGGTTTCAACCTCACTTGAGCGCAGATCGTACCGAGTACCTGGAAGAAGTTAATATATTGAATTATATTTCTTGCGCTGAATGGTTTTAAATTATTAAGTGTGCTATAATCCGCTTATATCGGAATAGGTTTTCTCGAAACTGACTGTAATAAGACGAGAAATACCGCTAAAAAAATTACCAGATAAATGATAAAGCTCTCCTGGAATAAAGTTATTGATTGGAATTTTTACTTGAAAATTTGAGAGTGTGTCCCGTAAAGGATGAAACTCAATTAGACATCTAAAGATAGCCAGGTTGAATTCTGCCCATAATTAATGGGCAGTGTGACACGTGCATTTTACTGCCAACATGACATGACAGTTACATTCATGAGCAGCAAATTGGCCGAGGTTGCGATGCACGAGTGGTTAGGAGAAATATATATTTCGCTGTTTGGCCTTTCCCAAAACGTATTATGTTGGCTAAACTCCAAGTAAATACGTCAAACTTTATCGTATGCGTTTAATGCGCGTTTCAAATGTCGTCATGGCATCAGCGTGGGTCGACGAAGCAGAGCCTGTGAGTCAGCGGCTCTGGAGAGTGAAGACGGACTTGCGATAACAATTTAATTACTCGCCGGTATATCTCATTGAAACAATGTGAATTATGAAATATTTTGTAGCTTCAATTCAGTCTCGTCTCATTATAGTCCCAGATTTCTCTAAAAAATAAAATTTTTGTATCGCTAACCAGGACAAGGCAAAGCTTGCAGGAGCGTCGCGTCCTATCTCGAATAAAAAGTAACAAAGTGCTTACAGATTGCACTGAGGAACTATCATCGTCCCACGGTCATTCTTAGGTGATAACTAATTTCGAAAATGTAAATACTCGAGGAAAAACAATTTTGGCTTATTTCATGCTAAGATTTTTATCAATAGAATTGGTAAACGTGGACTCTTCATCTATACAGTAACGAAAAGGAAAACTCACTGGCCACCATCTGCCAGATGATGTTGAGCGCCACAGTCCTGAAGCTGTCGGGGTAGTTGATGGCTTCACCGCCATACTTCTTGAGGTCTTCCACCAGCGCCTTGGCTTCGATGTTGATGGCTTCCTCCAGGTAACTCTTGCCCATGCCTTGACAAATGCAATGTTTCGAATGCTGCTTTTGAATTTATACCCATTGAGAATCAGCCTTCGAGCAAGTTAGCTCATAACATAGCTATTAAATATAAATCATTCTTGAAATGAATCAGGCCCTACTTTGAAATTCTGCAAGTGTAACCAAAACTTCAACTGTATATCTTTTGGGACTTTCCTCAGTATTAGACAACAGAGTTAGTCTCACCGAGGTTGCGTAGGTTGCGCAACACAAAGCGACGGTCATGCTGCCAGTGTAAGCCGTTGCTGCCAACCACTCCTGGTAAGGTAGAAGATGAAACTTTACACGTTTTCTTAGGGGAGATCGCTGAAATATCGGTAAATATCGGAACGGCAAAAGATACACACCCTGAGCAGACAAAAAAAATTACGCGAAGTCTCCGCGGATTTTTCCTTTGCAATTTTGAACTCGAGTAACAATACTATCGACATACAAATAATACAAAATAACTACGTAAACAGTTGTGCATGATTTGAATTTTCACCTCAAAATTTAAGTTTTTGTACATACACTAGGCAAATATGAGCCAATTTACAAGGCTGAGTTACATGTTAAGGTCACTAAATTTCAACCTCCAACTTTTTGTTCATCGATGCTGAATGTGGAGAAAATGTCGGGGCGGTCGGCGAACTCTGGTCTCGCCAAGGCCTCCTTGGCGGTGTTGTAGTCGAACAGGTACACGGACCGCACGGGCCCCGTGCGATGCCTGCCAAATTTCAGAATAGTTAATAAGTGAAAAAGGCATATTTTTAGTTGCTAAATCGGAACAATCTGCTTACAAGACAGAAGAAAAAATAATTCTTCCCAATTTCGCCGTGACAGAAATCCTACACATGAAGTTTCTAATACAGGTGTTTCTCCCTGCATTCTACATTTATTTCGTGGTTGATAATTTTCATTGAAAACACAGGTTACATGAAAATAAATCATAGAGAGCTGGATTCCAAAGGCTCCTTATTATATTAGAAGCAGATTGTTGATACTGACATGACAATATCACCATAGTTCTTTCGTAAGTATTCGCCCATTTCCTCGTCGAAAAACGGAAGTCGACCAAAAAACGGAATCTCCACGGGACCTGTAATGAAAATATTTGAGATTTTGCACGATGTAAATGAGGGTTTTAAACAAAAACTTAAACATACCTTTGATATTATCGAGCTACAAGCAAAGCAGATCAAGAATGAAATTTATATCTGTATCAAGCAGATTTTTTCAGATGTCAAAGAAAGAACATGCCTAAAATTTTAGCTTATCAAATAGACAGTTTCATTAATTATTACCGAAAATTTTTAGGTTTAATAACTGAACTCACCGGGCGGGCAGTTGCGAGGTCGCTTGTCCCTCAGTACCGCGTATATAAATAACATCATCAATAGTAAACCAATCTCGACCCACATTTTCACTTGTATCTTTCAATATTGAAGCTGAATTGTAAAATATATTATATTTATTTATTGATATATATATATTATCTGGAAATTTTTTAATGACAAATGATTCGATAGTTAGAAAATGGCGCTGGGTTTTTGGGAATTCATATTTGAACTTTGTTTCGAAGTAGTAAATATTTGCTCAACTGGTAATAATAATTTGCAAAAGATACAAAATTTATACAAATAGGATGTCAATTTCATAGCCAATTGGCGAGATTTTATCCAATTGGCATTTTTACATTTTGCGGCATCCGATTAAAGAGATTATTGCCTATTATAGTGATTATTCAAAACTGTATAAACGTACGTAGACCCTCCCTCCTCTCTCCAAGCCATATAATGACCGTTGAAAACTGATCAGTACATAAAACAAACATTCAAAACAAATAAACAGATTATAACAGATATTACGAACGAAACCCTAACGCGTGCAACTGCCGCTTCATGCAGATGGCATAGTCCGCGTTTTTCACTTATGCAAGTCGCGAGTCTGGGGGAATTTCTTTTATCTAACCCATAATCATACATCAAAAAACGAGAACGCAAAAATAACTGTAACCCTTACGTTGAATTGCGATGGATAATCTTATCTTAAGCAGGTTATAATGTTTCCGCTTCGTGCTGCGCAACCTCAGTCACATTGCTAAGATTTACAGTTTCAGAATACTACCAATTACAAATGAGATACAATATCAAAGTTTTGCTTACACCTGCAGAACTCCAAAGAACTCTAATTCATTTTGAAGAATGATCTGTCTTTCATTGATGAGTAAAGAGCTAAATTGCAAAAATTGCGCGAAAAGCGACATTCATTCGCACTTGCAAACTCTCTATACTTGATATAGCTTTATCACCCAACGCTGTCATATTTGAATGGGTATTTTTTAGTGGGTCCAAGTCCATTTACGATCAATTTACTCGTCATTCCGAGAATTGTACAATGTTTTCAACTTGCATAATTCCGATAAAACTTTAAAAGATCGAACTATCAAAAAGCTCGAATCAGGCACAGATAAGCTAACACATTTGTCCATGTCGATGAATAGTAGTGTATCTTTTATCTCTTCTGTACATGGTCATGACAAAGAAATAATTAAATCGTTGACACGACAATAATATAACTGGTAATTTTTCAACTACACTCATTGCATAAAAAAACAATGTTATTTAAAAAGCGACAAATTAAGGCAGCATAGATACGACTTATCTAACACCAATTTTCCCTATGTATCATAAACAAAGCTGACGAGCGCAGCACTGTTCATATAAACCTTCGGCAAGAAGTGCAAGACGCACACTAAACTGTTCATGGTTTATCATCTAATCCTCTGCATATGAAGCCCACGTTCAAGGTTAAAAAGAATGAAGACGAATGACGAGCATGACTGTTGAATCTCTGGGAATTTTGTACTTCAATTTTTTTATTCTTGGATAGCCTCATCCAAATTACTTTATGCACAATTCAAAAAATCATCTCCCTGCCACATTCTCTGAAAATTTTCAGCCGAAATAGAAGTTTTTTCCTCATTCTACACTTTGCTTGAATTTAACAAATTATAACGATTCAAGGTAACATTAGTGTACTGTTGACCTTGCCAAAAAAATTTAGTGTTTTGATTAAAGTGCATCGTCTGAAGATCCTTATGTTCAGTTATTATCAGAACGTTATCAGGAACAATGAGCGCTGGTATTCCAAGTTATCGTGAATTAACAAGTCGCTCGTCTGACTTCACTCTGTGGAAATATGCACAATAAGCGTGATAGTGAGCAGTGATGGCACACGCGAAATACGAATGCATCATATTGTCCAAATAATGTCACACTTTCTTCACAACATAGCAGAGATTTATCACTGATACATCTTTGGCAATAAGTGCAAAGTCTGACTCGTTTCTTTGACTGTGAAAATTCACAAATGTCGTGACGTGTTACATATGGAGGCCGTGTACACAAATTGGGAAGATGAACAAATCGCTGTTATTTTGAATGACTGTGGCTGTGTGGAATATTTGTACGTTTTCACTTTCTCTTCATTACTGCAATCAACGTTATGCTCCACAGTGAATTTATTCATAACGAATTCCTTTAAATCAGCTAGAGTAATTATCAGTACATCATGTAATTGAAAAAATTCCATTATTCGTTCATTTTCATCTCGATATACCTGAAAACGCTCTCCAAAGAAAATCTATGGTACTAACGTCTATGTCACTTCAATAACTGTAATGATAACACTAAAGAATAATAATAGAGATAAAAAACCCTCGGAGGAGTTTGCCACTGAAACTCACCACGCAGTTGCTGGGTGGAGGTTGTGGGGTTGTTTGTAGTGTAGACCACCGAGCGATCTACAAACTATGCCTCTGGTTCGCGCCAACGCATCATTAATATCTGAACTCCATGTGTTCAGATATTACATTGGCTGATACCATTAACTTTGATTGAATTGTATTGTTGCATCCGTTGAATCTAGTCATTTAAAGATGAAGTTAGGTTATCTTGTTTTGCTGGAGACACTTCAGCACCTCATACAACTTGCCTGCCTGGCTGGGGATTGTCATTTTGATTTAATTACCGATAAATATAAGTGATGCGCATTTGTGACTGCTGTGAGGAAATGTTTAATGCAAGCTACAGTATATGTGTGCAGCGTAGCCAACTGTGATCTAGATCATAACTAAGTACGCATCATTAGCTAACTCTTGAATTGAATTTTTTGCTTACACTGCTCGAAACGCTCCGCAATAAGGTTGATCTCAATACGGATTAGGCACGAATGTGGATTTTATTTACACATTATGTCGCACATGCGCAACAAAAGAGGGTGAAATTAGCCAGTTCAGATCACCATAACATCGCCTCGTCACTACATTCACGTTCATCAATTCAATGGGGTAGTTAAGTGCGGCACAGCGATGACAGCACGAACATATATTCATATATCCCGCTTCTTCATCTGACGAGACGTTTGATATGTCCACTTCTATGACTTCATTACAGCCAGTCCCGTTAGTTTCTTGATTATCCGGCGCATTAGCTTCATTTAAAGGGGAAGTCTGTCTGTATTTCGAAATTGCAAAAAGAAGAGACGGACGAATATTGTTGGGATGACGAGGACCAATTCTGTCGACAGAACATAAGAAGGACGCTTAGAAAATTCAATACCAACGTCAAGGGAAGATGGCTTCATACAGCCGGCTGCTACTACTGAGGTAAATAAGCAGATAATTTCCTTCTGAGTCGCGACAGAAAAAAATGCCTTTCTGCGTCCCGATCGCAAACCAAAAGAATATTAAATTTTTTTAATATTTGTTCAAATTAGTTATTCATTACCCTATTCACGATAACGGAGCATTGCGTTAAAAATTGCGCACCACCCATCAATATTATTTAATGCATTTTAATTCACGATGCAGCTAGGGAGCTGCAAGCTGGCCAAGCTTTTCATATCATCGCCCCATCTCCGGAAGACGCTTTCCATCTGTTCCGATTTCCAAATGTGGCATTCGTCGGCTCCTGGGTGATCTAGGAGCCGCAGTCGAGCGGAACGATCCACAACTTGCCTATAAATACGACGAATACAACACTCGTGCCTATTGATGTGTCGTCAAACACAACGGTATTTGCCTCAGCACTGTTCTCGACGCTGTGACTAACAAAGAGCCGGTGAAAACTGTCTTTCTGGAGGTGCCAGCCGCAGACGTTCTTCTCAGTACAATTATTGGTCGACCCAAGGCGTGCACGTCAATTATGTGCGTCTCCCTGCACATAAGACGAGGCAGATCGAAAACCAGTGCCCCGCCCTCACAGGATGTCGTGACAGGCGCTGCCTTAACGTGCAGTGTAACGATCAGAGGCTTCCCAATAAAGCGATGCGTATACAGCAGCGAGACTCTGGCCAAGTTGCTCATCTCGAAGGCAGTGTTGCAGGTAATTTTGCCGAGACATGAGCGAAAAACTAAATTCGTACACCCCATTGCAGCTTTTCCAAATGGAGTCCCTAACCAACCTTAGTTTCCCCCAGATAGTTTGTCGAGTCAACACAAAAGTGTTCATGAGTACACGTCGTGTGTGGAAGGTCTTACGTCCTTTATGAATGGTAATTTGGTAATTAGCGTAAACTTCTTTTGCATCTTGTGGTGTCTCATTCGATTTTATGCTATTATTTTACTGTGAGCTAGAACGTTTCATGTAAAAGTGATAGTGAGATTTTCATTGCGAGCATCCCATTTTCGATCATAAAAGTCGTTGTTGGACCCTCGGGTACCGAGCCAAAATATTTCCATAAATTTCTGGTGCATTTACTCGAAACAGGGCAAATAAATTTGACACAGAAATTGAGGTTTAGGCTTCCCTACACTCGTGCATTCCTTTGAAAAAGGCTGACCTGATTCGTGATTCCAGAGGCTGATGCCAACCAAGTACTTGCCAGATATGGAATGAGAGATCCATGTGCGTTACCTTTGAGTACATGCATGTGCCTTCAACAGATGCTAGAAATTGGCCATGGATGGACTGAAGTATTAGGTACTTCATAACAGGACTCCTTGAATATTCAGATGTTCCTCTTGCTTTAGGGGGCATCGGAGTTGATGCAGAAGAGCAATTACGTTTTCTTCAAAGATCTAATCGTGACATACTGGTCACTGTTTTAGTGAGCTATACCTTTGAAAATGCTCCTGAACCTGAAATTTTGGGAAGTGGTGGTGGTGACGTTTTCGAATTTCTGCCACAGTGGAATCTGGATCCTCTTGGCCAAACTGAGGATTCGAAATAAGAACAAATGCTGGCTCTTCAGAAACTCACTTCAACCATCGACTCTTTAACCAATGTTGGAACATAATTTGTGAAATTACCTCTTGCAATTGGTCCTCCTGGTGCAGGAAAACCCTATACCTTCTGATGTTGGCGGCTCTATACGCTCTGTCCAAAGGCCTGAGGACAATCGCAACCGCATTAACAGCAGAGCAAGCGATGGTCATTGGCGGGGAGCATTTACAAAGGTTAGTTTACTTGCCTGTGAGTAAAAGAAGCCTGCAGAGTGTAGCAATTATTGCTTAAAAATGTCTTGGTAATTTGGTAAGAAGTCCTAGAAAACTTGCCCATCTGAAAAGAATTGACGTTTTGGTCATTGAAGAAATCTGCCTACTTCCATGCTACCTATGCAATAAATTGGTCGTCGTTTTATGCCGGATCAAATGCACAAGTGTCTCCTTGCACCCAAGAGAACCGACTGTTGGGTGCTGGAGAGTTATAGACGCTGTTGCGTATGTAACAGGTGACCTAGTTACTTATCGTAAACTGAAAGATGTCACTTTTGATGAGAAAATGGTTCTTTTTGCTGAAATACTTTCAATAAATAAGAACAAGGCAGACAGCACTAAGAAATTGAACTATGCCAGAAGGTCAACCGTCATTATGTATGAACGTCTCGTCTGGTTTCGGTGAGAACAGTTTTACTTGTATATATTTTTATTTTCTTGCCCTGAAATGTGTGAATTATTATTTCTATGAATTTTTAATCATTTAAATTGGTTCATTAATATTCAATACCTTTTAAATTTGTTGAAATACTCGTCCTTTGGCAATGCCTATTTTCAATAAATCATTTGTGATAATCCATGCTCAGGGAGCTCGTGGGTGGGAGCTGCTTTTACGTGCTCTGCGAGGATCAGAAGGAGAGCAATAAGCTCTTCTGGCGCTACAAAGACATTCATCCATACTGGAAGTTTTGTTGCCTTTTTGAACCTACAATTAGTGCCTCAATTCATGGAATTCAGGTTGTGAAATGTATAAGCAAATTGATTCCACTAAGGTACAGTGGCTAATGTAACTAATCTCACGACCATGGTGCCAGAGTTCGAAGAATTGCAGCATATTCAGCGTTTTACGGTAGAAAGCAATATCTGCATTTTGCGGGCTTGTGTCGTAGAAGGATGCCCAAGTCGCAGCTGTGACTCTCAACACGTGGTGCCGGAAAGAAAATGCCAAGTGTTTGGGGGTAGCCGTGTAAATGCCATCGCTATGCACGGATACTACAATATTACTACACCTACAGCAACATTGTATTATTATTACTAATTATAGTACCTACAGCAACACCCGAGACCATATATCTTGAAGGGGATGTTGCCCGCCCTAACATTCGGCTCCCGGCTTCCAAGAAAACTCGGCTCAGAAATTAAGGGAAATGGGCAAAAGGGAAAGCCGGTAACATGCATTGAATGAGAGATTTTCATGTAAAGACGTGAAGAAGATGGTGGACCATAACACGTGTATTTCATTACTCAGTTTGTTCTTTGAATATTCGAATAAATAAATTATAAATGTTCGCATGATGGGGCAGCAGAAATGTAGTCTATTTTTCTCACTTTTGCATTTTTAAACTCAGTTTAGTCTTTAATATCTTCAAGTGCTTTGGCATCGGAGGATTTCAGAGAACTGCATCGCTGAGACCGCGTCACTTGACACTTGTTACGCAGACGAAAAATATTTATCACGTTATCTGATGTCTTCAAGAGACCTAAACAGGGAAACGAATGTTTAAATTGAAGGGTTCTGAATACCCAAGATAGAGAAATGACTAGTATTTCGTCCCACTTCTCGGATTTCTTTCTTGCAGGAAAAATATTTCTCAACTTACATAAAGTGATAAAAAAAAGTCATGTCGCAATTCGCCAACAACCGATCTTCGCAATTTCGAGCGAAAATGAACCTCCCGACTTCTTTTTGTAACGTATACACGTAAGACGATTTTCATTGTAATTACGGAATAACGTAAGGAGGCGACTGTACAGCGCTGGAGATGATGGACTGGATGTCCGTCCGTGTGCGACTAAGCTTCAACCAATTACTCAGTCTATACTAAGGCAGGTTTCAATAAGAACCACTCTATTTACATTCCAGCACGACAATCACAGCTGCACCCGACAAAATGATTAAACTCTGATTTTTAGCTGAATTCATACCACTTTACGAAGTTATTTACTAAAGGATACTTGCATGGTGTCGATTCGTTCAGACCGAAACTTTCTACTAGAACAAGTAATCGGTTCAAAGGAGAGTCAGTGTCAGCTTTGAGTTGGTGTGCGGAGCTTTGACCAGACGAGCTTCACTTGTAGACGCCACAACGAAGAAGCCAGCGCGACGTTTCTGGGTGAAACTAGATCGCGTGAACGGGAGTCTTACTATCAAAAATAGTCAGGAGTTCGTAACTTTGTCAGCCAATAACTGATGGTGCGCTTCTCGTGTGAGAAAGAGGGGCTATGCGCTCGTTTCTGACTCGTTAAGCGGTTTGTACTTTTTGTGAAAACCTTCGCCACCAAGCCATGAACTTAGGCCAAAATGAAAAAGACTAAAACACCCAGCACATCATCCACGAGAGTTGTGGGCATACTGCAGCAAATAAGGCCATAAAATACGTCCGCAAGTGCAGGTTCGTCTTCCCTTGCATTTACTGTAAAGTTAAGGACCATAACAGGCGAATGTGACAGGATATGCTTCGATGAAGCTTCTGCGGTGATCGAAAACATGCTGCCGTAGTGGGCGCTCTTTTCCAGCAAACGGAACACTTGCCCAACCTAGCAAGGTTGGTTGAACTAATCAATATGAACGTATGAAAAAATCTATAACTTATTAAATTCTCTGAAGTGTCACCATCCATCTCTCGCGCTCATGGCCCAGTCTGTCTTCACATCATAGCCTCTATTTTTGGTGCCTTGCGGTCCCCTTTCCGTAACAAGGTTACCCAGCTTTCATTTCACCTTTATACAGGATAATTTTCTTTTCCGTACTACCTCCACCGTCATCCAGCATATCTTCACCATTTCCATGGCAGATTTGTTTCTTTACACAGGTGATGTTTTCAAAGGAATTAGAACCCATTCTTCAGTTTCAGTCGGAAGCCAAGCAGCTAAATGCGGCGACATTCGCGGTACAGTTCTATCATAAAATTGTAGTGTAGAAACTCGGTGAATTAAAATTCGATTATTTGTAGGTTAAAGGAGCTTAAATAATGCTTCGAAGAAAACAACGCCACTGTTCCAAATGTGGGAGCACTCTTCACCACAAGGAAACATGATAAGGACGGGATCGAGATCCGTCAGATGCCACTTCCTGCGTAGCAGGCTGTAACTGATGAAGGGCACTGCATAGCAAAAGTTCGAGCGGCAGGTGCAGGCAGAAGTTCGCAGAAGGCACACTATGTCGACTTCTATGGGGCGCTTCAAACTCGACAGTGAGGAGGGCTTGACTGAAGTGAATATTTGTGAGTTTAATGAGTTGCAGATCACGGACAGGAGACCGTCCTAGAGTGCATGCTGTAAGTGCATTACTAGAGGATTATGAACTTAGTATCAAACCTTTAATGCAGTTCGAGAGCTTCATGAACTGTAATAAAGTTGTACGTAGCTAGTTAACAGTGTAAGTTAGCGTTCGTTCGCATTCAGGCCATGTATCAGTAAACATTGCTACATAAAACCTGCTTTGCTACGACTACTTTAAAACGCACAACCAATACATTATTACCGTCTAAACCGCATCTCTGAACTGCAAACAGCGAAATTCAGTTTAACCAAACGGTTACAAAACACATGTAAGTTAGCGTTCGTTCGCATCCAGGCCATGTTTCAGTAAACATTGCTACATAAAACCTGCTTTGCTACCACTACTTTAAAACGCACAACCAATACATTATTTTCGTCTAAACCGCATCTCTGATCTGCAAACAGCGAAATTCAGTTTAACCAAACAGTTACAAAACACAGCCAGTGCCAAGCTAGGATTCATCCAGACTACGCAAGTACATAAACTATACCGCGTTTGAAATTCCTGAAGTGTTTCCAATGAGCCGCGTTACTGCCGGTAGTTCTTCATTTGACAGGCACGTCCATATCAATATTAGACTTGAATATCCAAAATGCCGATCGTGGCAAAGTTTTTTCCCCGTGATTTGACTGAACGCGATCCATAACTAAAGGCAGTGAACAAAAACCTTGAAAGTTCTTCTTTCAACACGTAGGCAAGGAGTTAATCGGGCATGATGGTTCGGTATCTCAGACGGTAGTCCTTGCGCTAGTAATTGGCTAGTTGCAACTCTCAGCTGTTCAGCTCGACTATAATGCTGCCTCACGTCAAAGCTGATGCGTGAACTTTCGGTATTGTTGCAAGCTTATCGTCAAGCGACTCCTATAGAATTATAGAAGTATCTGCCCACGCAAGACGTCGGCTTCCGCCTTTTTGCAACGCGATACCCATCAACACCTGAGGGAGTTGATATATTACTAATTTGAATCTAAGTTATGAAGTAATGTACCGAGTAATAAACTGAGTAGTTTCGATCAACGCTGAGAAAGCTAAGCATTTGCTGGCAATGTGATTACGGAACTGCAACCCATGCGACGAGCACCTTCCACTAAGACGGCTGGCAAGCAACTGTTCAATCTTCTTAGAGTAATTAGACTATTACAATACCCTAGCGCCGACTAGCGGTCGTTCTGGTAGTGGTGGAGCACGTGCGCAGTCGTGGGCAAAAGCTTATCTTCAAACTAACAAGTTTTAGCAGTGCGTTGGAATCCGATTGCCTAGCAGTTCAAGAACGGCTGATTTTGTACAGTCAATGGTGCAATGGCGTAGATTTTGATGTTCTTATACAGGGTGTTTCAGAATTAAGTAACCCTTTTAATTTGTTAATAAATAAAAAACTAAGAACGTTATGAAGTTGAAACTTGTTTTATTTAAAAGAAGAACATTTTCATGGTAATATTATAGTTACGTCATTATCCTGTATAGCTTGCTAAATTTGTGTTTAATTATCGAGCCTTAAATTTTCATCATGATTCGCTAGTGAATCGCTACAGCAAAGAAGAAAGAACAAAAATTATCGCTACAGTCAATAACGATGTCAATAACAGAAGTTCAACGTGATTACAGGATCCATTTCAAAACAAGGATCCTTCAAAAAACACATTTAAATATCTTTATCGAAAATTTGCGGATATCAAAAATTTGCACTCTCGTCAGAAACACTAATGAAGGTTATGAAAGCAACGAAGAGAAGAGCCCTATTTTGTCAAAACAATTGTGGTGGACATTTAAAAGATATTATATTTAAAAACTAGGATACAATATTACCATAAAAATGTTCTTCTTTTAAATAAAACAAGTTTCAACTTCATAACGTTCTTAGTTTTTTATTTATTAACAAATTAAAAGGGTTACTTAATTCTGAAACACCCTGTATAACTGAAATTCGTTCTCACCGATGTTTCCTTGGACTGTATTCAAGTCGCAAGCTGGAGCCTACGTTTCAGCTAGAGGCAATGTGATCGCAACACGCACATCTGTGTTGATCTTCAAATTCAGACGGGTTATTTCATAGATAGATAAGTTAAATGATCGGCTAAAGAGAAAAGTAAGTCATAAGGGACGGCATGCTTGGTTAGGAATAAGTTGCATGCAAGCTAAATTACCCAATCCCCAACAGTAATGGAAAGATTCTATACGCTTGAATTTTCAATTAATCTTCGAAAATTGGCAAACACTTCTCAGTAGATGAAAAAGCAGCTCGATCGTCAATATTATCTTCACCATTCGTCCATAATTAAGGATTCTGCGATATTCACAAACTAAACTATCCATGCAGCAAAAAAAAAAACAAAGCTGCTATAGACCGCCATACAGCGCCCAAAGCAAAACCGACAAAACACGAACGAAAATTCAGCCGCTCCGTGGACTTGAGACGTCAAGTGTACTCGAGTGCGTTTTGATAGCTTGGTCTCGGTAAAGAGCAACCATCAGTATGTGATGGGTAGGCGTATTTAGTTTAAATTCTGGAAGTTGTGGTATATTATTAGCATAGGAAACTTTTATAATAATATTAATTACGAGGCAAAGGGAACAGACCAGAAACTCAAATTCGCAATGAATGATAGTTTGATGAGTTTTGTGCAAAAGTGGGTAGAATTTACAGGAAACATTCTCAAAAAAAAGTATTAAATTTAGTTCGCTGATCAATCATTTGGGTTATAGCTCTGTCCTGTATTTGAATATTTTATACTGTGATGGTAAGTCTTTGAAGGGTGCTTTGATAATATTCAATATACATTTGAAAAATTATTTGTGGTCTACGAGTTTCGGAGCTAAAATGGCGCTAGTTGCCCAAAATGAAAAAAACGGAATGGGGCGCAAGCCCCCGTTTTTCCGCGCTACTACGCGTATTGGTATTGACACCGTCATTTTAGATACTTATATTATCTCTCGGGGGTGTTACGAGGGTAAATGTTTTATGTTTTTGCTTATAACTCTGGTAATTCTCGATCGATTTTTTTCAAACCTAAACACGTTGACTATGATTGCTTCATCTTGTACAATTATTTCATTTTGTGTAATATTTTTTAAACAGGGTTGCCAGACGGTCATCTTTTCCAGACAGATTCCGTGATTTAGTTTTTCTCAATTGCGTTGGCCGGCCAAAATTTATGATAAGGGTACTTCCTAATTAAATTTTAAATACTGCAAGGAGAAAGTAGGTGAATGGAATTTTGATAGCGGAATCTACAAATAAACTAGTATACATTGAATTATTGGCCTTTAATGTTCTCGCATTTGGCCGATTTTAGGCAACCTGAGTTATGTGCCACTACCTCCTGGAGAAATACATTTTGTGGTACGCATATGTACCAATACGTAGTCAACGTATTAAAATATACCGTATCTTCATATAAGTATAAAAATTTAAATAAGTAATATCAGATGAATATTCTCTTAAAATCTCTTTTGAGTAAATAGGAAATGTGAATGGAAGACAATGCAGCATGCAGGCATGGAATATATACCTATCTGGAGTTGGCTGCTATAGCCTATGCATGTGCCATGTTGCATGTAGCTGCATAGCATGCATTTCATTCTATAATTTACAATTTTTCAGAATTTTTTGCAATTCAGAAGTCACAAGCAAATTACAAGCCTGCATATTATGAACAAATATAGGCGATAGCAGCCAACTCCCTAAACATATTATGATAAGACTAATATCGTCAGGGATGCCAGGATAATATGACATTTCTATTACATCTCAGTATATATCTACTGAAATATTGTGGCTACAAAAATATGTCTTTATGATGTCTTTAGACAGTTTGGAATGTCTTCCGAGATGGATGCCATGCCATTGGGTGCTAGTGGAGCTAGGTGAATTTTACTGATTATGGAGCGTCATGTGGATGGTAATGCTTGCATGCTAATTCATTTGTATAGAATAAATGTGAAGAAGTGCATGATGGAGATGCAAAATTTCCAATTCGCTCAATAGACATATCTTTGGAGCCACAATATATCAGTATATATACTGAGATAGGGTAAACGCACCATATTCCGTCACTGTGGGTAATTCCGACACTGTGGGTAATTCCGACACCCCTCAACTTTTTCTTTTATATTAAGCTTTATATTATAAGTAGACCAGTGGAGTATCTTGGATACCAGAATTATCATATATAAGAAATCTGTTAAAATCTTGGGTAAATGGTAAAATTAATGATGAACTGATTCTAAAAAATCAATGGTTTGCCACTATGCCCGCTAGACCTAGTGTTTTGCGGAAATCTGGTGCGCAATAGTAGGTGATGTGACACAAGTAGGCAATTTTTCAATAAATAACATCTGATCTGATGAATATTCTCTTTTGAGTAATGGAGGACATAGTGACAAACCAGAGATTTTTTAGAATCAGTTAATTTTCAACTTCCTCATTTACCCAAGGTTTAAACCAATTTCTTATGTATGATAAGGCTTTTGCGTCTATTGCTTTACTGGTTTACTTATAGGACTCAAAAATGAACTTGAGGACATAGTGACAAACCAGAGATTTTTTAGAATCAGTTAATTTTCAACTTCCTCATTTACCCAAGGTTTAAACCAATTTCTTATGTATGATAAGGCTTTTGCGTCTATTGCATCTTGTGCGTCTTTTGTGGCTTTTGCGGCTTCTGTGGCTTTTGCCTCTTTTGCGGCTTCTGCGTCTTCTGCCACTTTTGCGACTTTCGCGGCTTTTGCGTTTTATGCCTCTTTTGCGTCTTTTGCGTATTCTGTGGCTTTTGCGGCTTCTGCGGCTTTTGCGGCTTATACGGCTTTTGCGTCTTTTGCGTCTTGTGCGTTTCGTGCGTCTTGTGCGGCTTCTGCGTCTTTTGCGTCTCGTGTGTCTTGTGCGTCTTTTGCGTCTTCTGCGTCTTTTGCGTCTCGTGCGTCTCCTGCGTCTTTTTCGTATTTTGCGTCTTGCAGCTTCTGCGGCTTCTGCAACTTTTGCGGCTTTTGCGTCTTTTCTGTCTTCTGCGGCTTTTGCGTCTTCTGCTGCTTTTGTCGCTTTTGCGGCTTTTGCGTCTGCGTCTTTTGCCTCTTTTGTGGCTTCTGCGGCTCTTGCGTTTTCTGCATCTTCGGCGGCTTCTGTGGCTTTTGCGTTTTCTGCGTCTTCTGCGGCTTCTGTGGCTTGCGTCTTTTGCGTCTTCTGCGGCTTCTGCTGCTTTTGCGGCTCATGTGGCTTTTGCGTCTTTTGCGTCTTCTGCGGCTTTTGCGTCATGTGCGTCTTGTGCGGCTTTTGCGTCTTCTGCGTCTTTTGCGTCTTGTGCGGCTTTTGCGTCTTTAGCGTCTTCTGCGCCTTTTGCCTCTTTTGCGTCTTTTGCCTCTTTTGCGGCTTTTGCGTCTTGTGCGTCTGGTGCGTCTTTTGCGACTTTTGCGTCTCTTGCGTCTTTTGCCTCTTTTGCCTCTTTTGCGTCTTGTGCGGCTTTTGCGTCTTATGCGTCTTCTGCGTCTTCTGCGTCTTTTGCCTCTTTTGCGTCTTGTGCATCTCGTGCGTCTCGTGCATCTGCTGCGTCTTCTGCGTCTTTAGCCTCTTATGCGTTTTTTGCGTCTCGTGTGTCTGCTGCGGCTTTTGCGTCTTCTGCGGCTTCTGCGGCTTTTGCATCTTCTGCGGCTTCTGCTGCTTTTGCGGCTTTTGCATCTTATGCGTCTTTTGCGTCTTGTGTGTCTTTTGCGTCTTTTGCGTTTTTTGCATCTGTAGCGTCTTCTGTCCCTTTTGCTTCTTTTGCCTCTTTTGCGTCTTTAGCCTCTTGCCTCTTTTGCCTCTTTTGCCTCTTTTGCCTCTTTTGTGTCTTTTGCGTCTTGTGGGTCATTTGCGTCTTGTGCATCTTGTGTGTCTTGTGCGTTTTTTGCGGCTTCTGCAGCTTTTGCGTCTTTTGCGTCTTGTGCCTCTTTTGCGTCTTTTGCCTCTTGCCTTTTTTGCCTCCTTTGCATAGTGGTTGCTATGCAGCTATAGGCTACATGGCACATGCATAAATATGATGAAAAATTGAGTCAAGCCTGCAATTCATCTCTCATCTGATGCTTGAACCCAAACTGGAAAAATGGGTACCATCCGCCCGTGAATTAAAATTCTGTTTCATTGGCAAAATTTTGTAATCGGGTAAAAGAGGCAAGTTCTAACTTCCAGCTGGGCACAGTTTGAGCTGTGTTGGAATACGACAGTAAACAACACCCTGTGTGTCATAATTCCAACACCCTGTGTCGGAATTAGTAGTCATGTGTCTAAAAGCGTCTCTTCAATCAATCGTCTATTAATTTATTTACCACTTAAAATCAGCAAATACAAGCATACTTAGAGGATTCCTAATATATTCACAGACTTCCCGATTTAAAAGTCTTGAACCATAATATTCTTTCTGCATAAACAGTTTATCACTATTTAGTAAAGCAAGGTCAACTATCAATTTTTATACTTGTTTTGATGTTCTCACTAGTTGACATGGACTTTTGCTCTGTGGATCTGAACATTTTCTGGCTAGACCTAGTGTTTTGCAGAAATCTGGTGCGCTATAGTAGGTGACGTCACTATTTTAACCATCTACGCATCTGTGGAACTAAGAGCCACAATATTTCAGTATATATACTGAGATAGGGTAAACGTACCATATTCCGACACTGTGGGTAATTCCGACACCCCTCAACTTTTTTTCTTTTATTTTAAGCTTGGTTTTAGTTCCACGCATGCGTAGATGATTGAAATAGTGACTTCACCTGCTATTGCGCACCAGATTTCTGCAAAACGCTAGGTCTAGCGGGAAAATGTTGAGATCCGCAGAGCAAAAGTCCAAGTCAACTAGTGAGAACATCGGAACACGTATGAAAGTTGGTAGTTGACCTTGCTTTACTAAATAGTGATAACTGTTTGTGCAGAAAGAATATTATAGTTTCATACATTTAAATAGGTCTGTGAATATATTAGGAATCCCCTAAGTATGCTTGTATTTGCTGATTTTAAATGGTAAATAAATTAATAGATGATTGATTGAAGAGACGGTTTTCGACACATGAATACTAATTCTGACAGGGTGTTGTTTACTGTCGTATTTTGACACAGCTCACAGGGTGTTGGTAATAAAGGTTGGTTTTGAGCATTTTTTGTTGATAACTTTTTACCATGTGACATTTCATTATCAAGTTCAGGCTCATTTTATAGCTCTTTGCGAGGGCTATCAAATGGCATCTTAAAAAAATTTAAAATGCTATTTGTAAGGTGCCTGAATACAATTTGTAAGGTGCCTGAAAATTCTGAATACATCATAACTTCAATAAGAATAATTTACATATAAAATTAATTCTTTATGATGTTACAGAGAGGTATAGTTTGAGTGGGATTGAGCACATCCCTTACTGCCTTCACCCATTTACTTGATTTTAATTAATTATTCATGATAAACTATGCTATGTATTCTCTTGTTCCAGCACCAATTGCAATTCCAGTGCCATTACCATTGCATATAATAATTTGAAAGTCTGATAAATTGTCAATATAGGTAATTTTGCTGTTTGTAAGGTGCCAGACTCCAGATAAAACCGTCCCAAATTACCCCTAAGAACGGGGTAATCTGGGAAACTTGAAATGAAACTAAATTTAAAAATGTTTGAAGCATGCGGAGTGTACTCATCCATTTTTAACAGTACTCTGATGTTAGTACAGTAATTTCATTGTAGATGATGTAGATGTAGAATAAATGACATTTTCTGCGTTTCTTACTTGTTTATCCTTTATTGATATGATATCACCATTTCAACAAGTTCGGCATGTTTATCAGCTTACCCTGTTGTCTTCAGGTTTAGAATCTATATTATGAAGTATGTTTTTGTATGTTATTTTGTAGCAATATTGTATGTGGCTGCAGTTCCACAGGGAGATGCTCCCTCATCTATTTCTTGGTTTGCTTGCATCATTGTAGCTTTATTGTGAGGGCATAGCTGCTATGGCAACTTTTTTGTCTCTGCAAACATAACTGATATGCATCTTTTAATCTTTACTACTATAAAAAATTTTCTTAATGTGCAGCTCTTTATTCTGTTGTGAAAAGGAAGCTGATGAGTAACATTGTACGAGCCTTGTTTCTGCCTAAAGAAAGCTACTACTTAAAGATAAATAATTTTTATTTTGAACAGCAGCTAAAAATTTTATCTTAATATATATATCATATATAATATATGTGTCTCTTGAAACATTTTATTCTGGGAAGTAAGATAGAACCATTTTGGGGTAAGACAGGACCGCTTGCAAGGAAAAAGGGTTTAAGAGATGCTGTAGAAAATTCTTATTTACTTCTCTCTTTAACAAGGTGTGATTCATTGATTGGTTTTCAGGTGCAACCAATAACTTGATTATATCTACGTATGATTATAATAAATAGATGAAATTGAATCTAGTGTTTGAAAACTAGAATTAGGATTATATATACAAAAATCTGCCTAGACCTTTCTCTTGAAGTCATGAATTTGTAATTTCAGATAAAATTTAGTTGCTTTTTCAACTGCTGCACAAGCTATTTGTTATTTTGTGTTGTTAAGTATTCTTAGCAACATTCACTCAACTCTAAGTCAAAGAGCAACATTCAAGTTCTGGCTTGATCCTGAGAACTGATTAATTAATCAGCCTCATTATTATGGGAACCCTTTCTACATACATGTCAATAGAATTTTGTGATGATAACGGTTCATTATATGGTTTTAAAAATTTCCTGTGTTTTCCTTAATTATGTTTTAAGAACTGCTGATTTTTTTTAATTGATAACTGTCAGTATAAACACACCTGCGTTGAAGGAATTTTTTGGTGTATTTGCATGTATGAAAGAAAATATTGTCATGAATTGGCCAGCCAAATTATATTACTGGCAGGTCACTAAGAGAGTTTGAAGCAGTGCCAGCATTAGTGTGGATATGTTGTCGTAACCACATCCGATGTCAAGATGTATTATTGTCTTGAATATTTGTATTTTATAGGTATTTAAGGGCAAATTTGTTCAAGGGCAAGACATCATGATGCTGGTGTGCCACCAAAAAACTTCAAAGATTTGTTAACTGTTTGTGTTATAATACTTGTATACAGTGTTCACATTATGTCACAGCCAGCATACCATTTTTTAAATTAAGCTTTGGTAAAAAATTCTGAATACATCATAACTTCAATAAGAATAATTAGCATCATGTGGATGGTAATGCTTGCATGCTAATTCATTTGTATAGAATAAATGTGAAGAAGTGCATGATGGAGATGCAAAATTTCCAATTCACTGTATTGACATATCATTGGAGCCACAATATATCAGTATATATACTGAGATAGGGTAAACGCACCATATTCCGTCACAGTGGGTAATTCCGACACCCCTCAACTTTTTTGTTTTGTATTAAGCTTGTTCTTAGTTCCACTTCCAGACATGCGTAGATGGTTGAAATACTTGAAAATACATATATTTGGAACCACTATATTTCAATATATATACTGAGATAGGGTAAACGCACCATGCTTTTAACGCTTTTATCGCTTTTAACGCTTCTAACGCTTTTAACGCTTTTAATGCTTTTAATGCTTTTAACGCCTTTAAAGCTTTTAACGCTTCTAACGCTTTTAATGCTTTTAATGCTTTTAACGCTTTTAAAGCTTTTAACGCTTCTAACGCTTTTAACGCTTTTAATGCTTTTAACGCTTTTAACGCTTCTAACGCTTTTAATGCTTTTAACGCTTCTAACGCTTTTAACGCTTCTAACGCTTTCAATGCTTTTAACGCTATTAATGCTTTTAATGATTTTAAGGCTTTTAACGCATTTATCGCTTTTAACGCTTTCAACTTTTTTAACGCTTTTAACGCTTTTAAGTCTTTTAAGTTTTTTAACTCTTTTAACGCTTCTAACGCTTTTAACGCGTTCAACACCTTTAACGCTTTTAAGGCTTTTAACACTTTTAACGCTTTTAACGCTTTCAACGCTTCTAACGCTTTTAACGCTTTTAACGCTTCTAATGCTTTTAATGCTTTTAATGCTTTTATCGCTTTCAACGCTTTTAACTTTTTTAACGCTTTTAACTTTTTTAACGCTTTTAACTTTTTTAACGCTTTTAACTTTTTTAACGCTTTTAACTTTTTTAACGCTTTTAACTTTTTTAACGCTTTTAACTTTTTTAACGCTTTTAACTTTTTTAACGCTTTTAACTTTTTTAACGCTTTTAACTTTTTTAATGCTTTTAACTTTTTTAACGCTTTTAACTTTTTAACGCTTTTAACTTTTTTAACGCTTTTAACTTTAATAACGCTTTTAACTTTTTTAACGCTTTCAACGCTTCTAACGCTTTTAACGCTTTTAATGCTTTTAACGCTTTTAAGGCTTTTAACGCTTTTAACGCTTGTAGCTCTTTTAATGCTTTTAACGCTTCTAACGCTTTTAACTTTTCTAACGCTTTTAACTTTTTTAACGCTTTTAATGCTTTTAACGCTTTTAACGCTTGTAGCTCTTTTAATGCTTTTAACGCTTCTAACGCTTTTAATGCTTTTAACGCTATTAATGCTTTTGAAGATTTTAAGGCTTTTAACGCTTTTAACGCTTTTAGCACTTTTAATGCTTTAACGCTTTTAACACTTTTAATGCTTTCAACGCTTTTAACGCTTTTAACTCTTTTAACTCTTTTAGGGCTTTTAACGCTTCTAATGCTTTTAACGCTTCTAACACTTATAATGCTATTAACGCTTTTACCTTTTTTAACGCTTTTAAGGCTTATAACGCTTTTAACGCTTTTAACTCTTTTAATGCTTTTAACACTTCTAACGCTTTTAACGCTTCTAACGCTTATAACGCTTTTAACGCTTTTAACGTTTCTAACGCTTTTAACTCTTTTAATGCTTTTAACACTTCTAACGCTTTTAACGCTTATAACACTTTTAATGCTTTAAAAGCTTTAAACGTTTCTAACGCTTTTAACACTTTTTATGCTTTTAACGCTTTTAATGCTTTTGAGCATTTTAGTGCATACTAATACAGTAATATGTTCTAGTATTTGACATGATAAACATGGACGCCATACCCAGGATGGTGCTGTTTTCTGCGGATTAATCCAGCGTACATGAGGCTCCAAGCCCTTCTACTGGCGTACAGCGCGGCGTACAAGATTAATCCGGCGTACATGAGGCTCCAAGCCCTTCTACTGGCGTACAGCGCGGCGTACAAGGAGCTAAAATACCGTTATTGGCGTACACGCCTGGNACTAGCCTAGATATTTTATTTAGGCTACAAATCAAATGATTTGTCTTTTGATGTTGTAGAGCTGTACATTTTTGGACATCAAACTTTACCACCTTGTCTAAATTTGTAAAAGAATTTTATTGATAATTTATCAAAATAAAAAATGTATGCAATTGAGCAATTGAGGATTGATGAAAGATGAATACCTAATAGCCATACTCAGGATGGTGCCGTTTTCCGCGGATTAATCCGGTGTACATGAGGCTCCAAGCCCTTCTACTGGCATACAGCGCGGCGTACAAGGAGCTAAAATAATGTTATTGGCGCACACGCCTGGCGTACGTCCGCATCTGGCTTGTCTCGGCGTACATCCGCCTCTGGCTTGTCCTGGCGTATGTCCACATCTGGTTTTGAGCATTTTAGTGCATACTAATACAGTAATATGTTCTAATGCGATCTAGTGCCTTCTAATACGATCTGGTGCCTTCTAATGCGATCTAGTGCGTTTTAATGCGACCTAGCGTGTTTTAATGCAACCTAGTGCCTTCTAATGCAATCTAGTGCCTTCTAATGCGATCTAGTGCGTTCTAATGCGATCTTGAGCCTTCTAATGCGATCTTGTGCCTTCTAATGCAATCTAGTGCATTCTAATGCAATTTTATGCTTTCTAATGCGATCTAGTGCATTCTAATGCAATTTTGTGCCTTCTAATGCGATCTAGTGCCTTATGCCTTCTAATGTGATCTTGTGCCTTCTAATGCGATCTAGTGCCTTCTAATGCAATCTAGTGCCTTCAAATGTGATCTAGTGCGTTTTAATGGAATTTAGTGCCTTCTAATGCGATCTAGTGCCATCTAATGCGACTTTGTGCCTTCTAATGCGATCTTGTGCCTTCTAATGCGATCTAATTCTAGTGCGATCTAGTGCCTTCTAATGCGATCTTGTGCCTTCTAATGCGATCTTGTGCCTTCTAATGCGATCTTGTGCCATCTAATGTGATCTAGTGCGTTCTAATGCGATCTTATGCCTTCTGATGTGATCTTGTGCCTTTTAATGCTATTTAGTTCCTTCTAATGCGATCTTGTGCCTTCTAGTGCGATGTAGTACATTGTAATGCGAACTTGTGCCTTCTAATGCGATCTTGTGCCTTCTAATGCAATCTAGTGCGTTCTAATGCGATCTACCGCCATCTAATGCGGTCTAGTGCATTCTAATGCGATCTTGTGCATTTTAATGCGATGTAGTGCCTTCTAATGCGATCTTGTGCCTTTTAATGCAATCTAGTGCGTTCTAATGCAATCTTGTGCCTTCTAATGCGAACTAGTGCGTTCTAATGCGATTTTATGCCTTCTAATGCGATACAGTGCCTTCTAATGCAATCTAGTGCGTTCTAGTTCGATCTTATGCCTTCTAATGCGATCTAGTGCATTCCAATGCGATCTTATGCCTTCTAATGCGATCTTGTGCCTTCTAATGAAATCTTGTGCCTTGAATCTTGAAACCTCACACCAATAAACTCAACATTGTGAAGCAACCAAATGCATTATAATTCATTAAAACGCATTTGAATGATTTCGAACAGATTTGAACTCATTAAAACACTAGGACGCATTAGAGCACATTAGAGCATGTTAAAACACACTAAACTGCAGTATAACGCAACAGAAACCATGAGAATGCATTAGAACACAACAAAAACTATTAGAATGCATTATAACACATTATAACGCACTAGATTGCTTTAGGAGGCACTAAATCGCATTAGAAGGCACAAGATTGCATTTGATGGCACAAGATCGCATTTGATGGCAGTAGATCGCATTAGAAGGCACTAGATCACATTAGAAGGCACTAGATCGCATTAGAAGGCACAAGGTCGCATTAGAAGGCACAAAATCGCATTAGTAGGCATAAAATCGCATTAGAGCGCACTAGATCGCATTAGAAGGCACAAGATTGCATTAGAAGGCACTAGATCACATTAGAAGCAACAAGATCGCATTAGAAGGCACTATATTGCATTAGAAGGCATAAGATCACATTAGAAGGCAGTAGATTGCATTAGAAGGAACTAGATCACATTAAAAGGCACAAGATCACATAGAAGGCATAAGATTGTATTAGAAGGCACAAGATCGCATTAGAAGGCACAAGATCACTTTAGAAGGCACTAGATCGCATTAGAAGGCACAAGATCACATTAGAAGGCACTAGATGGCATTAGAAGGCACTAGATCCCATTAAAACGCACTAGATCGCATTAGAAGGCACTAGATCGCATTAGAAGGCACAAGATCGCACTAGAAGGAATAAGATCACATTAGAAAGCAGTAGATCGCATTAGAAGGAACTAGATTGCATTAAAAGGCACTAGATCACATTAGATGGCGGTAGATCGCATTAGAATGCACTATATTGCATTAGAAGGCACAATATCGTATTAGAAGGCACTATATCACATTTGAAGGCGCAAGATTGCATTAGAACGCACTAGATCGCATTAGAAGGTGCTAGATCGCATTAGAAGGCACAAAAATAAATAAACGTATTTTTTAATCAACCGAAGGACTCATAACTTCTATAATACTGAACTGATTTGCTTGAATTTTGGAATATAAGTAGTTATTATCGATACGCTGCGGCAGGAATTATTTCAGATTTTTACATAAATTAGTTTTCAATTAAAAATAATAAACATATTTTTTATGCAACCGAAGGAATTGCTTCAAACCTTCACCATTTTACCACCCAAGAGTTGTTTTTCATTTTGGTATATTTTCTGTCTCCGAAAAAAGGTTTTTAATATATTTATTTTCCATTATAAAAGGCGGTCAAAACGAATTTTTGCCTTCTCGCGCTTTTTTCTCCGGTCTCAACCACACGATTTTTGATATATAACATGTATAGGACATGTATAGGAAGAAAGTCGTTTTATATTTTAATTATTAAATTTTATATGAAGTTTCAGCCTTTTGTCTTTTTTGGTCTATATTTTGTTGAACGACTTGCAAAAATTATGAAATTTTTTCGTACGTATTTTCTGATTCATGACGAACATTTCGATGTATGACATGTGTATGTAAAAAATTATTTAGTATATAATTTTTCCACTTAAACTTTTTTTCAGTTTGGCGCCATACCTTTAGTAATAGACCACATAACGATTTGAAATTTCACACAAAACTGCCTGCGTGTGTTGTGAACATGTAAATATATTCAACTTATTTTTAGAATTAAGATTTCTCCATATATAAAATAAAATGTGCGTTTGGGGTAACTTTTTAGGCTGGAAATCAGGGTAACTTCAGTTCCTTCATTATCTGTCGAAATAAATTTTATTTATATCACCAATAAATATAAATTTGTCCCTTGCATAAATTGACGATACTTGAGTACAGAATATTTGTTAATTGAAGCTTTTATTTAAAATAAATATTAATAGATTTTGACGAACTCCGTTGTTTAAATTTTTCCCAATCAAAAATAATTTTTAATGTTCATATGTATGTATTATAGGAACATTGCTTCATTTACGGTTCATTTGGATGAAATAAATTATTTCCCTAGTAAATATTCTAACGCAAATATCCGTTGGAGTCGATTCGGCATCGGCATCCGGCTTGCCGCCATTGTTCTCGAAGATCCGTAAAGGGAGGTTTGTCGTCTCTAGGTATCTGTAAATCTCTGATTATCGACTTAATGGTGACGAAAATTATCAGGAAATAGGTACTAAATCTTAATTCAAACGTGCAATAGGTAGAGTGTTCAATTGTAGCTAATTTTAGTCGCGTTTTGGAACGTCTTCCGTGGTGGATGGAACGTCGTCCGTGGTTTTAGTCAGTCAGTGACTCAGTGGATGGTTCGCAGCCTCGCAGGTGAATTCTACTGATTATGGAGCATCAAGTGGATGGTAATGCTCGCATGCTAATTCATTTGTATGGAATAAATTGATTCCGTGCCAAGGAGAAAATTCGTGACATGGACAAAATTCGAGCCACGGACAAAATTCGAGCGGCCACGGACAAAATTCGAGCCACGGACAAAATTCGAGCCACGGACAAAATTCGTGCCACGGACAAAATTCGTGCCACGGACAAAATTCGTTCCACGTGGAACATTCGTGCAACGGAGAATTTTCGTGCCACGGAAATAGGCTATTCGATCAACGGAGATTATTCGTTCCATTGAGAACATTCGTGCCACGGAGCATGTTCGAGCCACGGAGCAAAATGGAGCTAGGGAGAAAAATCGTGCTCGACCGAATATCCACGTTAGGTTGATTTAGGATAGGTAGAACTTTCGTGTCACGCAGAACTACCAGGCATGATGTACATGAAGGTGCAGTAATGACATTTAAGAAAATACATCGCAGTACGTACGGGTGGCTAGAGTCCAGGATGAATAATGTTCGCTCATTGTAATGACGTCAGAGTGACATCACGCGCATACATGGACCAATCACAGCGCTGCATCAAATATCTTGAAGAGCAATCTCTCAAAGTTCATGAATGGCGATCGTAGTGTATTCGAATGAAGTTTCCCTTCATTTATTTCCTTTATTGGTAGTATTGACGCTCGATAGTCGATGCTAACTATGAAGAGAACTTTGACTACAGGTTAGTCTCTCTACAATCCGTCGTTTGGTTATCAAAGCTGAAGCTTAGCTTTTCAGTATCGTGAGGAAGCTATGGAACTTACGTGAAATGATTTAGTTCCATGTTATTGACGATATTGTTATACTATGCGCTCCAGATAACCAGTAACGAGTCTTCTTCGAGCGTCTTGAAGAAAATTGGAACCAATTTGAACAATTTTCAATGAAGCTGCATTTCGTCGCTTCTTTTGGCAGTTCGGTGGCATGACTTACGAGGACAGCTCTTGAAATATTCAAATGATTGCGGTGTCCGTGTGTAACTATGGGTTTCGATAGGTTTGACTACATCGTTGGAGATTATTGCCGAGTCTTGTGATCGGATAGACAGCGCTCAGCTATGAAGCTTCACGTGTCTCCACGTGTTCCATGCGTCTCGGGCTTTAGTGGCATAACGCAGATCTGACGTTCAAAAGGAAGCTTGTGAAAATTTCAAATCGTTGCGATGCCCTTATTTATATTATCGGTTTCAATAGGATTGAATACGTTTTCCAAGATTATCGTCGTGTCTCCTGAATCTCCTCCAGTCTCCGATCATCGTACTGCAGGAATAATATGATGTGCTTGAGCTGAGGTGTCATCCTTGTTGAAAGCAAATTCATATATATGCGTAAACGTTAGGCTCACTTTTTATATATTGGAACGCTGAGACTGTTGCATGATCATCAGATTTTTTCACTGGTTATTT